AAACCTTTTTTAAAAAAAACAAAATTATGAATAGATATGTAAATTTTTTTATGGTGTTTAATAAATTTAAATAAAATTAATTAAAATTATTGTGGTGGTTGTTGTTGTTTTTGTTGTTGTTGTATAAGAAATAATATTATTTATGAAATGAGATTTTTTGTTTAAAAAAAATAAAAAAAATGTCCTTTAATCTCCAAAAAATATCTGTTATTATTTATTTTATGTACATGAGTAATTTAAATAAATAAATTAAATAGTAATAATTTTATTTTGACTTTTTAAAATATTTAAAGGGTAAAAAAATAAACAAATAAAGCAAAATAAATAAACTAAAAAAAAAAAAAGGAAAAGTAATTGAAAGGGTTTAAAATTTATGAACTTGATTATAGATTTAAATAAATAAAAAAATAAATAAATAAATTTTATTTTTTTTTTTTTTTTTTTGAAAAATTTATGATAAATGAAGTGAAGTGAGAGGTAATGTTGTTGAGTGGAATATATTATTATTATTATTATTATTATTATTATTATTATTATTATTATTTTGTAAATTAATAAAAGGGTGTAATTAGATTTAACAATTGATTAAAAAATAAAATAAAAAAAGAAGTGGAAAAGGTAATAATTTGGAGGATAGGAATTTAAATTTAAATCGTAAAAAGAACAAAGATAATACCCTGCCTACCTTATTTATTATTATTATATTTTTATAGTTTCCTGTACTTTAGAAACTTTTTATAGTTAAGAAGTGATGTTTACAAATATGTCCACACAACTTTTATTTTGTTTTTGTTATTAAATTTATCTATATATCTATATTTATTATATTTATTATATTTATATAATTATTATTTGTTATTATTGATTTAATTTTCGTTGGTTTCTAAAATGAATGTGTTGAATTTTTTTTTTAAATTTAAAAACTTTTTTTTTTTTTTTTTTTTTCTGTATTTTATGTTTTTTAAATAAAATTTGCATGTTAATCACAAAAAAAGAGATTTATAATCTGGGTTTAAAAATAAAAATTTCTCATATCACTTGTACATTTATAATAGGTTTTTGTTTTTTTAAGGCTTTTGGTTTGAAAAAAAAAAAAAAAATTTTATTTATAAAAATACAAATGAAAAAAAAAAACTATTACTGATATGATAAAGAACCAAATGAAAAGGGACACAACAATTGTTTATTTATTTAGTTTTAATTTTGTGTGTTTTTTATTTTATTTTTTTTTTGGGTGTTTTTTTTTTTTGGTGTTTGTGAGCTTTTTGTGCCTGTGTTTCTTTTATTTTTTTTTTATTTTGTGTGTTTATCAAATATTTAATATTTGCATCAAAAACAAATAAAATATAAAAAAAAAAAGGACATGAGTGTATATCAAAGGGTGTTAAATTTCTTTCTTTTCTATTCCATGAAAAACCATATAACGATATTTGGTGCATGTGTTTTTGTTTTTTTTTTAAAAAAAATGAATTTTTGTGAATCTGACAAAAAAAAGGGGTGGGGTATTTGTAATAAAATAAATAATTTTTTTACAAAAATTAATATTATAAATCTTGGTTGTTGTTAATTATAGAAAATGATAAAAATAGAAGCCCTTTTTTTAAATTTATTTTGTGTAAAAAAATATATTGTTATAACAAAACAAATAATAATATAATATAATATTAAAATATGATAATGATAATGATGGTGATTATGATTATGGTGATTATAATAATGATGATTGTTATGTTGAATTGTTTATTTTAATTTTTTATTTTTGTGAAATGTATAAATATAGTATCATTACCATTATTACAAAAACCAAAATGAAAAACATATTTTTTGATAAATCTATTCTCTTTAAACATTGTTTTTCTTTTTTTTCTTAAATTTAAAGAATGAACCCCATTTTAAGAATTTTTATTTGTTACTTTTTTTTATTTATTTGTTATTATTATTATTACTATTTAAATAGTTTTTATTATTGTTTTAATATCGCCGCTTATATGAAGATGCATATTGATTTTGATTTTCATTTAAAATATAAAATAATCAGATTTGCGTAACAAAAAAAAAAAGAAAGAAAAAATTCCAAAAAAAAAAAATTAAAAATAAATTAAAAAAATTTATTTTTTTTTATTTTTTTTATATTTTTTTTTTTAATTTATTTTTAATTAATTTTCAAAATTTTTTAATTATAATTTTCACCTCCTCCCCAAATACATATATATATATTTATTCAAATAAACACACAACGAATATACAACAAAATACAACGAATCGAAATAAATTGTTATTAATTATATAAATAGAATTTTAAATATAAAAATGAATAAAAAAGTGATTTCTAAAAAAGAATGGGAAGAAAAATTATCAGAGGTTAATATATCGAAACAAGATTTAAATAAGTTGGTTATGAACTTTTTAGTAATAGAAGGTTATCAAGAAGCAGCTGCTAAATTTCAAGAAGAATCAGGGACTTCATGTAAGATATTATAATATAGGGAAAAAAAAAAAAATCATAATCAAACTTATTAATATAATTTAATGTATCATCATAATTTAGCAATAGTGGATTTAAATTCTATAGCTGATAGAATGGCAATAAGATCAGCAATTCAAAGTGGAGATGTGGAAAAAGGTATTGAAATAGTTAATGATTTAAATCCAGAGGTTTGTACCAACCACATTTACTTTTAGTATTATATTTTTGAGATTCTAATAGCTATTTATATATTAGATTTTAGATACAAACCCACAACTATATTTTCATTTACAGCAACAAAAGCTTATTGAGTTAATTAGAAAAGGTCAAATTTCAGAAGCACTAAAATTTGCACAGGAAGAATTAGCGTCACAAGGTGAAGAAAATGTAAATGATAATAATAATAATAATAATAACAATAACAATATTCATATTCATATATTAACTCTTTAATGTAGGAAAAATTTTTAGAAGAGCTTGAAAAAACAATATCTCTGTTAGCTTTTGAAGATACCTCAAAATCACCCATTGCTTCATTATTAGATCATTCTCAAAGACAAAAAACGGCTGGTGAACTAAATGCAGCAATTTTAACAAGTCAATCCCAAGATAAAGATCCAAAGTTACCAACAATTATTAAACTTTTAAAATGGGCACAAACTCAACTAGATTCCAAATGTCAATATCCTCGTATTAAAAATTTTGTAAATGGAGAATTTGAATAACAAATAAATAATAATATAAATAATAATAAATAATAATAAAACAAATTATTATGATAATCACAAATTATGATATATAATATAAAGATACCAATTTTTAAGGATAAGAAAAAGAAATGGTCCTGAAAAAACTTAATACTAACTCTGGAATTAAAAATAAATCAAAAACACATTTTTTAGAAATTTAAATTTTCCTTTAAAAAACATTTCAAACTATCGGAATATCTTCTATTTTATAACATTTTTTTTTTTTTTTTTATATTGCTCTGTGTTTATATGAAAAAAATAATCAAATAAATTTTTTATAAAAAAAAGTTTAAACTTATTATTCAAAGAAAATTAAAAAAATATAAAAGCTCTATTTCTAAAAAGATTTCAATAAAAGATATCCTGCAAGAATTTATTAAAAAGATCTTTAAGCAAAAAAGTTTATTTAGTATTATTTAAGCATCCCACATAATAATCTTTTTATCTCCACCAAATATGTAAATCTTGATCTATATTTTGATTTTTTTGATTATTTTCTTTGGATAATTATTGTTCAATTTTTTTCATGGCTTCCTTATTTTTTACTATGAGACCACCAATTGTGAGTGTTGTGAGACTATTTGGTAATGTGCCGGGTGGGATTACTTGGTTAAATCTACCACCGAATGTGAGTGTTGTAAGACTATTTGGTATTTAATTATTAGTCATGAACTGACCACTTTATTTATAGTTTTTTTTTAGTATTAATGTTATGTTTTTACTTTGTTTAGGAATTCATTGATTCACTTGGTGCGGACATATTGATTATTACCTTGGCTATTTTTTCTGTGGTAGTCAGAGCCAGCTTCTGTTCATATAAGCCGGGACCACTAAGATCAGTATTACAATCTTTGTGGGTTGGTCTAGTCTGTGTTATACCTGCAATGCATTCTGATTGATGAGACCGGACCGGGTATCGTTTAACGATTCATACCATTTAAAATGGCAGAGTTCTGAATTTGGGCGGATATCAGGATCCAGATGTTTTTTTACGGTGTTACTCCTCACCTTGGTAATGTGCCAGGTGTGACTACTTGGTTAAAATAACGACCGAATGTGAGTGTTGTGAGACTATTTGGTAGTGTTCCAGATAGAACTACTTGGTTAAAATCAAAACCGAATGTGAGTGTTGTGAGACTATTTGGTAATGTGCCCGGTAGAACTACTTGGTTAAAATAATCACCGAATGTGAGTGTTGTAAGACTATTTGGTAATGTGCCAGGTGTGACTACTTGGTTAAAATAATGACCGAATGTGAGTGTTGTAAGACTATTTGGTAATGTGCCGGGTAGAACTACTTGGTTAAAATAATCACCGAATGTGAGTGTTGTGAGACTATTTGGTAATGTGCCGAGTAGAACTACTTGGTTAAATCCATCACCGAATGTGAGTGTTGTGAGATTGTTTGGTAATGTGCCCGGTAGAACTACTTGGTTAAAATAATAACCGAATGTGAGTGTTGTGAGACTATTTGGTAATGTGCCAGGTGTGACTACTTGGTTAAAATCATGACCGAATGTGAGTGTTGTGAGACTATTTGGTAATGTGCCAGGTAGAACTTCTTGGTTAAATTGAAAACTGAATGTGAGTGTTGTGAGACTATTTGGTAATATGCCAGGTAGAATTACTCGGTTAAAATAAAAACCGAATGTGAGTGTTGTAAGACTATTTGGTAATGTGCCGGGTAGAACTATTTGGTTAAAATAATAACCGATTTTGAGTGTTGTAAGACTATTTGGTAATGTGCCCGGTAGAACTACTTGGTTAAAATCACCACCGAATGTGAGTGTTGTGAGACTATTTGGTAATGTGCCAGGTGTGACTACTTGGTTAAAATCATGACCGAATGTGAGTGTTGTGAGACTATTTGGTAATGTGCCCGGTAGAACTACTTGGTTAAAATCATCACCGAATGTGAGTGTTGTGAGACTATTTGGTAATGTGCCAGGTGTGACTACTTGGTTAAAATCATGACCGAATGTGAGTGTTGTGAGACTATTTGGTAATGTGCCAGGTAGAACTTCTTGGTTAAAATGAAAACCGAATGTGAGTGTTGTGAGACTATTTGGTAATGTGCCAGATGGAATTACTTGGTTAAAATCACGACCGAATGTGAGTGTTGTGAGACTATTTGGTAATGTGCCGGGTAGAACTACTTGGTTAAAATAATCACCGAATGTGAGTGTTGTGAGATTATTTGGTAATGTGCCGGGTGGAACTACTTGGTTAAATCTATTACTGAATGTGAGTGTAGTAATTGAATTTGGTAAAGTTGTTGGATTTAACATTTTATTAAAAGTGTACAAATATAAATTTTTCAAAAATGGTGGAAATTCATTTTTATCTGGAAGTGTATCACTATGCCACTTAAGTGTTGTTATATATGATTTATCTTTAAACTGGTTATATTGTGATCTATCAAGATCTACAGTACTATGTTCAATAAACTTTAAAATATGTTTATGAATTTCATTTCTTAAAAATATATTATTCCAAACTATATATAATAATCTATAATAAATAGTTAAAAAGAGAAATAATTAATATGCTTTTAATTAATCGACTTTTATTTATATTTATTGTATTGTATTGTATTGTATTGTATTGTATTGTATTGTACTTACCTATCACTAATATTACCACTGTTTTTTAACTCTTCATTTACTTGAAAGTTAATTAGAGATGATAGTAGCTTATCCATTGTCAATATAAAAAAAATAAATAAAAAAATATGAAATTAATTTCTTCCAAAATTCAAAAAGGGGTTGTCTGTCTGACGTTTTGTATTGCGCAGATGGTTCAAAAAATGCAAATTTTTAAAATGTTTTTGGAAAAAATAAAAATTTTTATAAAAATTTCCCATATAAAATTTTTTTTTTTTTTTAAAAAAATGCATTTTAAAAATCTTAAAAAACCAAGTCCTCAAAATAAAAAAAAAAAATTTAATTCAAAAAAAATAAAATTTTTTTTTTTTTTTTTTTTTTTATTTTCCCCGAATGCATTAAACATATAATTTATTTCTTTTACAGACATATTTTTTTTGCATTTGATAACAAGTGGACGGCCAACAAGTTTGGGTACCCTTTTCATTTGACTAGGTAAGAGGTTCTCCTACTTAGTAGGATAAAGTGCTTTATTCGATATTCATTATTTCTAGTTCTTTCTTATGCGTTTCAATTATGTCAAAAAGAAAAATTGATTGTGACATTAAAACCTTTGTAGAATCCCATCATTTTACAAAAACACCAAAGACTAGGATTTCCTTTGTAGATGGGGCAAATCTATATTTTAAAAGTATGATAAAAGGGTATAATATATATACATAAATTGTGATGATAATAATTTGTACTAATTGTTGTGATATTTAATATAGGTGATGTTTGGCCGTTTGAATCAAAACAAGATCAGATAGAAATAAAACAACAACATTTAGAACAACAACAACAACAACAACAAAAACAAAAACAAAAACAAATTGGATTTCTTACTGAAACTTTAAACAAAGATGGAGTTGATTTTAATAATTCTTTGGGTGATGCAATAAACAAGTTAAAATCAGCTGTTACAAATACAGATAACCACTCATTAAAAGTATGTGATAGTTATTTACTTCAGTAGAGATGTTATGGTTGATCATATATTCTACCAATCCATGAAGCAGGTTATCAGAGAAATCAATGATTCATGAGATTGTTGAAATGGCAAGATGTCACGATAATAGATTAGATTAATGAAAGATTGACTTCATGAATTGAGTGAGATTGTTAGCATTGTCAGAAGTCAGTTGTAATAACAACGATAGTCATGATTAGAAACGATTAAAGTTCCTTTTATTCATCCTATGTTATTTTCGTATGATTGTTTTATAAATACGCAAATAAACAAAATATTAATACTTAGTTCTAGAAATTTAAAGGTATTAATAAGAATGGCCAAAAGAAATATGAATAAAAGAAATCTTTCCGCATCCAACTTGGAGGATGAATCCAATAACACTTTCTTGTTGAAAAAAGATCCGCATTTCAAAGATACTTTCTTTTATACCTTCTTGACCGATCAAATAAAAACATTGCTCACTTGAATAGCTGATTGGTCCGAATCATCGCTCAGTTTTCTTGCAACACTCAAACATCATTGTGGATCAAAGATAATTGTTTATACGAGAATGAATTCATTTCTAGAATACATACTCTTAGAAATGACATTGATTCATCGAGTGCCGAAAAGAATAAACCATACTATGTAGGTGTTGCAGTGGACGAAATTGATATTCTCAAAGGATTGTACAACGATGTCCATGGATCAAGATTAATTGGACTTTGTAATGGATATGTCGATGATGAAAATATTAAAGAAGAATGGTTTACTAAAGATTATGTTTCTGCAAATCTTGCTTAAAATTTTTCTTCAAAGCTTGGATGGTAAAATGTGTTTCAATCTTGGCAAGTTTCCAACCAATGGCAAGAATACACTGGTAGCAATAATAGAAATCATGGCATCATTAGTATTAATAGTTAGTAGGTTTAATATTTTTTTTATTTTTTTACTCATGGTTACAATGTCAGCAATTATGTTTACACAATGCTACAAAGATACAAAATCAGCGAAGAACAAAGAAAAGACCAAACTCACTTTTTTCAATCAAAAGATCAATCATATGATCATACTCATCATCAACCAGGCAGAAAATTGCTCAACCAGTTTGAGCATACTACATCATTCAGAATATTTTTTGATCTTACACATATTTGCAAAAACCTCAGAAATAATTTAATTGCACATACTCCTATTCAAATATCTACATCAAAAGATTCAATGAGTGCAGATGAAAGAAGAAAAGTAATAACCTTAACATTTTATTTGAAAAGCAATACTTTCCATTAGAGAGCTTTCATGTTTTGGTGAACAAGCTAGATCCAAAGCCAGTGGCAGAACTTCACTTCTGGTGTGTATTTTTGATGGTTACCAGGCAATGTTTGCAAACAATGCATGTTATGACTCTCACATGTCTCAACCACATCAAATTCTTTCTAAAGAAGATGCTCAAAAGTATAATCAAGTTTTGGAAGATGAACAAGAATTCAAAAAACAATTTAATGGTATATTTAGAAAATTTGAAACACAACCTGATCAATCGAAATGAAATATTTCATTTTAGATTCTGAAATAACTGGTCTTACTTCCAATGCAGAAATTATTGAACTTTCATGTGCTTTTGTTTAAATGGGGAAGCATTTTATCGTAAATCAAATCCAACCATTTCCATTACTCCAGAATCTACCAAAATCAACAATCTCACAAACCAAGATTTAGCAGGTCACCAATATTGGGAAAAGGTTGAGAGGAATTTTTTAATTTTATTCTCCAGCAATTGTCAGATGATCTACCAATTTATATAATTGCTCACAATCAAAAGTATGATAGAGGTAGTATTGCTTTTCATTTAACAAAATCAATTAAGTTTTGGAACCATCACTCCAAAAAACCATTAGCAGAATTAAATTTTTCGATTCTGTTAACATCTTCAAATCAATTAAATTTGTGTTACCAGTAGTTTCAGATAAAAAAAGGAATCATATTCATTGGATACTGATCATATCAATCGTCACTATGTTTCACTTTTATTTGAAATTCTTTTGTTCTTTTTTCATAAAAATTATAAAGATCAAAACAATTTTTTAAAATTCCTTTTTAATTGTCTGGAAAAAAATAAAAAAAAATTTTATGGTTTATATTTTTAGGTTAAAAAGGGTTAGATATTTTTAAATATCTCTTGATTTTTTCAAAAACTAGTTTAATTTCTTTGTTTTTATTTTTTTATTTTTTTTTATTTTTTTTATTTTTTATTTTTTTATTTTTTTGTAAACCATATTTTTTTTACTTATAAAAAATATCACACAACACCCAAAATGAATAAAAAAATATTAATTGTTTTTTTTATATTTATTTTAAATTTTTATAATTCGAAAGGCGCCATTATTCATTTTAACAATATTATAACAGGGTCATGCACAATCGACTCCCCATGCGACTTGTCAAATAATAATGTGTGGGAAAATAATATAGCACCATCTAATAATGATGATGTGGTAATTGATTTTTCAGATCAACAGAACAACAAAAATATTTATTTAACAATTCAAAATTCATTTGTAACTTTAAATTCATTCTCAATAGTCGGTCAACAGCCATCAAATAATGAATTATTAACAAATTTATTAATTCAAAATTTAAATTTTACAGTATTAAACCAATTCTATTCACAAGATTCAAAAATCTCATTTTATGAAGATGATCCCAACTATGCCGATCAAAGTCAGTTTGGAACATTTATAGCAAACCAAACACAATTAAATGTAGATGGATTTTCAAATATAACTTCAAAAAATGTTAATTTTATTGGCACCTATTCATCGACATTTTCATCGGATGCCCTATTTACCGTTCAAAATAGCACCATCTTAAATGCACCCACACAATGGGACAACAATATTAACACAAATATCAGCAATATTGTTTTCGCCGGTACAACCTATATTGAAAAAGAATTTACCTCGCAAGGCACTATTTTATTCCGTGGAAATTTATATATTAATGATGTGTATATTGGTCAAACCCTTATCTCTATAGGCAATGTTTACATATCTGCTAATGTAAAAGCATCCATAGTTTCAACATCATCGGTCCTCTCCAGATCGACTATCTATATTCTAAAGCCAAGCGTCACTTTACAAGCCATCGAAGTTAAAACTTACGGCACTCTCACTCTAAACGCACCTGGTTTGACTATAGAATCCAATTTCACAATGAACTCTCTTACAAATATACAAATCAACTCTGCAACTTTGAACAACACTACACCATTCATCAATCTACTAAGTGGTCAATTTGATTTGTTTTTGGTGACTTTAAAGCTTCAATTAAATAGTAATAATACACCAACTAAATACGATTCTATCTTTTTATTTAATTCAAATAGAAGAATTTCAGACTTTGGCATTACAAAAACTACAATCACAACATCAAATAATAGACAAATTACCGGAATCGAATATGATGTCGAACAAGATACCGAAACTGGAAATGTCAACGTGGTGTTCAATGATCCTCCTAAAAAAAACACTACTTCAAGTAAAGATAAAATTATTGTGGGCTGTGTGGTTGGGGGCGCTGTTCTAATAATAGTTTTATTTGTAATAATTTACATCAGCATAAAAAAAGATATTAATTGTAATCTAACCTGTTAAAAATAATATAATTAAAAAATAATAACAGTTTAATCAAATTAAAAATAAACTAAACAATATTATTAATAGATATATCCATAAATGATTGGATATCTTTTTTTGTTTCTTGTGATATGTTTTTTTTTTGGTAAAATCATTCCCAGAAAAGTAAAAATATTAATAATTTTTTATTTTTTTTATTTTTATTTATTAATTTTTTTATTAATTTTTTTTTTTTTTTTTTAAAATTTTTTTTTTAAAATTTTTTCTATTTTTTCAAATAACAAATATATATTTATAATTTTATATTTCCATAAATCTATAATTAATAATGGGTGAACTAGATAAAACAATAAATCAATCTGGTGACAATAGTATATTAAACTTTTCAAAAGAAAATAGTTTATCATGGGGAAGATTATTATCAATCAACCCAGAATTTCCCCATGTAGAAATTCAAGACGATGAATGTCTTTTTGGAAGAAATCCTGCATGTAATGTAGTTTTCAACGATAAAAAGATCAGCTCAAAACACTGCAGAGTTTATAAAGAAAAAGAAGAAAGTAGTGTTGATCACAGATTTTATTTAGAAGATTTTAGGTAATTAATACATAAAAAAAATTCACCACCAAAAGTTTCATTGCACTTATTAATTTAAATTTTTTTATTTATTCAACAGTTCAAATGGTACTTTTGTAAATAGAAAAAGAGTTGGTAAAGGTAATATTGTACCAATTGTAAATGGAAATGAAATTTCATTAACCACAAATATTGAATCTACTGATCCAACAAGAATTATATATACATTCCAAGATTTAGAAAAACTAAGAAGAGAGGAGCAAGAAGAAAAAGAAAATAGAGAAAGTGGTTATACTCAAGTCGATGATATTATGGCTGATGAAATTTTAAATATGTCACCAATTAAAAAGACACCAAGCAACTTAGAAAAAGATTTAGTTAATAATAATAATAGTGATAGTAATAGTAATAGTAATGATAATACTGATAGCGGTAATATTACCGATGATATCGCACCAATTAAAAGGGCCACCTCAACTACAACAGCACCAGCAAATCAACCAATATCCAAACAACCATCAAAATTAAAAAGAAAATCTTCTGATTTAGAAGATTTAGAAGATGATCCAACAGATAAAAGAAAACAAAAAATTGATAACCAACCAATTCAAAATGAAGTATCATCAACCAAAACAGACTCACCAACCAATATTCCAACAAATGCAGCCACAACTACAGATGTTGATGTAAATCAAAAAGATGAAGAAATGAAAGATAAAGAAATAGGAAAAAAAGAAAATAATGATAATAATAATAATAACAACAATAACAATAACGATAATGATAATAAAAATGGTAATGATAATAATAATAATGACCAATTAAAAACACCAACTAAAACACCAACTACTACTACAACTTTATCATCAACACCAACAAAACAACAACAGGATTTAGAAGAAAGTATGGGTGAAAATCTAATTTGTGGTATTTGTCAAGATATTATTCACAAATGTTTAACTCTTATCCCATGTATGCATAATTTTTGTGTTTGTTGTTATGGAGATTGGAGAGCAAAATCAACAGATTGCCCATCATGCCGTTTAAATGTCAAAAGTTATCAATCCAATCATCTCATTAACAATCTTATAGAATTATATGTAAAAAAAAATCCTGAAAAGGCTAGAGATCCCGAAGAACTCAAGTCAATGGATGAACGTTGCAAAATTACCGATGACATGTTGAAGAAAGGTTTACTACTTAAATCAAAAAAGAAGTATTACGACGACTATGATGAAGATGATGAATATTACAGTGATGAGGAAGAAGATTATGAAGAGGAAGAAGAAAAATGTGTCCTTTGCCCACCAAACCCTACACAAACTACCTCGGGCTATACCTGCCCAGCACAAGATGCTGAGCACTATAATTGCTCAAATTGTTCACAGTTGTTCCCCAAACAAACTCCTGAACCACCTGGTATTAGATGCGATTCATGTAAAATAAGAGTATTTTGTAATTACTATAAAACATGTCCAGTCCCAAATTTCAACAGAATGATAGACTTACCAGTTGCCTTTATCCCACATACCACTTTTGGTGGCAATCAATTCGAACTTAAAATTTTAAACGACTATTTAACAAAAAACAACAAAACTGTCAATCAACTTTATAGAGATGTATTAACCGATATTGACAACAAAAAACTTGTAATTCGTAAGTATCATAGTGTTACACTAAAATATAATTTTTTGAAAATAATTTTATTAACCAAATTTTTTTTTTTTTTTTTTTTTAACTTTCAGCAACCAATTCAAATATTTTAATGCCAGATAGCCCATTAAGTGATCAATTCAGATGTCTTTATTGTGCACAAGCACTTTTCTCCAAATTATTATTTTATTACCGTATGAACATTCCAAAAGCAGATCTCCCAGACTATGCTGTTAGAGACAATTGTTATTATGGCAAAAATTGCAGAACCCAATTCTCAAAGTTTGACCACTCAAAGAAATTAAATCATATTTGCGAACAAACCAAATTTTAAAAAAAAAACAAAATAAAAATTAAATTGAAAACTTGTACAAATAAACTAAATCAATTAAAACAAATTAAAATTATAATTATATTAAATGTTTTATTATATTTTTTTTTAAATAAGATAATAGGGAAGGACTTGTTACAATTATTAATAAAAAAAAAAATATTATTGTTTATTTACAAAATTTTTATTTATTTTTTAAATACAGATTTTTTATATAACATTTCCATATCGTCGTCAAAATTTAAATCCTCATCTTCGTCGTCGTCAATATTGCTTTGTTCTTTTTTTGTTTCTATTTTTGTTACGGTTTTGAAATCAACTTTTTTCTTTTTTAAATCTTCAATTTTATTTGATAAAACCACCTGTTCAACATTATCCATATCTTTAATTATTGAATTTACTGATTCTTCCAATATGCTTTCAACTTCTTTAGTTAATTTTGATTCTATTGTTGCGGTATTTATATTATTATTATTTTTATTATTATTAATATTATTACTATTATAAATGACAGTATTTGTATTATTTATTATTTCCTCTACCTTTTGCTTATTTAAATTTTCTATTCTATTATACTCTTCAATTTGCTTACTATAAAAGAAAAATTAATCAATAAAAATTAATATACAGGTATATATGGTAATAATAGTAATTAAGGGTTACTAATACAAACTTTAATTCCTCTTCGGTAATTTCATCTTCTTCATCTACAGTGTCTTTTTTTACTTTTTTATTATTATTTGTTGAGGATGGTTTGTCGAAAAATCCTGGAGGTAAGTTATCTTCATCATCGCTACCATTTTTAAATGCCTTTTTTTCTTCTTCTGGGTCATCAAAGAATCCTTTGGGAAATCCGTTATTATCCTCTGTTGTATTGGTTTCATCTTCACTTTCGCTGCTATCATATCCTATTAATCCCTGAATCTCCTTTAATGCACTTTCCTCCTCGCTATTTGTTTTTTGTTTTTTGTTTGGTGTATTTTCATTTGAAACTGATTTTATTGATGTTGAGGATGTTGTAGTAGTTGTTATTGTTTCAGTGACAATATTTTTTGTTTCAGTGGAGTTTGAATCTAATTCTCTTTTTTTTGATTGCTGTGTTTGTGTTTGTGTTTGTGTTTGTGTTTGTGTTTGTGTTTGTGTTTGTGTTTGTGTTTGTGTTTGTGTTTGTGTTTGTGTAGGTGGTTGTGTTTGTGGTGCTATTTGTTTTTGATTTTTTTGTATTTGTTTAATATAGTTTTCATAGGAGGTTGAATGTTTGGATGATTTACAATGAGCATTCCACATATTTTCGTTTGGTACCCTCATTTGACATATTGTACATGTTAATTGTTTTTGACTATTTAATCTATATTATTTATTTATGTAAATTTTGTTAATAATTTGTAATTAATAATATAAACCTGTTATAATATTAAACATACTTTAAAAATAGTTTGTCATTGAATTCGAGTGTTTGTTGTTGCGATGATAAATTAGTTGTTGAGGATAATGATTGCTTATTTGACGATGAGGATGAAGATGACGACGACGAAGATAATGCTGTGGTTTTTCTTGTATTTTTCATTAACTCTTTTAAATCATTTTTACTTGTCATTTTATTTATAAAAACAAATTTATAAAAAATAAATAAAATTAAAAAAATGAAAAATAAAAAATAAAAATAATTTTTTTTAAAATTTAAATTTTTTAAAAAAAAATTAATTCATTAAAACCTTTTTAAGATCATTTTTTATTTAATATTTTATTATTTCATATTTTTTATATCTCTATTTACAATGGTTCAAATACTATAATGGGGCGACCCCCCCCCCCGAAATGTTTTTTTAACCCATCTCTTAATTAATGAAATAGGTATGTGGTTACTTTAAAATTAAAAAAAAAAAAAGGGTGGTTTTAAAAAAAAATTAAATATTTAATTTATAAAATTTTAGTTATTTTTTTTAAAAATAATAAAACAACAAGTAACATAAAATAAATTAAAATAATGAATAATATAAAATTTCCAAATTATTTACAACTTAAAATTTTAGATTATTGTTGGAATGATTTAAATAAATATAGAATTAAAAAAAAAGAAAAATATTTAGATTGCAAAATAAAATGGAAGCTATATTTAATTTTAGTGAATTGGTTATGGTTCAAACATGCAAGAGATAACCTGGTTAGAAGCTATTCATTCGAGTATCAAATATTGGATGTTTACAAGAAATATTTCACAAATAGATTTTCAATTCAAAGCGGGATACCTGTGAACCTAAGAATTTCAACACAAAACATATCTACATTTTTAAACCATTACTACGAATTCAATGGGAAAGAAGGCGTACGGCTATTTTTTTCAGAGTTAAAAGAATTAGAAGTTTTGGTTAATTGCGATTTGGATTTTAATGACTATGATATTTTGTTTTCAAATATAACTAATTTAGAAACCCTCTCCATAGTATTCAGAGAAAGTATGATGTTCAATGAAAAACAACATTGCAAAATAATAGAGTATCTCGCCCAGCCAAGTGTCAACCAACAGCTAAATATCAGTCTAAAAACTCTCCACCTCCAATCAATATTATTTACAGATAGATTAATGGATAATTTCAAAAAAATTCAACTACCATACATCACCAAACTAACAATAGAAAATTTCGACACCAATTTATATTCATATGAAATTATTAAAATAATCAATACATTTTCAAATTTAAGAGAACTGCACTTTGTTTATCCATTAGATTTTGAATTCTATTTAAACTCCTACACAATTTTCACTTATTTATTAAAAAACAGTCTTATAGAATCATTAAGTTTAGATTTAACAGATAGAGAAACTTTGACAGTGGGTGGCAATGACAATAACTTATATGCAGATTTGGTTAATGTGTATTTAAAATATGCCCATAATCTCAGACATTTAAAATTAAGAATTCATCACCTTCAAAAATACCAAAACACCACAGTTTTCAAATTAATTCAGTTTCTGTTTACCTCCTCTAGCCACAATATTCAAACCCTAGACTGTAACATATCAATGAATCTCCCATTACCTTTTAAACTATCATCTTCCATCACTGATATTAAAGGTTTAATTTTTAACAATTGTTCCGCTGTTCAAGATATCAAAGAGCCACTAGAACTTTTAAACAACTCATGTAGTAGCTTACTTATTCCAAAAAACAAATATCCAAACCCAGTTATCGAATATTTACTCTTAAATTCAAAATCGCAACATATCACAATTGATTTTAGTTTGTATGGTATCGAACAATTAAAAGCTTTAAAAAAAAATAACTCTGTCAAATTTTTAAATATAGTAGGTTTAAAATTGGAAAAATATCAACTTTATTTGGACCAGATATTACTCTTTATAAAGAAACAAGACTCGATCATTCTAACCACAATTTCTATGGATCGTAAACACACCGAAAATTGGTCATTAATTAGGGCATGGCTATTAATAGAATCATCAACAAATAAAACTTTTTCAAACACTTTATTAGTTTGGTCAGAAATAAACAACTATTATAAATTTAACTACATCAATTTTTTTGATATAAAAATAATGAAAAAAAAATAAAAGAAAAAAAAATAATCTATTCAAATATCCGCACAGACTATTTCTTTCTATTTACAGTTTATTATTATACAATGATATTGATAAATAAAATTTATTATTGAATTTTTAATTTGAATCTATTATTTAGATGTTCATCTACAGAACATATAGAAATAACTCTGTAACATAGGTATTATCTGTTTTAATAAGAATTTTTTTATAAAGTATAAAACTGTTTATCACTCTAACTCTGATAATATCTGTTGTTCCTGATTCACGGAGTTATATATAATAATGCTTTGAAACTTGAATGATTTGTTGTTGTTTATTAGATTTATATAAAAACAAACTGTTGGACTAGCCCTACATGGTTTCTTTAGTACACATTCTAAGTCATTGAGCTATACTTGTCTAAATTTATTTGACTTTGCTAATTTTATTGCTATTTCTGATTGAATGTGTGAATAAATAGATTACACCTGAAATCTAAGTACCGAAAATTATCAAAACTGTATACCGATTATTAATTGAATTATAAAGTATATCTAAAGTTGATACCAATTTTGATTTTGAATTTGATTGTAATTGAGATTAATTAAAAATATCTACATAGTTTGGCTATTAGCTTTTAATAATGAAAATTAATTAAAATACTTGACACCTGAAGCATTTGGAATAGTCATCTTTAAAAATGGAATTTGAAAAAGTAGTCTTATACTTTAGTTTGTGGAATGCCTTCAATATTACCAAATGATATATTTATTGGTCCTAACCTACTACATCTAAATGTACAACCCTTTCTACTTGATTTTGATTCGAAATTTAAATATACCAAATTATATTTTTGAATTGAAATAGATTTCTAAAATCCTTTTTTAATGATAATTGCATATTACTGAAAATATTTAGAGTTGTAAAAAAATAATCCCATTTTTAATGGAACCATACCAGAACAAAAATGGCTTTAAGTGGTAAAATTTAAAGAACCCAATACTGATGCATCTATTATGATTTATGAAAGGCCAATTGAAGTCCATGATTTACTTGAGATTTAGGGCGGAAATTATAGTTTCTTGTTAGCTAAGTGCATATTGGCAAACCCAAACAATGATGGACCTCTACTTTGAGCAATACTTTTGAGCTTCATTGGCTACTGATTACTGAGAATGGCCGAAGACTGATTACTTTTAGTTTTTTTTTAATTATTATTATCATTATTTGATTATTATATTATACTGAAAAATTAAAAATGTGGTAAAGGTTAGATTAAAATTGGGTTATACTACTGAAAAATGATATTAAATGTGATTATTTAATAAATAAAAGTTAAAAGGATGATTTTTAACGATTAGTTTTAATCAATTTTAAAATAAAAATAAAATAGTAATATTTACATAGAATAAACAGAACCCTGATGTTTGAATTGTGACTTTAAAATGTGTTCATACTGAAAAAAAACCCCAATGTTTCAAGAATGATTTGAAAAAAACACAATTGAAAAGAATTAAACATACCCCCAATGTATGATTAATGATTTTAAATAAATAAAATGTTGAAACTGAACAAGAAAGAATTAAAATTAAGCTAAAAAGGTATAAAATAAAATATTAGTTTCTTTTATATTCAAATTTAATAATTATGTAAATAATACCATTAAAGTTACCTTAAAAATACAAATACCCCAATGTTGGCATTTAATAAAGAACCTGATTATAATGAAGGAGAAGTATTATAATTAAACAATATATGAGACCGAAAGAGAGATTTAATCTAAATATAAAAAAATAAATATTAGTTTCTTTTAATTTTAATAATTATGTAAATAATAATATTTAGTTACCTTAAAAATACCAATACCCCAATGTTGGCATTAGATAAAGAACTTGGTTATACTGAAAGAGAAAATATTAAATTATATATGAAACTGAAAGAGAGAGAATTAATCTAAATATGAAATAAATATTAGTTTCTTTTATATTTTAATAATTATGTAAATATTATTATTGTATTTACTTTGATAAAACAAATACCTAAACATGGCAACGTGTTGAATGAGAAAGAATTAAATATTGAACTTTTTGATGTATATGAGAAAGATTTAAACTAAAAAAGAATAAGATATTGGTAAATTTTATATTCAAATATAATAATTATTTAAATATTAACATTATAGTTACCTTAGGGAATGCACACATATTGACATTTAGTATAGATCATGATTATAATGGAAGAGAAAGTATTATATTTAAACTATATAGGATTTAAAATTTAATATTAGTTTTTTTATATTCAATCTTAGTATTATTTATTAAAATATTAACTTAATAGTTACCATAAGAGAACTAGCATATGAAACCTTTGGAACTTCTTTAACCTTTTTTGAAGAGTTGAGGATAATGCAATGAATGGTAATGTTTGTCCGATGAAGTTGTTTTCTGATATGATCTTGATTGATTTCGTTATTATTCCATATAGATAGAGTATTATTGATTGAGGTTAAAATCATCATCTAATTGGTGGCCAGCTAATTGATGACGATTAAATTAAAAATCTATATTTTCCCTATGGATTGGAATATTGTAATCGAAATGCTATTGGACATCCATACTGTTTAAAGTGTTATTTATATTATTAATCAATGTTCATTGCATCATTTGTTAAACCCTCATTTTGATTATCTCTCTACAATTAAATAATAAATTAAATTAATATATGTTTTATTTATAAAGTATAAATATGAATGTATGAATTACTTACTCTAATACTTGAAATTGGATGTCTGCAAGTTGGACAGGTTCTAGTACGAGAATACCATCTAGTAATGCATTCAAAGCAAAATTTATGAACACAATCAATTGATGCACTATTAATGGCTTCTACCTGATTTAAGCAAACTGTGCAGGTGTTTTGGTCTTCGTCTTGTTCCATTTGTTGTGGTTGACTTTCTTGTTGCAATCTTATTTGTTGTAATCTTTCTTGTTGCAATCTTAAGGCTTCAAATTGTTCTCTACGTACCCTTTGATTTTCTTCTTGTGTTTCTTGGGCACGTTCTCTTTCTAAATTTCTTCTATTTGCCCTTTGTTGAAGTAATACATCTAATCGTTCTCTTTATGAATTTAAGTAACGAATATATTCTCGGGCTTCTTCCAAATGTTGTTGTTGCTCTCTGGCAACTCTTTGTGATCTATCTCTTTCTATTGCATCCCTACGTACCCTTTCTCTTAATAAAGTTTGGGCACGTTCCCTTTCTTGTTGCTCTCTTGCAACTCTTTCTCTTTCTCTTCTTTCTCTCTCTAATTGTTCTTGACGTACCCTTTCTTGACGTTCTCTTTCGATTCTTAATAAATATTGGGTACGTTCCCATTCTTGTTGCTCTCTTTCTATTCTCTCTCTTTCAATTCTTTCAGTCTCTAATTGTTCTAGACGTACCCTTTCTTGACGTTCTCTTTCAATTCTTAATAAATATTGGGTACGTCCCCATTCTTGTTGCTCTCTAAAGATTCTTTCTCTTTCTAAAGCTTCTAAACGTTCTCTTTCTTGTCTTTCTCTGGTTAATCTTTCTGAACGTTCAGATTCTCTGATTTCTCTTGCAAAATCCAATACTTCTTTTCTGAGAGCTTTGTTTGCCTTCTCCCTTTCTGTTTGTTCTTTATCCCTTCTTAGAATCTCTAAAACTAATGGATCTGACTCTAATGATTGGTTTCTATTATTGATGTTGTAATTATTGTTATTATTATTGCTATCATTAGAGGCAATGTTTGAAGGAATAAATGTTGGGGTGGTTCTTTCTTGTGTTTCTTGTGTTGGTGTATCTTTGAAAAAACGAGATGGTAAATATCTTACACCATTTTTACCATTATTATTATAATTATTATTATTATTATTGTTATTGTTATCATAAATTATATTATTATTATCATCATAATAATTATTATTTAAATTAATATTATTATTATTATTATAAATATCACTATAATTATTTAAATTATTATTATTATTAAAATTATTATTATAATTAAAATTATAATGATTATAATTATTATCATTATTATTATTATAAAAATTATTATTATTAATAGAGTTATAATTATTATTATTATTATCATTATAATTGCAATGATTATAATTATTAATATGATTATTATAAAAATTATTATTATTATTATTGATGTAGTTATAATTATTATTATTATTAAAATTAAAATTATTATCATTATTATAATTATTATTATTAATATTATTATTAAAACTACTATTATTATTATTATTATTATTATTATTAATTTTATTAATTATATTTTTATATAAAATATAGATACAAAAAATGATAATTAAAAATATACAAATTAAAATATATAAATTATCCATTTTTTTTTTTTTATTGAGACAAAAAAATATATGTATAAAAATGTAAAGTTATTTATTTGTAAAGAAAAAAAAAAAAAAGAAAAAAAAAAAATTATAGAATGAGGTTTTTTTAAAAAAAATTTTTTATTTTTTTTTTCAAAAAAAAAATTAAACATATCCTTTTTATATATCATTGTAATGGGGTATATGATGTTCATATATTATAATAATATTATTATAATAAAAATATGTGCCTCAACCTCATTGTATGTATTTTTTTTTAAATTTTAATGACAATCATATAATAAATAGAAATTGAATAAAATATTATTATATAAAATTTACAAATATTTATTTAAAAAAAAAAAAATCATCACACAATAAACTTCATAATAACTATTTAATTTCTTTTTCATTTTTTATATTTTTTTTAATTTTAATATTTTTTAATAAATTAAATAATTTTATATTTATATATTTATCACGTTTCACCATAATAACTATCAATTTTAATAAAAATCAAATCCATTAAATATTTAATAATTTATAATTCACATCATATCACCATTATAAATTAAAAATTTAATTTAAAAATGAATAATTAACTAAAAAACATTTTTTCCTCATTTATTTTTATCTTTATTTTTAATTTATTTTCTATATGGTTTGCTCTATCCTCTCCACAATGTATAGTTGCATTTCAAATCCGGAACAAGCAAATATTAAACAAACCGAAGTTGCCATCTCAATTTTTGTCCATTTTGGAAATGCAATTAAAAATAACCAAGAAAATAGCAAAAAAGCAATTTCAATGTATTATTGACAAGATTTTTAAAAGTTCTTTAAATATTTTTATAAAATTAAGACCGCATGGATCAGTAGCAGGTCACAGTCAATTGCTTTCCAATACATACAGGTTTATTTGGTCCTTATATGACTCCATCAGTACCGATTTCAGTTCAGATTAAATAATTTTAATAAAATCCAAGAAAAAAAATCATTTCTATTAAACACTTTTTAAACTAAAAAAAACTGGAAATATATATATATATTTAAAAATAAAAAAATATTATTTATAAACACATCAGATAAATTAATTAAAAAAAATAAATACATATTCAGAAATATAAAAAAAAAAGAATTATATTTATAATATTTTTAAAAATTATTTACTCTAAAAAAGGTAATAATAAAAATAAAAAAATTTATTTAATTAATATATATTATTTATTATTAACTATTTTACTGAATTTCCTTGATCGGTATTACATTGACCTAAATCCAATTGATTTCGGATTTAGAACATTGTTGTTGAGGAATTAGAACAACAAAACCAACAACAACAAGCCCAACAACAACAACAATTTCAATTTCAATATCAACACCAAAATCAACATCAGCATCAGCATCAAAATAATCAACAACATAAAAAAAGAGGGAATGCAAGTGAAACAAAACAAGATATTGAAAGAAGAGTAAGACAAAAGGTCCATGGGGCTTGGAAAGAGTTTGATGAAATATCAAAAAGAAGAAATCAATCAGATTATAATGGACCAACTCTTTTATTGACAAACTACAGCCAAAGTGAACAAATCATAAAATTTAAAAAAGAAAAAGATGAAAAGAGAAGAAAAGAAAAGGAAAGAAAAAGACAAAAAGAAATAGAAAAGAGAAGAAAAGAAAAGGAAAGGAAAAGACAAAAAGAAATGGAAAAGGAAAAAAGAAAAAAGAGAAAAGAAAGGGATATAGACAGAGATAGAAGGGATAAAAAAAAGAAAATTAAATTTTCCCTAAATGAAGATCAATGAAGAGCCAAAATATAAAGATAGAGTTAATTCATATTTAGTTTAATTCATTCTCTTTAAAGCTTCACACGTTCTATTTAAGTCTACATTGGGATATTCATTATTATTTAGTTCAGATTCAATTCTTTCTTTTTCAGTTTCAATACGTTATTTATTACGAGTAATTATTTATACATTGGTGGTTCCATATATTCCATTGATTCGAGGTTCAGTATTTTCTTTATAATTGTCTTTTTCAAGTAATTCATCAAACACTGGCAACTGTTTTTTTCAGGTCACTCATCAAACATTTGGGGTTCAATATCTTCTTTTTAATCTGGTTTTCAAGTCATTCATCAAACATTTGAGGTTCAGTATTTTCTTTTTAATCGGGGTTTTCAAGTCATTAGTAATACATTGGGGGTTTCAAGTCATTCATAAAACATTGAGGTTCAGTATATTCTTTTTAATTGGGGTTTTCAAGTCACCCATCATACATTGGGATTCAACATATTCTTTTTAAATGTGGTTTTCGAGTCATTCATTAAACATTGGGGTTGTTTTCAAATCTTTCATCATACATTGTGAGTTTATTAAGTCATTCAAACGCTGTGGTTTTTTCAAATCGTTCATCATACATTGGGGTTGTTTTTCCAAATCGTCCATCATACATTGTGGGTTGTTTTTAATTCATCAAACGCTGTGGTTCTTAATTCGTCAAACATTGTGGGTTGTTTTTTCAAATCGTTCATCATACATTGTGGGTTGTTTTTAATTCGTCAAACATTGTGGGTTTTTTAATTCATCAAACGCTGTGGTTTTTTCAAATCATTCATCATTCATTGAGGTTTAGTTTATTCTTTTTAATTGGGTTTTTAACGTCATTTATCAAGCATTAGGGGGTTTTTCCAAGTCACCCATTATTCATTGGGGTCTACTTTATTTTTTTTAATTGTGTTTTTCAGGTCATTCATCATTCATTAGGGTATTTCTACTTTAAAGGTATTTATAAAGTTAATATTTATATAATTATTATTATATTTGAATATAAAAGAAACTAATATTTAATTTTAAAGCTTAATTAGATTTTAATTCTTTCTATTTGAACACATAATAATAACAATAATATAAATATAAACAATAATATTAATAATAACGAAAATGATAATGAAAATAAAAATGAAAATTATCAATTAAATACCATCTACAAAAACAATTAACACTTTCATCCATTTTATTAAGTACAATTTAATGTCATTTGGTCACAGATCCGGGTCAACCTTCATCATCAATTTTATCATTTATTGTTATTATATAGAATTAAAAATTCTCCATCACTAGTTAATTTTCTATTCATTATCAAAATAAAGATCTATAATTTTAAATTTTTTAATAAAATAAATTTTTATTGTTTTTTATTTTTTAAAAACCATATGGTAAATTTTTTCCATTTTGTTTGAAATCTTTTATAAATTAATTAAACTGTATTGATGGATGCTTTTTTTAAAATTTTTGTTTGAATATATAAAAGTGACGATAAATTTAATAAAAATAAAAATAAAATAACAATATATTATAATATAATGTCCCTATGTCTATCAAATTATATTAAAAAAAAAAAAAAAAGATTAGTTTAAGAGTGTTTGCGATATCGAGATTATTAAACAGAGCTAAATTTTGAATTAGACTCTATTTAATATTTTATACGCAATTGAAGGTTAATTTTGACTTAAAACTTTTTTTAGTAAAAAACGATTTTGTTCGATGTATTCGATTATCAGAGCACCCTTTAAACTATTCCTCAGAAAGATAAATAAAAAAATAAATTAATACACCCTAAAAATATTAAAAATATATATTGTGGGATAAATTAAAAAAGTTAAGAAAAAATTTGGAAAAATATTATTTTTGAAAAAAAATTTAAATAAATTTTATTGTAATTATAATTATTTATTTAATTAATTTTTAAAGTATCATTTTGATTAAATATTGGTTTATCATAGTAATGATGAATATGCAATGGGTTTAATAATTGAAATTCTTTTTTTAATTCATCAGATTTAATTTTGTTGATTGAAAGAGACAAATGATTACCTATATCTTGAGCAAAACAATACTTATTGTAAACACTAGGGTCATAAATACTGTTACAAACAGGTATCCATCCTATAGTTGGGTGATAAAATTCATTTTTGTAGTGGACTATTTCTATACGACCGGATAAACCAGAGTTTTTACCGCTTAGAGTACGACAAGGGACACCGGAGAATCTTAAAATCATTTGATAAATAATTGCAAATGAACAAGAGTCAGCTTTACCCAATCTAATAGTCTCAAGTGGTTCTTGATTTGAATGATCTGGTGAGTATTCGATTCGCTTTAGATATAATGCAACTCTATAACCAAAACATAATAGAGACTCGATATTGCCATCAGAGAAACGTTGTGGATAAAGTTTTTGTAAAAGTATAAATTGCTGAAACTCTTGCTGTTGACTATCTAAATAGTACTCTTGTCTTAAATAAAATTCACGCTCCTCAGTAGTCAATTGTTCGACATGTACTATCTCATCTGGCTCTGCTTCGACTAATGAAACCTTGAAAAGCTCTGCTTGGATCTCTTGTCTTAACTGATATTTAGCTGGTGGTCTATTTAATGTTATTCTATAGATTGGATTCAAATCTGTTGGTATTATCTCTGAATCGCATATCATTTCACCATCATCGTTATAAACTGAAAATGCTGTATAGTTGATTTTTTGACTCGGTAAATTACATGGTTTATTTAAATAATAAATTGATTTTTCAATACTTCCTCTAACCAAACTAATTTCCTTACAATAGTTATATTTTATAATACCATTTGATTCTATTTTTAATTTAAATATTTTTTTATCCCACACTATAAAAAAAAATGGATTAGAATATTATTTTTATAAATTATTTTTATATGTATCTTTTTAATTACAATTTTGATGAGCTTGATGATCATTTAGATAAGATTCATAAGATGGTTCATCTTTATTTGTGGTTGGTGATAAACTTTGTGATTTCTTTGATTTGTGTTTAATTTTTGGTGATTTACTTGATTTACTAGGTTTTGATGGTATGTTATTGTTGGTTTGAGGTTGATTATCGGCTGGTGAAAAAGTTTCTGGGCTATAAATTAATTCATTACCTGTATCAATAGTTTCTATATTATTTTGTATTCTATTTGGATTATTACTATAGTTACTATTCATACTGATATTATTATTACTATTGTTATTATTAAAGTTTAGGTTTATAATATCATTAAACTCACTATTACTATCTTTGGTTTCTTTTTCTTTTTTATCTTTAAATAACCCAACTTTTGATAAAAATTTCTTTTTCTTTAATGTAGATTTTGCTGGCATTTGAAGTGGTGGTTGTACCATACGTCCTTGAATTGTGTAATCTTCATCGCCTTCTTCAATATTAATAACTAAATTTCTAATATCTAAAATATTTGTTATATTGCTTGTTGTTGATGTCGTTGTTGTTGTAGGTGGTGTTGGTATTGGAGTTGGTATTGGAATTGGTATTGGTGCTGGTGCGGGTGTTGTGGCTGTAGATGCTGTTGATATTGATGTGTTAATATCACCATTTTCTATTTCAACGTTGTTATCACTATTAACTTCATCTAGATGAGTTATTACATGAGCATTAATTTCAGACTCTATAAATTTTTTATTACATATTGGGCATGAGAATAAACCTTGATTATTAATATTACTATTACTGTTACTATTACTATTACTATTACTATTACTATTACTATTACTATTACTATTACTATTACTATTACTATTACTATTACTATTACTATTACTATTACTATTACTATTACTATTACTATTACTATTACTATTACTATTACTATTACTATTACTATTAATACTACTATTACTGTTATTGTTATTGTTATTGTTATTGTTATTGTTATTGTTATTGTTGCTATTACTGTTACTATTACTATTATTGTTACTGCTACTGTTACTGTTACTGTTACTGTTATCATTGCCATTCAAATTAGTAGTACTATTATTTACACTATTGCTAACATTATTATTAACATTATTGTTAATACTACTATTTGTTTTGTTATTAATATTACAATTGCTATTATTATCATTATTAAAATCACTAGTTATAGAATGAGTGCTATTTGTGTCACTATTTACTGATTGACTACTATTTAAACTTTTAATAACTTTAAAATTATCAAACTGTTTATAATTGGTTTTATTATAATGATAATATAAAGCATTTAATAAAGTTTTTTCAAATTTAGATTGTTCTTGTTTGCATGGTGAAGGTAGTAATTTTAATTGAGTTTTATGTGAATATATTGTAGTTGCTTTGATTAATTCTACTTTTTCTCTTTCACTTGTACCATTTTGATATTTCATTTGTTGAATTGTTATAAATGGATTATTTGGATGATTTAAAAAAGGTATTTCACTATGAAAATCTAAACCAAGCGTTATCATATCACCATGATCTTTACCAAATGATTGAGTGTATGTTGAATTGTTACCATTACTATTATTAAATTCTTTTCTTGTAACATCGATAGGTACCCAACCAATTTCAGCAATGAAAATATCTAATTTAGTATACCATTGACCATTATCTGTTTCATTATTATTATTGCAACTACTATTATTTTCTAAAGGTGAGAGAAGTAATGATTTAAAATCATCAAATGTTGAATATCTATTATTTGAACCATTATTATTATTATTATTATTATAATTATTATTCATATTATTATTAACTATATTTGAAAGGTGACAAAAGTTAATTCTTGTTGGCACTTTATGATATCGCATAATTGAAGCAAAGAAAAAACAATGACAATTTGAATCACCATATTTAGCATTAAATGTTTCTACTGGCCTACCACTTAAATCGTGTAAAGTATTGATCTTGAAATTTAAAATCATGTATAAATAAATTCTATAAGCAAATGAGAGTATACTTTCAGTACTACCATCTTCAAATAATTGTGGAAAGAAACCATTTTTTTGAACCATTTCTTCAAACTCGATGTTATTTTCGAAATCTAGAATATCGGTTGGACGTAGATAGAGGTCGATATCACGATCGCTAATAGGCTCGACTAATACAATTTCGTTTGGGTCAGTTACTTCAACAAGGTCAACTTTATAAATATCGATTTCTACTGCTTCTCTGAATGTGAAATGGGTTCGTGCGGTTGGGACACTAGGTTGGTTATAGTTAAAGTACCATATCTTTTGATGTAATGAATCTGCAGCAGTTTCGATAATCTGGGGCTCCATAATCACAGAACCGTCCTTACCATTCAAAAGAACCATTGATGACTTTCTAACATTTTGGTTTTGAAAAGTTTGTGGAATTGCATTCCAAACCATAATGTTATTTGCTGTTGAATTCTGTCTGTAAATAATCTTTAATTCGTATTCGAAAATTACTGAACAATTGAATTTCTTTACCAATTTGAACCTTTTATTCCATAAAAATTTGTGAAACTCTAAATCATACACCAAATTCTCTAAAGCTGGTACATTTAACAGTTTTAACTTCCTATCGATTGAATTTACATTCTCTGCAGATCTATTAAACTGTGAAAAACCAACTGTACTTGCTGCGCCGCTGCTGCTACTTCCGATACTAAGTGAGCTGCTTGTGTGTCTAAGACCACGATATCCATAATCACCACTACCACTTACTACAACATCTGGGGAGCTTTGTTTGAAATTTTGGTTCAATAATTTTAAATTATCAATTTTATTTCTTTGATACTGTTCATATCTGGATACTTGAGTTTGAATATTATTTTCATAGTTTTTGAACTGAGCTTCTAAACTATTATAATTTTGCTGATTATTTATATCGTTTATATTACTACTAAACTTTAATTTATATTCTTGGTAGAGTTTAAAACTATTTAAATATTGAGGTACAATATTATTTAAATATAATTGATCATCAAATTCATGTTGAGAACTATTATTATTATTATTATTATTATTATTATTATTATTATTATTATTATTATTACTAATACTATTATGTGGTGTTTGAGATTTATTAAAATTATTTTTAAAACTAATATTATTATTATGATTTAAGAAACTTGAACTTTTTCCAATACCCTTGCCAACGTCGTCATATAAAATGTTAAATACAATTTGAATGTTTATAATTGGTAAATCGAAATAAGTGGCCCTATCTTGAAAAAACTGTTTAACTTCACTCTGAATTAATTCTTTCAATTCTAAATACTCTTCGATATGTTTGCTCTTAGCATTGCTATTTGATACATGTAAAATCTCTTTAATGAAGAACTGATCAAAGTTATCCAATTTTAATTTTAAATATAGAGACTTTTCATAATAGTTTAAAATTAAATTAAAATTTTTTTCTAAACTATTCTTTCTGTCTTGAAAGCTTTTGATTGACTCTTTAATAATTGAATCTGAATGTTGATATAATGGATGATCGTCATTAAAATTATTTTTAATAATGCTATGGTATCCTAATTTCGATAAAAACAAATCTATTAAATTTAATAAAAATATTTATTAATAAATCATTATTTAATTATTTTTAATAATTTATAATATATACTTACTTTGAAATTGATTTATATAATTATATAATGCTTCTTTTGTATCAAATACAACTTTATAAAAATTTAAAAACTCTATTTTATGTAAATCAAATGATTCATTATTATTATTATTATTATTATTATTATTATTATTATTATTATTATTATTATTATTATTATTATTATTACTGTTATTGTTATTTTGATTATTGTTGTAGTTGTAGATGTTATTATTCTGTATAAAATGAAATTTATTATTTAGTTTAATGGTTTTTAATTATTTTTATTATATAAATACTTACGTCGCCCATATTCTACAATCTATTAAATTGTATATTTTACATATATTTATGTATATCTATATAAAAGATAACAATGGTTTGATTTAATGAATTTAAAATTTTAAAAATAAAAAAAATTAAAAAAATTAAAAAAAAAATTTCGCAGCTTGGCAAAAAAGTCTTAAATTTGTGAGAAAAATAAGATTATAAATACACTCTGGTTTTTATTATAAATAAAATAAAGAAAAGTTTGTTTATTATTTATTTATTATAAAAAAAATAAATAAAAAAAATTGAAAAAAAAAAATTGATAAAATAGATTATTATTATTATTTAAATTGTATATTGTTGTGAATTTGGATATGACTGGAATATGATCATTTCTTGTCTTAATTTATACGCTATCATAAATAAGATAACTCTGAGAATAAATAATGCTGTAAGGTCGGTGAAATAGTTGAAAGCAATCATCAAGATTTCGATGCATAAAAATATTGAGAATGCTATAACGTTTTGTCTTTTGATTGAGATTAAGGCCAATATATTGTTTGCAAGACCAACCAACAGGAATACGATTAATGGATGAAACGATGTAAATGAGGTCAAGAGAAGACAATAATAAAACATTTCGACGCTGAGAACAGAGAGGAAGAGTTTCTTTCGCTTTTCCAACTCGAAAAATGATAGTCTAACACCGTAATCTGAGAAATTGTCGCTAACATCGTCTCGAATTCCATTGGGTGAAGATATACCAAACTCTCTGTATTGGCTTGATAGTCTTTGGATGATTTCGTCGTTGGGACTAAAGTAACCAGATGGATTATGCTCGCCGCTCTTGTGATAATGTGTAAATTTGCTTTCAGAGAAACCGATCGATATTTTATTGTTCGGTTGCTCTATTACAATGATGTCGTTATCTTTGATTAAATTGTTTTGTTGATCTCTAATTTGTTGGATTTCGTTTGCAAAATGGTTAGAGTACGGTGTAAATTGATTCTGATCGCCATCATGCTGATGTCGTTGTTGAATTTGTTCTAATAATGCATCGTATCTGCTATTGGATCGCATATGGTTTATAATATGACTTTCTAAACTGTATGGGTCGTTTGCTCTTATAAACCATGTTGGTGTTGTATTTACAGAGTATAAAGGAAGTTGAGTAATTTGAGCTTCATTACTATCACTATTATTTATATTACTGGTTGTAATTGTAATTGTATTTGGGTGAGTACTTTCAACTGGTTGTAATGTATGTTGGGTTTGTATACTATTATTATTATTGCTATCGTTGCCACTACTATTACTACCATCCTCTTCATTGTCACCGAGATAATATGAATAATTAATTCTACTTTCTTCATCTTCCTCCTCTTCGTTTTTATCTGTATATTTTCTAAATGAAGATGATATATTATTTCTTATTTTTTGAAAAAAACTATTACTGGTATTATTTGATGTTAATGAGACCTCTTCATTATCGCTATTATTTTCTATTTTATTAATTTCAATTATTGAGCCACTTTCATTTAATTCATCATTGATATTATTATTATTGTTGTTATTATGTATGATTTATAATATTTTCACTTAAGCAATATTATTTATATTATAGGATGTTGATTTTTATTATTTATTTATTTATTTATTAATATAAATTTTAAAAAGTAATAATTATTAACTTTTATTTTTCTTTTTCCTTTTCTATTTCTTTTTTTTTTTTTAAATTTTAAAAAATATGTGAAAAAAAAAAATTAAAAAAAAATTAAAAAAAAAAAAATTAAAATAAATATTATTTTTTTAAAATTTATTTTTAATTAAATTAAATTAAATAAAATTTAATTTAATATTGTATTTGTAGTTATTTGTACTATAATTATAATTAGTTATCCTTAATTATTATTTTTACTTTTAAATAGCTCTTTATAATATAATTAAAATGTGTATGGTTTTTTAACCAGTTTAATATATCTTTCAATTGTATATTTTTTTTATTTTTATTTTATTTTTTTTTAATTTTTATTTTTTTAATTTTATTTTTTTTTATTTTTTATTTTTTTATTTTTTTATATTTTTTTTTTTTTTTCACAAAAACTATAAAATCTCAACCTCAAACACATTTATAAATAATATAAATAATAATAATATAAAAACATGATTTTTTCTAAACATAAATAATATTTATAATAAATAAATAAACAATTAAATAATAATCCATCCTTTTTTTTTAATTAAAATAATATATAGCTTACAAATATTATAGTAACAACAATAATAATTAAATAAAAATAAACTATTCATATAATAGTAATAAAAAAATGAATTTACTTAAAACAGCTGCTGGTAATGCTTCCAACTCAGTCATACCAAAATTAAAATATCCACTTATATTTTCCCATGGTTTGTTTGGCTTTTCAAGTTTTCTTTTCCTTCATTACTTTAATAATATCGTTCAGCCAATTAAGAGACATACCATTGCCGAAACCACTGTAGTTCATCCCACCGATTCAATTAAGAATAGAGCAGAATCCATGTATTCTCAAATTCAAGAAATTATGAAGAGACACAATACCGATAAGGTCCATATTATTGCCCACAGTATGGGTGGCTTGGATGCAAGATATTTAATTAACAAACTTGATCAAGGTAGAAATGTTTTATCATTGGTAAGTTATCACTATTTACTTTCAACAATAACAACAATATTATTTATATATTAACACCACATTTTAATATTAAATAGACAACACTTTCAACACCACACAGGGGGAGCTATATTGCAGAATGGTCAATTTTAAATATAACACAAAAACTTTATATAGAACATCTCTTTAAGACCATAGGTATTCCATTGGAGGCATTGGATAATTTAACACCAGAGTTCCTTAATAATGATTTTAATAAAACCATTTTGGACCAACCTCATGTTCAATATACCAGCTATGGTGCCTATAAAGACTCAATACAAAACTTTTTCACTCCAATGCGTTATTTCCACAAACTCCTATTGGAAAAAGAAGGTAAAAATGATGGTTTGGTCAGTTTAAACTCCTCCAAATGGGGTGAATCCTTCAAAGTTATTCACAATTGCGATCACAGGGACTTAATTAATTTAGGATTTTCCGGTTATAATGCTTTCCCAATTTATGAAAATATTTGTAAAGATATTTACGACTTGGAACAACAATTATCAATTAAAGAAAGAACAACAAATTTACCACATTCAACCTTTACTTTAAATAACAATTTTGACAATACCTTTAATAATAAACAATAATAGTAATATTCCTGTCAATTTTCAATTTATATGGTATTAATTAAAGTTAAAACAACCACAACCCACCCACCAAAAATATAAAAAAAAAATATTCTATTGTAAAAAATAAATAAAAAAAAAAATAAAAAAAATAAAAAAAAGAATAATAATAATAATAAATAATTAATTAATTATATTTTAAAAGTTGTATAAAATTATTTATTTAAAAATATATTATTTTTTAAATATATTTTTAATTTTTTTTTAATTTTTAATTTTTTTTTCTTTTTTTTTCGTTTTTTTCAAATTCTTTTTTTAATTTTTTTTTTTATTTTTTTATTTTTTTATTTTTTTTTAATTCCAATTGTTAAAATTTATTTAAATAAAAATATATTATAATATCTATATTATAGGATAATTATAATAACAAATATATAATAATATTATAGTTTTTTTAATAAATATTAGGATAATTAAAATTTTATTGTAACAGCTCACATTTTTTTCTTTTTTTTTATTGTTTATTTAATAGAATAAAAAAAATAAATAAAAATTTTATAAATATAAATATTGTAAAAATATATAAGAATGTCATACAGCAATAGTAATAATAGAGGCGATAGTAGCAGTAGTGGTTTTTCAGATAGTAGAGGTGGTGGTGGTGATTACAAACCATCTTCCTCCTCTTCGGGTGGCGGTTATAGAAGATACGACGATAATAGAGGCGGAAGTGGTGATTCAAGAGACTATAAATCAAGCTATAATAGCGGTAGAAGCGGTGGCGATAGAAATAGTAGTTATAATAAAGATAGAACCTATAACAAAGATAATAGGGATTATAAAAAAGATAGTGGTAGTAAAGATTATAAGAGTAGAGATTATAATGGAAATAGCGGTGGTGGTAATAGAGATTATAGAAATAATAGTAATGGTTATAATAATAGTGGTAGTAGCAATAATAATAGTAATGGCTATAATAGTAGTAGTGATAATAATAATTATAACAACAATTATAATAGAGATAATAAATATAATCCATCATTACCAACATCAACAATACCAGCATCTTTGCCATATTCAAATAATATTCAACCACCACCACCACCACCACCATCATCGTCTGCCAAAAAAGACTTTAATGATTCATGGGAAGAAGGAAGTATAGGTTATGCACAAAACAATAGTGGTTATGTTGGAAAAAACAGTTATGGTTATAACAATAGTAATAATAGTAGTAGTAATAATGGCTATAATGGTTATAATAATAGTAATGGATATAAACAGCCACAACAGCCACCACCATCATCATCAACACCATATAATTATAATAGTTATTCAGTACCACAGCCACCACCACCATCATCATCATCAACCTCCTCTTCATACAGCAACCCGTCATCACAATATGGATCAACATCAACATACAACAATAATTATGGATCAGCACCAAACAATAATAGTCAATACAACTCAAATTCAATTTCAAGTTATGGAGCATACACACCAGCATCATCACAATATGGATCATCATACTCATCAAACTACAATAGCTATGGTAAATCAATGCCACCACAACCACAACCACCAACATCAACATCAACATCAACATCTTCATATTATTCAAGTACACCTAGTATTTATGGAGCATCAGGATATTATGGATCAATTAAAGCAAAAAATGATCAATTTGGTTCGGCATTAACAGATTTAAAATGGGATCTTTCAAAATTACAAAGATTTGAAAAGAACTTTTATCATGAAAATGAAGAACTTACAAGAACTAGCGATGAGGAGATCGAAGAATTTAGAGAATCATGTATGATGACAGTCAAAGGTAGAGATATTCCAAAACCAATTATCCATTTCAATCAAGCACCATTCCCAAACTATTTAATGAAAGAAATTATGGCTGCAGGATTCCCAAATCCAACCCCAATTCAATCTCAAGCATGGCCAATCGCATTAAAGGGTCGTGATATTATTGGTTTAGCTAAAACTGGTTCAGGTAAGACATTGGCTTTCCTTTTACCATCAATTGTTCATATTAATGCACAACCAACTCTTAAACCAGGTGATGGCCCTATCGTTTTAGTATTGGCTCCAACCAGAGAGTTGGCACTTCAAATTCAAGAGCAAGCTAGAAAGTTTGGCGGCACAAGTCAAATTTCAAATGTTTGTGTTTATGGAGGTGCTTCAAAACATAGCCAAGTTATGATGCTCAAAAAAGGTGTTGAAATTGTTATCGCTACTCCAGGTCGTCTTATCGATATTTTAACAAGCGGTGATACTAATCTCCGTCGTGTTACCTATTTAGTATTGGATGAAGCCGATCGTATGTTGGATATGGGTTTTGAACCACAAATCCGTAAGATTTTAAGTCAAATTCGTCCAGATCGTCAAACATTAATGTTTTCAGCCACATGGCCTAAAGAAGTCCAATCATTAGCTAATGATTTCCTTTCAGATCACATTCAAGTACACATTGGTAGCAGTGAATTAACTGCCAATCATAATGTTAATCAAATTGTAGAGGTATGTAGCGAATATGAAAAAAAAGAACGTTTATTCAAGTTTTTAGAGGCCAATGTTTCAAAAGATGATAAAGTTATCATTTTTGCTGAAACTAGAAAAGGTGTAGATGAGCTTCATCGTAGTTTGCAATCTGCTGGTTTTAAATCAATTGGTATCCATGGTAATAAATCACAACCCGAAAGAGATTTTGTATTATCACAATTCAAAAACGGTATTTTCCCAATTATGATTGCTACTGATTTAGCATCGCGTGGTTTAGGTAAGTAATTAATATTATTAATGCTATTTAATTTTTATATATACTATTTTCTATATAATTTTTTTTTTTTCAAGTTTTAAATTTAAAAAGGGAGAAAGAAACAAAAAAAAAAGGAAAAAAGGAGAAAAAGGAGATAGAAGATTATAATTTATTTATTTTCTATTTTTTTTTCAAAATATCTTTCGTTGTCTTTTTATATTTATTGTCAAATTTATATTATATTTATTAAAAAAAAAAAAAAAAAAAAACAAAGTAGAGTTAGAAGGAAATTATCATTAAAAAAATATTTATATAACTAAATAATATTATAACAGTAACTTTTTTATAAAGCTTGATAATTATCAAGGTTTTGAACAAGTTATAAACTATCTCCTTATTTTCTTTTTTTTCTTTTTAAAAAAAGAGGGTAGGTAGAGTAAAGAGCAAAATAATAATTTTACAATATAATAACAACAATAATAATAATACAAATAATAAAATAATAATAATAACAATAGTTTTTTAATGAATGATATACTTTACTACTAACAAAATATAAATATAAACAAATATAAATTTAATTTTTTCTTTTTTCAAAAAAAATTATATAATTATATTATGTAAAAAAAAAAAAAAAAAAAAAAAAACATATACCCTCTGTAGCATATACTAATATTTATAAAATATAGATGTCAAAGATATTAAATTTGTTGTAAATTATGATTTCCCAAACACAATCGAAACTTATGTCCATCGTATTGGTAGAACTGCAAGAGCTGGTGCCACTGGAACATCAATCAGTTTCCTTACAAGGGAAAACGCCCGTTTAGCAAATGACCTCATCAAAGTTTTGTCAGAAGCAAAACAAATATATTCCAGTTGAACTTTCAAATTTAACTGTTGTCCCATCAAACAATAACCATTCCCATGTTAAAAGATACCAACCATATCAGCCATATCATAAAAGAGGTTAAAGCAAACTTTTTTTTAAACCCATCACATAAAAAATTAAAAAAAAAAAAAAAACAATAAAAAATAAATAAAACCCTTTTATGTATATTTATAAATTTATTATTTAAATTTATTAAATAAAAAGAAAAAAAAACCAAAAAAATTATGGATTGTAAATAAAATAATTATTCTAATTTTTTAAAATAAATAATATTATCTTTTTTTTATTTTATTTTTAAATTATATACATTCACAAGTTGATTTTTTTTCTGTGCATTATAGAACTAATTTGACTCTTCACTATCGTCATCGTCATCATCATCAATGATTGGAGTTAAATTATCATTACTGGTGGAGCTGGGAAAGCTTTTTCTTGGTGGTGGTCTTGGTGTTTTGGTTGGTGCTGTTGATGAGCTTGGTGGTGATACAGATGAATTTGTACTATTAGAAACAGTTGGAGTGGTAGTGGAGCTATGGTCTTTAATTGATAGATTATCTAAAGGTATATTTGTAGTGATGGTGCTGTTAATTGAAATTAAAGTTGATGCATTTGAAATACTATTACTACGACTGGTGGAGTCGGGTGATATTGGACTATTTACCGAACCGTCTTTAACTAATAGTGAAAGTCTATCACCCTTGAATACTAGCTGTAACTTTTCTAAATCATACTCTTCAACCCTAGCGGATTTAATTTCTTTTCTCTTTAAGGTATCATAATATCTTTTTTCTTTTTTTTGTTTTGCTACACCGCTTAATTGATTTTTAAAATCAGAAATATCATCCTCAAAGAACTCTGTTATTTCGTTAATCCAACTAGATAGCTCTTCCTCTGTATCTGCAATTAAATGAAAAACACGTTGAGATGGATTATTTTCATTCACCAACAAGAAATATCTTTTTTTTGACTTATCTTTGTAAATTTTGGTATACTCTTGTAAATTAATTGCACCTACTGGTTCTGAACTCTATAATTATTTGTGAAAAAAAAAAAAAAAAATTAGTTTTTTATAATAAATACCATACTGCAGGTTATTGTTATACATACAGTTCTATGTTTAAAATAATATAAAATACCAGCATTGGTAATAGCGAAGAATCTTTTACGCCAATTTTTTGAAATACCTTTACCACCAAGTTTCTTTAAATAACCAACCTTCTTTACTTGATCTTTAATACTATCATATGAAACACCTTTAATTGGTACAGGTGTTATTATATTTGTTGTTGCCAAGTTTACATTTGTTTCTTGATTTTTTTTTGACATTTTTTTTTTAATTTAATTTTATTATATTGAAATATATTTACATGGAGTTGATTATTATTAAAAAAAAGAATTGAATTGAAATTTATTTAATTAAAAAAATAATAAAATAAATAAATAAATAAATAATATACTAATTATAGTTAATTAGTTTAACCAGAATAATTCTATGTTATAATATACACACAACAATAGAGAGAAAAAACAAAATAAATAAATTCTCCTAAAATTTATTTAATAATTGATTTTTTTTTTTTTCCAAAACCCAATACTAACAAAAAAGGTTTATCTACACACACTTTGCTAATAATATTAAAAACACACACAAAAAAATACACAGAAAAAAATCAAAAAAAAAAATAACAAAAACCTCTCTATCTGAAAAACAATAATAATAAAAATCACATAAAGAAATTATTTTTTTTATTTACTGTGCAATTATTTTGAAAAAAAAAATAAAAAATAAAAAAAAATCTTTTTAAAAAAAATTGAAAAAAAAAATAAAAAAATTTAATTTAACGGTATTTGATAAATTAAATTTGTTCACACCTGATAACAAATAATTTATTTAAGAATATGAATAAAAAATAATACAATAGTATTACTTTAAATCAAATTTTTCTATTGCTATTTTTTTTTTTAAAAATTTTGAAAAAAAAGGGGGTGTAATGTGTGTTTATTTGATTATTTTGTTTTATTTATTTATTTTATTATTATGATTATTATGATAATTATCTATTCTTAACCACCACGACCAAAACCAATACGAGAATTTTCGTTATCAAAAACAGTGTATAGCTCTGTTAAAAAAAAAGAAAAAAAAAATTAGAAAAGAAAAAAAAAAATCTAAAATTAAACAATACAAACCCCTCATTAAATTAATACCAATAATTGCATTTTGATCAGGTGATTCCAAAATTCCCATACAAACATAAACCTGATTATTTCTAGAAATTAAATGGAAATAGTTTTTTGGTGGGATGTTTAATATGAATTGTTCATCAAAATAAAAATCGATATTAGGAAACCTATCAATTGAGATTTGACTTGCATTAACACACTATATAATATAATAAATTAGTTGGCAGTTTGATTTCAAGTATTCTTTATTGTTTTATACTTACTGAATTAAATAACAGGTCAATTTTTGAACAGAAATCTAAATCGTTTTGACATCCACCATTTTTTAAAAAAGTTTTTAATTTGGAATAAGAAGAGGAAGGAATATAGGATAGTGATGATGATGATGATAGAATGAATCTTTTAATGTCATTGCTTCTAGTTAGGTTAAAAATTTGACCATTCCAAAAACCACCAATAATACTAGGAGATATTGAGTAAAGTCCATCCTTTTTACTCATTGCTGTATAGTTTATTGATCCTGTATAAAGTAATGGATCAACTATTCCAATTGAAATACCTCCAAAATAATTTTTATCTAATGAAATTCCAAATATATATGGTTTTTTTAATGTATATAATAAAGTTTGTAGTGGACTAGGTGGACAAGTAGGGCACTAAAAGGAATGATTTTTTAGTTTGTGTTATTTAAAATAAAGTAATTATATTAATTGTTTATACATACACTTGGACCAACACCTAGAATGGCAGATCTTAATGATGGACCATTACTTTGTTCATAGATTGCAGAGATTATGACTGGAATATTCTTAAAATCATCAATAGATATAATATCCCTATATAAAATTGCTTTTTTAAAAAAATAATTAATATTAAATGATTCAAAAAAAAAAAAAAAAAAAGTATATATTTACTTTTAATATTTGCACCATATGGTTGTAAAACTGTTTCATAGCCGCATGTTGGTGGGTTATATTTGTTTGGTTTCTCGCAAGTGTTTCCAATAGCATGGCACGTTGGTGAGTCACATGGTATATTTTCGAATACTGCTGATTCTCTGTAGTATGGAGGAAATTGTGAACAACCATCACACTTTCTTTCTGCTACAATTAAATAATTTAAAGTTGTATCTATAATGACATTAAAAGGATCTGACCCAACTTTTATATTTTTTTAATTTATTAGTATATACTTAGAGGGTAGATATGGGTTAGAGTTTTACTTACTAAATATATTGCTTGATAAATAATCACTCTTCCCATCTAAAACCAATGATTTTCTTTGATCTATATTATCTTCAAATAATCTGTGAAAAAATTAATAATAATTTTATTATTAATATTTTTTTTTATTTAGATATATAATTACCCCACATATCCTGTTGGTTTCTGGTTATTCTTCTTTTTTTCATAGCATTCTATGCTTGATATTTTAAATACACATACTATAATAAAAAAAAGGTATATCGATTTAAAAATTTTCATAGCTAATTTAGAAAGTATATATATAAATATAAACAAATAAATATAATACTGTATCCAAACAAAAATAAAATTTGAAATTTTTTTATTTAATTTTTTTTATTTAATATTTTTTTTTTTGTAGTATCATTTTTTTTTTTATAATAAAAAATAGTAATAATTATTTGTTTACTTGATAATTTATTATTTATTTTGATTTTATAATTAATTTTAAAGGGTGGGGAGTGTGGGTTAAATGTGTGTAAAATAATTTTTTTTTATTATTTTTTTTTTTATTTTATTTTTTTTCCACTGCACATTAATATTTAGTATAATATTTTCCATTTCCACTCTTTTTATTGCTAATTTGGCAATATAATTTTTAAAAGATTCAGGTATCTTTATAAAAAAACTAAATAGTACAAACGCACCAAAAACAACATAAAATCATTTGGATTTAAAAAACCCATTATGGTTTAGATTCATTTTTCGTAATAATAACAAAAAAAAAAATTTATTTTTATTTTTTCTTTAAAATTTTTAATTTTTTAAAAATCTTTTTTTTTTTTTTTGATCTTTTTCTCACAAATTAATATTAATTTTTTCCCATTAATAAAAATGAATATCTTCATTTTTTTTTCTTTTCTTTCATAATAATTTAAATTATTATAGATAGACACATTATCACTTATTTGTTATATAATTAGTATCAAAGAGCTAATTAAAATTTGTATTATAAATATTCAAATCACATACTTATACATTACATAATCACGTATCACAATCACAAATCACTTTCTCACATCTCATACATAGTATATTTTTATATATATATATTTTTTATTTTTTAATTAATTAGTTTAATTAAAAATAACTATGGTCAAAGTAGAATTTCCAAATGAAGAATTATCAAAATATGATATCCAAAAATGGTTAAAATCATACAAGATTGCCTATTCACCATTCATGAAGAAGGAAGAATTATTAGAAGTGGTTAAATCAAACAGGAAAATTGTTATCAACATCGAAAAAGAAAAAAAAAAGCAATTAAAATCCGAAGAGTCAGGATCAACATCAACCTCAACTTCAATATCAGTTACAACATCACCTTATAAAACTAAATCATTAGAATCTCCATTTAAAAAATTTAATTTAAAAAATAATTTATCAAATCAAATTGATGAAAAATCACAACAACAATTACAAATGGATTTACAATTAAATGGTAATGACAGCGAGGAGCTTGAAAAGTTATATCCAAATTTAAAGAGACATGACAAGGCAATCAGCAACCAAAAAGTAATTAATGACCTTCACAATGATGGTACCAGATTGTATGTTTTCTTATCATCAACATTCAAAGATATGTCAGGTGAAAGAGACCATTTAATCAAAGTTGTTTTCCCAGCATTGAACGTCAAAGCAAAGGAAAAGAATCTTACCATTGTTCCAATTGATTTAAGATGGGGTTTAACAAAAGATGAAACTAATCTTCAAGGTCAAATTGAGCTATGCTTAAAACAAATCGACAAATGTCCAATTATGGTTACTATGCTCGGTTCAAGATTTGGTTGGGTCGCTGAGGAATACAAAGTATCAAACAATAACGATGAACAAGCTAAATGGTTACAATCTATGCCACCAGGGCACTCAATTACATCTCTCGAGGTACAGTACTCTTTAATTAACTCTAAACATTGTATTGGTACATTTAGAGATCCATCATTCCAATCTACTGTTCCATTGCAACACCAATCATCTTTTCAAGTTGAAAATTCAGAATCAGAAATTCTTTTGAATCAATTAAAACAAAAACTAATCGATAGCGATAATTGCAATGTTTTAGAAAATTATCCATGCAAGTTTGGTGGTGTTGATAAGGATGGTAAAGTTTTTGTTAATCAACTAGAAGTATTTGGTAATTATGTTTTCAACAAAATTTGGGAAATTGTTCAAGTAGAGTTTTCAAGTCCAATCAAATCATTAGAATTTATCGAAATTGAAAATCAGTATCATAAAGATATTTTAGTAAGTAAGCAAAATGGTTATTTTTTTTTCTTTTTTAAAAATAAAATTTCAAACACATTTATTTTTTATAAAAAATAATTATACTAACTTTATTTCTTTACTTTTTATTATTTAGGAAATTAAATCAAATAATTTTTATGGTAGAGAACTAATTCAAAAGAAAATTAATGATACCTTACAAGAAAAACAAACCAATAATTTAATTTCAATTATTTATGGTGATGCAGGTTCTGGTAAAACTTCAACATTATCAAACTTAGCTAAAAACTATTTAAAGGATCCACAGTTATCAAAACATTGGAAGGTTTTATATCATTTTATTGGTTGCTCAATCGATTCAACTGCAAGTCAAAATATTTTATATCGTTTTTCAAATGAATTAAACATTGAATTTAAACTAGGCTTTGAAGTAGTTGCACAAAACCCAGAAAAGCTCAGAAATGATTTCCCAGATATTTTAAAGAAAGCCTCAAAGCACAAAAAGATTTTAATTGTAATTGATGATTTAGACCAAATGGCAACTTTAAATCAAGATCATCAAATGGATTGGTTACCAGATAATAGCGACTTAAATTCCAATATTAGAGTATTACTTTCTTGTCACCATGGTAAGGATTGTTGGGAGTATTTACATTTACGTCCAGTAATCCCACAAACCTTCTCTCTTAGTCCATTAGAAACCAATGAAAAAATCTTGATTACAACAAATACTCTCGAAAAATTCTCAAAGAAATTAGAACCAAAATTATTAGACAAATTAATCACCAAATCACATGCAAAGTATCCATTATTCATTCAATTAGCCTGTGAAGAGTTAAGAGTATTTGGTTCTTTTGAAAAACTTACACAATTTGTACAAAAGGGTATTCCAGAGACCATCAATCAGTTATTGTTAAATATGATATCACGTTTAGAAGAAGATTTGGGTAAAGAGCTTATTAAAAAGACCTTGTGTTTCATTGCTCTCTCAAGATTCGGTTTATCTGAGCAAGAGTTATTAGATCTATTAAAAGATAAAAAGCAACAAACCACATTACCATTTTATGTTTGGGCTCCATTATTAAACTCCATTTCACCATTATTAAGTGGTGGTGATCATTCAGTTAGAATTTCATTCTTCCACAGTACAATCTCTTCAGTAATTATCAACAAATACTTACCAACTGAAAAAAGTCAAATCAATTTCCAAATCATCTTGGCAGACTATTATTCATCACAAGCTGATCCAACTGGAAACAAGACATGGGCTGGTACAAACTTGAAGGCACTCAAAGAGTTACCATACCATCTCCAAAAATCCAAGCGTTGGGATCTCTTGTCACAATTGTTTATGGATTTGAAATTCATCCAAACCAAAGTTCAATTGGGTCTAAGTGATAGTTTAGTCGAAAACTATATTGATTGTCTTGAAGAAATCAACAGTCCAAGCTTATCAGGTGAGCGTTGGGTCGGTGCAAATTTCTCATCAGTAAATAATTTTTCAGATTTCTCTAGTTTTGTTCAATATCAAATCCATAACTTAAAACGTTTCCCAGCCATTACCAGTCAACAAGCTTACAATTTACCAGATGGTTCCATTTGTCACCAATACTCCTCAAAGCTTTTAGACCAAGAAAAGAGACCATTCTTTAAATGGTTAAATAAATTACAATTAAGTGACTACATTATCAGTACATTAGCAGGCCATAAAGATTTCATCCGTTGCGTATTGTATCGTGACGACGGTAAATTAATTGCATCATGCTCTGATGATACCACCATTAGAATCTGGAGTGGTGAAACTGGCTCTTTAATGAGAGTTTTCCCACAAGAACATAACGATAAGGTTACCCAACTAATCTGGAGAGGCAATCATCTCATTACAGTCGGTAGAGATAAAAAGATTATTATGTGGGATGAATATGGTAAAATTGTATTAAACATTAGCGACTTGGGCGGAAACCATATCTCTGCTATCTGGGGTGTTACTGTCAGTGGGGATAATCGTCGTTGTGTTACTGCCTCATGGGATCACTCTTGCATCGTTTGGGATTTAGAAAACAAAACAAAACTTTTCGATCTCAAAGACCACAAGAATAAAGTATCAGCATGTTGTTATTCACATAATAACCGTTGGATTGCTACCGGTTGCTGGGATGGTAATTTAATCATTTGGGATGCTAAAAATGGTACACCAATTAAAACCATTAAGATAAGTAATTTTACAATTTTATTCATCCATTTCTCACCAGATGATTCAATGTTATCAGTTAGTTCAGTCGATACCTTCACACACGTATTTAATACTAGTAAGTGGGAAAAGATTGCAAAATTAGAAGGCCACGTCGAAGCTGTAATTTCATCACGTTTCTCTTATGATAATCAATACATAGTATCATGTTCTGATGATAAGACCATTAGAGTTTTCGAAACTAAAGATTGGAGTCAAGTATCTTTAATGACAGGTCACTCTGGTAGAATTATTTCATGTGCATTCCATCCAAATAGTAGTAAACTTCGTATTATTACTGGTGCCACCGATAAGTTTATTAAAATTTGGGATCCAAAGATTGGTCAAAAAACAAACTCATCCATTCAAGGTCACAAGAAATCAACATTACATTTGCAGTATTTCAAAGAAAAAGATATTTTATTATCTTGCTCAGAAGATCAAACATTTGCTGTATGGAGCGATTTTTCAAAGAATGATTTATTACAACCTTCTAAAATATTCAAAATTCATATCCGTAAATTCCATTTCTATGAAAATAATCTCATCTTTTTAACCAACTCAAATGATATTTATCATCTTAGTAACTTTGATCAATTCTTTGACGGAAGATTCGATGGAAACCATGGTAAATTTGAATATTCAATAGAAGAATTTATGCAAAATAATAATGAAAGAGTTTTTAAAATTACTGAAAATATAAATCTAACAGTAGAATTAAAAGCAGATCAAACAATCGAACAAACAAAAGGATTCCAAAGAGGAAGCAAACAACAAGATCAACATAGCGAACAAATTACCAACTTTTCAGTCAATCCAAGTAATAATGGTGATATAGCAATTACAACAAAAGGTGGCAAATTAATAATTTATAATTTTATCGAAAGAAAAGAATTATTTAATGAACGTTTGGGTGGATCATTAAGTGAATGTGTTTATAACTCTACAGGCGATTTATTAATATCACGTGACACCAAAGGCTATTACAATATCTTTAAACAACATCAGCCAATGAAATATAGTTGTATATTTAAATCCAATGCCCCACAACCTATTACAGCAATGGCATGGAGTTCTAACCATTTCGCGTTAGCCTTAATGAATGGGGATATCGAACTATACACTATTCGTCCAGTTATTCATCTCTGGAAAACCCTCAAAAATCATGTATTCCAAGTCCACGGCTTATCATTCTCACCAAAAGGTAAATACTTATTTTCTGCCTCTTATGAAAAACATTCAATCCTTTGGGATGTTGAAACTAGTCAAGTTGTCACCGCTTTCCCCCTTGGCAGTATTTCAACATCAAATGTTGTTTTCTATATTGATAATTTCAAACAATTATCAACAGTCGTTTCAGATTATACCGGTAAAATTCATAATTTAAGAATTTTACATAACGAAGAAAATTATTATGATAATTAATTTTAAATACACACCTTTTAAATAGATATATATATAAAATATTAAATTATTGTTAGTTTAATACATTATAAATATTTGTACGATTAATTTTTTTTTATAAAAAATAAAAATATGCTAAGCTTAAATAGAGAAATATAAAATAAAAATCATTACTGTCATGTAAATTAATTATATAATTAAAACCAAACTAAATATTCACAACTAATATTTTTAAATATAACCCACCAGATTACAAAAAATTTTTAAATTGAGAGTTTTAAAATAATTTTAGTTTTTAATAATTTTTTTTTAAATTTTTTTGGTTAATTTTTTTTAAAATTAATAATTGAATAATTACTATGAAGATTTGAAATGTTGGGTCAGAGGAATTAAATATATTAGGATTTGAAAAATTAGTAATTAAATTATTACTTTGAAGAGTTGAAATGTTGGGTCCAACTTTGTAAAGAAAGAATAGTAATTTGTCATGATTAATATTCTTTTACCAAATAATTGAAAAACATGCCACAACTACTACATACTCGGGCACCAGCTGGGAAGTCACCAGGCTTATATTTCCTACAAAGTTGGACCCAACATTTCAACACTTCAAAGTAATAATTTAATTACTAATTTTCAAACCCTAATATATTTAATTCTCCCTCTGCTTCCATCATGTCACTCCTCCACCATCACCCGTATCAGCTTTTGTTATTCAAGTAATATAGACCAGAAATTTCAAAATATGAAAATCAAGTAAATCAAAATAATCAATATTTACATCAACATATCAATGAACCAGGATATCAAAACGAAACAAATTTTTGAAAAAAATCATAATACTGAACAAGGAAGCCATGAAAATAATCAAGAAAATCAAAATATAGAACAAGTTTTACATTAATGTATCATGGCACATTAATTGTTCTGGTGATAATACCATTAGAATCTGGAGTGGTGAAACTAGCTCCTTAATGAGAGTTTTCCCACAAGAACATAACGATAAGGTTGCTCAATAAATCTGGAGAGGCAACCATCTCGTTATAGTTGGTAGAGATAAAAAGATTATTATGTGAGATGCTTAAATAATACTAAATAAACTTTTTTGCTATTATTGAAACTAAAATATATTATTTCTTTCTTCTTTATAAAACCTTTGTTTATTTTTTTAATAAATAGGTTTTTTGAAAAAAAAAATATTTGAAAAATAATTTTATATTTTTTTTTTTTAATTTTTTTTAAATTTTTGGGGAAATTTTTGAAATATTTTTTTAAATGGTTATTAATATAAAATTTTTTTTTTTTTTTATATTCACAATTGATGAGCTACTATCATCTCTAATTAACTTTCAAGTAAACGAAGAGTTTAAAAACAGTAGTAATATTAGTGATAAGTAAGTACAATACAATACAATACAATACAATACAATACAATACAATAAATATAATTATAAATAATAGCGGATTAATTAAAAGCATATTAATTGGTGTTTTCTCTTTTTAACTATTCATTATAGATTATTGTATATAGTTTGGAATAATATATTTTTAAGAAATGAAATTCATAAACATATTTTAAAGTTTATTGAACATAATGTTGTAGAATTTGATAGATCAAGTTATGACCAGTTTAAAGATAAATCATATATAACAACACTTAATTGGTATGGTGATACACTACCAGATAAAAATGAATTTCCACCATTTTTGAAAAATTTATATTTGAACCAATTTAATATGTTACTAATAACTTTACCAAATAGTCTTACAACACTCACATTCGGTGATGATTTTAACCAAGAAATTCCACCCGGCACATTACCAAATAGTCTTACAACACTCACATTCGGTTATTATTTTAACCAAGAAATTCCACCTGGCACATTTCCGAATAGTCTCGCAACACTCACATTCGGTGATGATTTTAACCAAGCAGTTCCACCCGGCACATTACCAAATAATCTCACAACACTCACATTCGGTGTTGAATTTAACCAAGTAGTTCCACCCGGCACATTACCAAATAGTCTCACAACACTCACTTTCGGTGATGGTTTTAACCAAGTAGTTCCACCCGGAACATTTCCAAATAGTCTCACAGCACTCACATTCGGTTATCATTTTAACCAAGTAATTCCACCCGGAGCATTACCAAATAGTCTCACAACACTCACATTCGGTGATTTTTTTAACCAAGAAGTTCTACCTGGCACATTACCAAATAGTCTTACAACACTCACATTTGGTGATTTTTTTAACCAAGTAGTTCTACCTGGCACATTACCAAATAGTCTCACAACACTCACATTCGGTGCTTTTTTTAACCAAGTAATTCTACCCGGAACACTACCAAATAGTCTTACAACACTCGGTGATGATTTTAACCAAGTAATTCCATCTGGCACATTACCAAATAGTCTCACAACACTCACATTCGGTGTTGGTTTTAACCAAGTAGTTCCACCCGGAACATTTCCGAATAGTCTCACAACACTCACATTCGGTTTTGATTTTAACCAAGAAATTCCACCTGGCACATTACCAAATAGTCTCACAACACTCACATTCGGTGATCATTTTAACCAAGTAGTTCCACCCGGAACATTTCCGAATAGTCTCACAACACTCACATTCGGTTATCAATTTAACCAAGTAATTCCACCCGGAACATTACCAAATAGTCTTACAACGCTCATATTCAACAATAAATATAACCAAGTAATTCCACCAGGCACATTACCAAATAGTCTTACAGAACAACGAAACAGTTCATATTTAAGGAAATTTATAAAAAAAGTCATACCATGTTGAACTTGTTCCCATGGGATCAAAACGGAAGAAGTCTCTTATACATTAAATCCAAATACAGATGCAACAACCATTCCAATAATGAAGTTTAAAGACTGCATTAATACACTTCCGTTACCAGTAGTTGAAAAGAAATTCTTGAGAGTAAAGATACCCAGACTCACAATTACAGGTACTGTACTCGCTCTTGAAAGTTGGCATAAAAAATCCCCAAATTAATTATTAAATTTCCTTAAAATCTTTTAAAGATTTTACCCTCTGCTTATTATTCCCTGTTTAATACATATATCTAAATCAATGCAGGCCATAAAGATTTCATTCGTTGTATTTTATTGCGACGATGGTACATTAATTGCTCTGGTGGTGATACCATCAGAATCTGGAATGGTGAAACTAGCTCCTTAATGAGAGTTTTCCCACAAGAACATAACGATATTGCTCAATAAATCTGGAGAGGCAACCAGCTCGTTGCTTAAATAATACTAAATAAACTTTTTGCTATTATTGAAACTAAAATATATTATTTCTTTCTTCTTTATAAAACCTTTGTTTATTTTTTTAATAAATAGGTTTTTTGAAAAAAAAAAATATTTGAAAAATAATTTTATACTTTTTTTTTTTAAATTTTTTTAAATTTTTTTTAATCGATGGTAATTTTTTTTTTTTATATTCACAATGAACGAGCTACTATCATCTCTAATTAACTTTCAAGTAAATGAAGAGTTTAAAAACAGTGGTAATATTAGTGATAGGTAAGTACAATACAATACAATACAATACAATACAATACAATAAATATAAATAATAGTCGATTAATTAAAAGCATATTAATTGGTGTTTTCTCTTTTTAACTATTCATTATAGATTATTATATATAGTTTGGAATAATATATTTTTAAGAAATGAAATTCATAAACATATTTTAAAGTTTATTGAACATAATGTTGTAGAATTTGATAGATCAAGTTATGACCAGTTAAAAGATAAATCATATATAACATCACTTAAATGGCATGGTGATACACTACCAGATAAAAATGAATTTCCACCATTTTTGAAAAATTTATATTTGTACACTTTTGATAAAATGTTAACTCCAACAACTTTACCAAATACAATTACTACACTCACATTTGGTGATGATTTTAACCAAGTAGTTCCACCCGGCACATTACCAAATAGTCTTACAACACTCACATTCGGTCGTTATTTTAGAAAAGTAGTTCCACCCGGCACATTACCAAATAGTCTCACAACACTCACATTCGGTAATGATTTTAACCAAGTAGTTCTACCTGGCACATTACCAAATAGTCTTACAACACTCACATTCGGTTATCGTTTTGACCAAGTAGTTCAACCCGGCACATTACCAAATAGTCTCACAACACTCACATTCGGTCGTGATTTTAACCAAGTAGTTCAACCCGGCACATTACCAAATAGTCTTACAACACTCAAATTCGGTTATGGTTTTAGCCAAGTAGTTCCACCCGGCACTTTACCAAATAGTCTCACAACACTCACATTCGGTTTTTATTTTAACCAAGTAGTTCTACGTGGTACATTACCAAATAGTCTCACAACACTCACATTCGGTTATCATTTTAACCAAATAATTCTTCCCGGCACATTACCAAATAGTCTTACAACACTCAAATTCGGTGATTTTTTTAACCAAGTAGTTAAACCCTACACATTACCAAATAGTCTTACAACACTCAAATTCGGTCGTTATTTTAACCAAGTAGTTCTACCTGGCACATTACCAAATAGTCTTACAACACTCACATTCGGTTTATTTTTTAACCAAGTAGTTCTACCTGGCACATTACCAAATAGTCTTACAACACTCAAATTCGGTTATGATTTTAACCAAGTAATTCTACCCGGCACATTACCAAATAGTCTTACAACACTCACATTCGGTGGTGATTTTAACCAAGTAGTTCCACCCGGCTCATTACCAAATAGTCTCACAACACTCACATTCGGTGTTGAATTTAACCAAGTAGTTCCACTCGGCACATTACCAAATAGTCTCACAACACTCACATTCAGTGATGGTTTTAACCAAGTAGTTCCACCCGGAACATTTCCAAATAGTCTCACAGCACTCACATTCGGTTATCATTTTAACCAAGTAATTCCACCCGGAGCATTACCAAATAGTCTCACAACACTCACATTCGGTCGTTATTTTAACCAAATAATTCTTCCCGGGCACATTACCAAATAGTCTTACAACACTCACATTCGGTGATTTTTTTAACCAAGTAGTTCTACTTGGCACATTACCAAATAGTCTCACAACACTCACATTAAATTATGATTTTAACCAAGTAGTTCTTCCCGGCACATTACCAAATAGTCTTACAACACTCACATTCGGTTTATTTTTTTACCAAGTAATTCCACCCGGCACATTACCAAATAGTCTTACAACACTCACATTCGGTTATCGTTTTAACCAAGTAGTTCTATCTGGAACACTACCAAATAGTCTTACAACACTCACATTCGGTTTTGAATTTAACCAAATAGTTCCACTGGGCACATTACCAAATAGTCTCACAACACTCACATTCGGTTATCATTTTAACCAAGTAGTTCTACCCGACACATTACCAAATAGTCTCACAACACTCACATTCGGTCGTAGTTTTAACCAAGTAGTTCTATCTGGAACACTACCAAATAGTCTCACAACACTCACATTCGGTGATCATTTTAACCAAGTAGTTCAACCTGGGACATTACCAAATAGTCTTACAACACTCACATTCGGTAAGTGTTTTAAACAAGTAGTTCCACGCGGTTTATTTAAAATTAATAAAAAATAAAGTTATCAGCCATGATTAATATTTTCCTACCAAATGGGAACTAGAAATATATTTATTTCTTTCCTCTTTATAAACCTTTGTTTATTTTCTTAATCAATATTTATAAAATAATAAACTATAAAAATCCAAATTTTTAAAAATCAAAATCCAAAATTTCATTTTTTTCTTATGTATTATATTTTATATTTGTAAATATTATTTTTGTTTCATGATTTATATATAGTTTGTAGAAAATTATTTGTTGTGTATCAGGTGTATTATTTTTGATTAATTAAAAAATAAAAAAAATAGAAAAATAATAATTTTAGAAATCAAATCTATTATTGCTTATAAAAACTTCATTTATTATTTATATTATACATGAGATATGATTTTATTTATAATTATTTGTTATATAACGATGAACATGAAATAAAAATTAAAAAAAAAAAAAAAAAAATAAATAAAATAAGAAAAGCCTATGTATTGTTTGTAATATCTTTATTTTATATATTTTTTCAATTTTATGAATATGATAATATAGAACAAATATATATGATTGAGCTTAAAAAGGACGATGAGGACTTGTGGATAAATAAAAAATAAATTTTAAAAATTTCACATTTTAATTTAGAAGTAGCAAGTTTTTGAGTTTAATAAATGAATATGATTTAAAATTATCTTTTTGAATTGATTCTGATAATAATGGATCTATACCACAAATTGACATAACTTTTCTCCTATTACTACTCGATCTTTAAACACCCAAACCTAAACTTAATTTATAAAGATCCACTGAATCATTATTATTAGAACCTTTGCCTGGATTAACTTTGCGATTTTGAGTTTTAAAACCAGTTGTTGCAATTGAATTAAATGTAGGAACTTTTTCGTCTTAAAAAATAATATATTTACAAAAATAAATTATAATACTTAAAAAAAAAATGAAATTTTGGATTTTGATTTTTAAAAATTTGGATTTTTATATTAAAGATAAATTGTGAATTTTTTTTAATTTTTTTTGAATTTTTTTTTTATTTTACCAGATATTAATTTCATATTTTTTATTTTTTTATTTTTTATTTTTTTTATATTGACAATGAATGGGCTGCTATCATCTCTAATTAACTTTCAAGTAAATGAAGAGTTAAAAAACAGTAGTAATATTAGTGATAGGTAAGTACAATACAATACAATACAATAAATATAAATAATAGTTGATTAATTAAAAGCATATTAATTGGTGTTTTCTCTTTTTAACTATTCATTATAGATTATTATATATAGTTTGGAATAATTTATTTTTAAGAAATGAAATTCATAAACATATTTTAAATTTTATTGATTATAGTGTTGTAGATCTTGATATATCACGTTATGACCAGTTTAAAAATAAATCATATATAACAACACTTGAGTGGCGCGGTGATACACTTCCAGATAAAAATGAATTTCCACCATTTTTGACAAATTTATATTTGTACACTTTTAATAAAATGTTAACTCCAACAACTTTACCAAATTCAATTACTACACTCACATTTGGTTATTATTTTAACCAAGTAGTTCCACCCGGCACATTACCAAATAGTCTCACAACACTCACATTCGGTCATGATTTTAACCAAGCAGTTCTACCCGGCACATTACCAAATAATCTCACAACACTCACATTCGGTAATGATTTTAACCAATTAGTTCCACCCGGCACATTACCAAATAATCTCACAACACTCACATTCGGTGATGATTTTAACCAATTAGTTCTACCCGGCACGTTACCAAACAATCTCACAACACTCACATTTGGTTATTATTTTAACCAAGTAGTTCTACCTGGCACATTACCAAATAGTCTCACAACACTCACATTCGGTTTTGATTTTGATTTTGACCAAGCTCAATCCCTCTTATTACCAAATAGTCTCACAACACTCACACACGGTTTTATAACTATAATAAACAAAACAAAAAATAAATAAAAGTATTATAAAAACTATATTTATTTAAATAAATAAAAAATAATAATAAGTAATTAGGGATTATTATTATTTGCTTAAGTAATATAGACCAGGAATTAGTCAAAATATGAAAATCAAGTAAATCAAAATGATCAAGAAGAACAAAATTAATATCAATCCTCATAACCAAGAAATCTCCAGAAACTATTGAAGATTTATTTAATAATTTAGAACAAATCGAAGTTGAAGAATTCGAATTAATCAGCAACAAACCGGGCAAGAAGACAACCAAGTTGAACATCAATAGTATGATCAGCATCGAAATCAATTAGAACCACAATATTCGGATCATAAACAAGTCGAGCAAGAACTAGTGGAGTAGCAAGCCGAGCAAGAACAACAATCATTCCCATCAACTCAAATATTAATACAAAATAGAAACTAAAATATATTATTTCTTTCTTCTTTATAAAACCTTTGTTTATATTCTTAATATTGAAATCTTTTTAGAAATATTAAAGCTTTAATATTTTTTTAATTTTCTTTGTACAAATAATAATAGTTTAAACTTTTTTTTATAAAAATTTATTTGATTATTTTCAGGTTTTTAAACAGATCTTTTTTTAAAAAACAATAAATTTTATTTTTTAATTTTTTTTTTAATTTTTTTTGTATTTTTGGGAAAATTTTGGTTATATTTTTTTATTTATTTTTTTATATTGACAATGGATGAGCTACTATCATCTCTAATTAACTTTCAAATAAATGAAAAGTTAAAAAACAGTAGTAATAATAGTGATAGGTAAGTACAATACAATACAATATAATATAAATAATAGCGGATTAATTAAAAGCATATTAATTGGTGTTTTCTCTTTTTAACTATTCATTATAGATTATTATATATAGTTTGGAATAATATATTTTTAAGAAATGAAATTCATAAACATATTTTAAAGTTTATTGAACATAATGTTGTAAATCTTGATATATCACGTTATGACCAGTTTAAAGATAAATCATATATAACAACACTTAAGTGGCATGGTGATACACTACCAGATAAAAATGATTTTCCACCATTTATGAAAAATTTATATTTGTACACTTTTAATATGTCACCAACAACTTTACCAAATAGTCTTACAACACTCACATTCGGTCATGATTTTAACCAAGCAATTCTACCTGGCACACTACCAAATAATCTCACAACACTCACATTCGGTTATCGTTTTAACCAAGTTGTTCTACTCGACACATTACCAAATACTCTCACAACACTCACATTCGGTTGTGATTTTAACCAAGCAGTTCCACCCGGCACATTACCAAATAGTCTTACAACACTCACATTCGGTAATGATTTTAACCAAGCAGTTCCACCGGGAACATTACCAAATAGTCTCACAACACTCACATTCGGTCGTGGTTTTAACCAAGTAGTTCCACCTGGCACATTACCAAATAGTCTCACAACACTCAAATTTGATGATAATTTTAATCAAGTAGTTCTACCCGGCACATTACCAAATAGTCTCACAACACTCAAATTCGGTAATTATTTTAACCAAGTGGTTCTACCCTGCACGTTACCAAATAGTCTTTCAACACTTGCATTCGGCTTTGCTTTTAACCAAGTAGTTCTACCCGGTACGTTACCAAACAATCTCACAACATTCACATTTGGCTATCGTTTTAACCAAGCAGTTCCACCGGGCACATTACCAAATAGTCTCACAACACTCACATTCGGTTGTGAATTTAACCAAGTGGTTCTACCCGGCACATTACCAAATAGTCTTAAAACACTCACATTCGGTCATAGTTTTAACCAAGTAGTTCCACCCGGCACGTTACCAAATAGTCTCACAACACTCACATTTGATGATACTTTTAACCAAGTAGTTCTACCCGGCACATTACCAAATAGTCTTAAAACACTCACATTCGGTCATTGTTTTAACCAAGTAGTTCCACCCGGCTCATTACCAAATAGTCTTTCAACACTCGCATTCGGCTTTGCTTTTGACCAATTAGTTCTACCCGAAACGTTACCAAATAGTCTCACAACACTCACACTCGGTTTTGAATTTAACCAAATAGTTCCACTGGGCACATTACCAAATAATCTTACAACACTCACATTCGGCTATTATTTTAACCAAGTTGTTCCACCGGGCACATTACCAAATAGTCTCACAACACTCACATTCGGTAATGATTTTAACCAAATAGTTCCACCTGGCACATTACCAAATAGTCTTACAACACTCACATTCGGTCGTAGTTTTAACCAAGTAGTTCTACCCGGCACTTTACCAAATAGTCTTACAACACTCACATTCGGTGATTATTTTAACCAAGTAGTTCCACCTGGCACATTACTAAATAGTCTCACAACACTCACATTCGGTAATGATTTTAACCAAATATTTCTACCTGGCACATTACCAAATAGTCTCACAACACTCACATTCGGTAATGATTTTAACCAAATAGTTCCACCTGGCACATTACCAAATAGTCTTACAACACTCACATTCGGTTTTGGTTTTGACCAAGTTCAATCCCTCTTATTACCAAATAATCTTACTACGCTCACACACGGTTTTAAAACTATAATAAACAAAACAAAAAAATAAAAATATTATAAAAACTATATTTATTAAAATAAATAAATAAAAAATAATAAGTAATTAGGGATTATTATTATTTGCTTAAGTAATATAGACCAGGAATTAGTCAAAATATGAAAATCAAGAAAATCAAAATATCAACATACCAATGAATCAGATAACAAAATGAAACAAATTGTTGAACTAAATCTATTATCTATACAATTAATAGTAATGTTATTATTGAATATATTATTATTATTATTATAATCAATAAAAAAAAAAAATCGTTCAAGAAGATGAAGAGCCAATTCATGCCTCACCTCCATACTTAACCTTTTGAATTGGAAGAACCTATTTATTCGGCCCCACAACAATAAAATCATTTAAATGAAGCTGACAAAAAATAGATGAAAAAAATCCTCATAATCAAGAAGTCCCCAGAAATTATTGAAGAATTATTTAAAAATTTAGAACAAATTGAAGTTGAAGAATTCGAATTAATCAGCAACAAACTGAGCAAGAAGACAATCAAGTTGAACATCAATAGTCATACTATTTCGAAATTAGAACCACAACATTCAGATCATCAAGTCGAGCAAGAACAACAATCATTCCCATCAACTCAAATATTAACAAAAAAACCACATTAATCAGAAAAATAAATCATATATAACATCACTTGGGTGGCATGGTGATTCACCCCAGATAAAAATTTAAATTTCTACCTTTTTTTTTTTAAAAGTTAACTCCAACAACTGTACCAAATACTCCATCATTTTCATTTCATTTTTTTTTATTATCAATTAATTAAACCAAATAATATATAAATATTCACACAAATTTTTTTTAAAAAAATCTGTTGATATTTCTTAAATATTTTGGTTTTTGAATGATTAGCTGTGATATTTTAAAAAAAAATGATTACAAAAAAAAAAAAAAAAAAAAAAAATTATTTTTTTAAATTTTTAAAAATGCATAATCAAAAAAAAAACGATCATTTTTTTAATTATTAAAAATATTCATTTAATAATATTTTATTATTAAATATTTTATTATTTTAAAAAACAATGTTAAATAGTTTGTTAAATAAAAAAAATTTAGTTAGATTATCAACAAACAATAACAACTATAAAATTAAAAACTATTGTTCCTCAAACAACAAAGATGAAAAGAATCACTCATATTCAGGTACACTTCATTTACCAAAAACCAAATTTCAAATGAAAGCTAACGCAGCCATCAATGAACCTTTATTATTAAAAGATCCAACTGAATTATATAAATGGCAAGTAAGTATATAGTAAAACCTAATTTTAGTAATATAATTAATTTCCAAATTAATTAAAATTAAAAAAATACAGCTCGAAAATAATAATAATGGTGAATGGGTATTTCATGATGGCCCACCATATGCAAATGGACCATTACATTTAGGACATGCATTAAATAAAACTTTAAAAGATATTGTAAATAGATATAAAGTTTTAAGAGGATTTAAAGTAAACTATATTCCAGGTTGGGATTGCCATGGTTTACCAATCGAACAAAAGGTATTTCAATCATTCGAAACCACTCAAGGTTTAAAACCACACACAATTAGAGATGCTGCAAGAAAATATGCATTAAAAGAAATCGAAAGACAAAAGAAAGGATTTTTAGAACTAGGTATTATGGGCGATTGGAAAAATCCATACAGGACAATGGATCCACAATATGAAGTACAGCAAATTCAAACTTTTTATGAAATGTATCAAAAAGGTAATATCTATCGTGGCGAAAAACCAGTTTATTGGTCTCCATCTTCAAGATCCGCTCTTGCTGAAGCTGAAATTGAATATAATGATGCCCATGTCAGTAAATCTATTTTTGTAAAGTTCAACGTCGAAAAATTTTCAGATTCATTAAAGAGCACAGTTCTTTCAGATCTCTCAAGTCAATATTTCACTGAAGAGAATGGCAGAAAATGTTATGCCCTCATTTGGACCACCACACCTTGGACCATTCCCTCAAATTTAGCAATTTCAGTTCATCCAACAATGGAGTATATTATAGTTACCAATGCTAATAAAAAAAAAGACCACTACATCATCTCAAAAGAAAGATTTGAGAGTCTTAAAGCCATCTTAAATGACCCAGAGTTAATTATAGTCAAAGAGTTCACTGGTGAACAACTTAAAGGCACTGTCACAAGACATCCACAAAAAGATCGTATCTCACCAATTATTTGCGGTGATCATGTTGTTGAGGGTTCAGGTACAGGTCTAGTTCATACTGCTCCAGGCCATGGTTTTGAAGATTTCCAAGTTTGGAACGAATATAACAATAACGAAGTTTCTGGTCCAATCTTATCACCAGTTGATGAATCTGGTTGTTTCACTGCCGATGCCGGTAAAGAATTTGAAGGTTTAAATGTATTAATTGAAGGTAATCAAGCTGTAATTAAAGATCTTCAAGATAAAAATGCTCTTCTTTTTATTGAAGAGTATACCCACAAATATCCATATGATTGGAGAACTAAAAAACCAATTTTAATTAGAGTAACTAAACAATGGTTTGCAAGTTTAAAGAGCATTCAAGAAAAAGCAGTCGATTGTATTTCAAATGTTAATATGGTTCCAGCATCAGGAGCAAATCGTCTTTCATCTATGGTCGGTAAAAGAAATGATTGGTGTATTTCAAGACAACGTGTTTGGGGTTGCCCAATTCCAGTATTTTACGATAAAAACAATGAACCGGTAATTGATTCAGATACTATAGAACATTTGAAAGAGTTATTTGGTAAGCATGGTTCTGATTGTTGGTTTAAACTTAGTGCTCAAGAATTATTACCACCAAAATACCGTGATCAACACGAACAATACACTATAGGTACAGATACAATGGATGTATGGTTTGACAGTGGTACAAGTTGGAGAGGTGTTCTTGTCGAACGTGGTGTCATAGATAAAGATAATGGTAAAGCAGATATATATTTAGAAGGCAGTGATCAACATCGTGGTTGGTTCCAATCCTCTCTTTTAACTAGTGTTTTCGTCAGAGATACTGCTCCATATAAAAATGTTGTTACTCATGGTTTCCTTTTGGATGAAAAAGGTTTCAAAATGTCAAAATCATTGGGAAATGTTATTGATCAATCATTCGTCATTAAAGGCGGTGCAAATAAAAATCAAGATCCAGCCTATGGTATTGATATCCTTAGAACCTGGATAGCCTCTTCAGATTACACAAAAGATATTTCAATTGGTCCAAATATTTTGGTCAAGATATTAGAGAATATTAAAAAGATTAGAAACTCATTCAAATTTATGTTAGGTTCAAACTTTGATTTTAACCCAGCCACCGATAGTGTACCATATGATCAAATGTCATTAATCGATAAATATGCACTTCACAAAGCTCAAGCACTTCAAAAATCAGTCACCAATCATTACGATAATTTCCAATTCCAAAAAGTATTATCAGATGTTTTAAATTTCACAGGTGAAACCTCTGCTTTCTATTTCGAAATCATTAAACAAAGACTCTACATCGAAAAAGCAAATAGTCAACTTAGAAAATCGTCGCAAACTGCTCTCTTCCAAATTGTTGAAGTCATAAACAAAGCTTTAGCCCCAATCACAATTCATACCTCCGAAGATATTTATAAAAACCAATACCATTTTTCAAAACCAACAGATTCTGTTTTCACTCAAGGCTGGACTGTTTTACCACAAGAATATCAAAATGACAATATTAACGAACAATTTAACCACATTATGACAGTTCGTACTCTTGTTAATAAAGTTTTACAAACCATGAGAATCGATGGTTTTATTGGTCGTTCAGATGAAACTCAATTAGAAATTAAAATTTCAAAAGAATTCTACAATCATCTCTCAAGTGTATCTAATGAATTAAATGATATTTTCTCTGTTTCATATGTAAAATTATTATTATTAGAAGATGGGTTTGATAATAAAGAATCAGAAGTTACCAAAACTCAACAAGATAATGTAAATGACAATCAACAATATTCCCTAATATCATTGCTCCCAAAAGATTCTCAAGAATCTGGTAAAGTCGAAATTGTTATAAAGAAGAGTGACCACTTTAAATGTCCAAGATGTTGGAGACATACTTCGACTCAAAAAGATACTCTTTGTTTACCTTGCGATAAAATTTTAAAAAACTAAAATAAAGTAATATTTTAAAAAATGGTAATAAAATAAAATAAAATAAAATAAAATAAAATAAAATAATCTTTTATCTAGAAAAAAAATAAAAATTAAAAGTAAAAATTTACCTTTCGATCCAAAATATCAAATTATTATTTTTAAATTTTTTAACAATTCTATAGCTTTTTTATTTTTATTTAACTTTACATAAGCAATAATATAAATATACAATATTGTATTCAGAAGATGTGGTGATTTTTTTTTGAAAATGTAGAAACAAAGTTATAAAATCCAATATAAACTACAAGAAATGTTTCTATTAAGAGATCAATTAATTAAATGTAATACCTGAGAAAAACCTATAATGTTTTATTTTTTTGAGGATTTGGAACTGGGTGACTCAAATCTTAAAATCATTTATTTAAAAAAGAAATTAATTCAAAATGGTGTATTTTCATTTTAACGTTCCCAATCGATCCAATCAAAAACTCTTTAAAAACTTATTTGCCCAAATATTTCATTTAGATCCTGGATATGTATTCAAGAAACCTTTAAATTTTGAGAAGAAAAATCCATAACTGTATTTAAATTAAAGGGATTTATATATTTATTAATATTTAAAATAAAAATATTATAAAATAGTGGACTTAACCCATACCATTTTTTGAAAATATTGAATTTGTAATTTAAAAGGGTAAAAACAAGGATGAAACATGGCAAAAGTTTATAATACTAATCGAAAATAGATGAGCGGTAACCAAAATAGGAATAAAATAGTTAATGATTCATTGAGGTATTTCAAAAAATAAAATACATTACTCAAACAGTGAAATAAAAGTATTTTATATTTGGATGAGCATATTTAATGGTGTTACAAATTTTATTAAAAGAAATTAAAATCTTTATTTTACAAACTTTGTTTTTATTAATTTTATTATTTATTTATTTATTTATTTATTTATTTATTTATTTATTTGTTTGTTTGTTTGAATATTTATTTATTTATTTATTTATTTCAAATATATATTTTTTAAAAATGTTTAATTTAAATCTATCCAGTTAACATATTGATAATCATCATCATCCAATAATAGTTCTTTTAAAAAGGATAACAAGAAAATATCTTTCTTGATTAAATTTTGATATAATGTTTTTATACAATTGATTTTTCTTTTTTGGATAGCATCCAAAATTACTTCTGGTGATAATTCTATATGAAGGTTTCCTGGATAGGTTCGGTGTAGGAATATATATAACTCCATTGGGAAATGATAGGGGGTAATCATGTACAAGGGATTTTGGTATATTTCTGCACCAACACCAAACAATTTGTGATGAAAACTTGATGCAATATATGGGGACTTACATCCAGAATATATCGAAATCAAAGATGAATTAATTTCGATTTTGTTTTTTTTGCAATATCGTACCAAACAGTCTTTAGTATCTATATTTTTTAATGAATCCTTAAATAAATGGCCGTGGGTACCTAATATTGTTGAAATTAGATGGTGGTCTTCAGTGTTGAGGATGGCATCGGTAATATGGTTATATAAATGAAAACGGTAATCACATGCAAACTTATGAATATAGCTTAATAGTAAATCATTTCTTTTAATGTGAAGTAGGACTGCGAATAATTGATTGAGGAATTTTTCCATATTTGATTTATTACCTTTATCAAAAAATGGAAGAAATGAATTGAAAAGTTTTTCGAAAATATTGGCCAATGATGCACCATCACTTCCATTGTATTGGCCATTGCCAAATATGTATTCGAATGTAAAATCCTCTGGCTTTATAAAGTTGGCTAAATTAAAATTTTGGAGGTAATCTAGTGTAAAATCTGGTGACACTGTAAAATCTAGAATATAGTAATCTAAATAACCATGTACGGGATCTATCAGCTCTCTATAGCAGGGTAAATAAGTAAAATAGTTAGTGAGCAATAGTGATTTATTTGAAAGGTAATAGATTGAAAATAATGATGATTGTTGAACAACGACTACACCAGAGCTATTGATGTAATGATAAGCTGATTTAATCTTTTCTATTGGTACTTCGCCCCCACTTTGAATTAATATTTTGAATAAAAAGTTGACAGTTGAATTTAAAATACTGCTTTCTTGGGAATTTATAAAGTTTTGCTGATGTTCTTTTTTAAACTTATTAATTAATAAATGAATGGCTTCTATTACCAGATCTATATCAATTACTTGATAATCTGGTGTTTGAAACAGTTTTCTCCTCCAAGATTGATATGGATCAGAAAAAATGAACAATGGGAGATTGTAGTCTTTAAAATTTATGAGTTCATTATGAATAACACTTGGGTTTAAATCTGAAATAAATATTTCTTGATTTTCACTTAGAAAAAGCTTGATTACTTTTATTGATTGTCTTGCAATAGCCAAAGCGAATAGCTTTGATAAACTTGTTAAAGAATATGTACCTCTTTGCTTTAGTACCCCGGTTATTTTGCAACGGTATTCAGTATTTTCACTAATTCCCTCTGGTGCTGAATCCAAACATAGAAAAGCCCCCTCTTCACAATTCATTAAAAAAAAATTCTTTACAGCCTCAACAATCTCTTGTATATCTATATTTGACAACGGTATTGGTTTTAGTTTCTTTTGATAATAATTGGCCAACGAATAGTCATGGTCCCAGCTATCCAGAAGTTTAAAAATGGCTTCAATTTCTTTTAAGTTAAAGTTTTGGATAGCTTTGCAGAGAGGATATTCTAAACTAATTCTCTCTAACTTGGGGTCACATATCACACTAATTTTGACTGCATACTGTAATAATTGACTATCGTTAAAAATGAACGCACTAAAATAGTTATCTATGGAAAATAAATTTAAATATTCTGAAATTTTATCAATTTGTTGCATATCTTTAACTACAAATTGAGGGTAATTATCTCCATTATCAGTCATTTGAATTGGGTCATCTGTTTCGAAGGAGGAAAAGACAACAGGTAGACTCGTAACCCTGGTTTCTTTAATAATTTCAGACCATAGGGATAAATATTCATTATTGTTGTAAAAACTTGATAGAGATTCTATTAATTGACATAGCTCCTCTATTTTATACTTAGATTTATTATAAATTGTATTGAATATTATATTTTCTAAAAATGTACTGATATAGCTAAGATCTTGTTGATTTTCAAAATAATATTTGATAAATTTATTATCTAAAAACGGAGGTGCTTCGAAATCTTCAATTATTAGACCTTTCCAGTTATTTCTATTATTTATTGAAAATCGTTTTAAATTATTTAAATCGGCTAACAAAAAAGGTTCGAATTGGCAAAACTTTAGTGGAGCTTCTTTATGACTTTTTCTATGATTATTAATATGATTTGATAACTTTATTATCCTCTCTATATCTTTGTTATCGTTGATTATTTTACTTAATTTTGCTGGATAGCCACAACAAAGATTTGATGCTGGGATAAAGTACAATCCCCTATCTAATAATTGATTTTGATTCTCTATAGACAATATTCTGAATACTATGTCTTCTATATTAATTTTATATTTGTAAAGAGATGGTTTTTTTGATACAATGAAATATTTTGGGTCACTAAAAATAATCTCTAATGTAATATCAAGTTGAAAATAGTCAATGACATTTTTAAAGACAAACTGAAAAATATTTTTTTTAAATTTATTAATTAATTTAATACTGCTATTACTCCATTTTGATAATGGTATTGAAATTATTGTTGTGGTTGGAAGTGATGATATTGTGGTTGTTGCTGTTGTTTTTGGTAGTAGTGACTCTTGGTCAATCTCATACTGATCTCTATTTCTTTTTAAACCATTATTACCAATATTAAGAAATGAATCCAATAGTATTCTAATCTGAGACATTTTTGAGCTTTTGAAAGCTTTTATTAATGTTGATGGGAACACCTGAATTGAAAATGGTTCATTTACTGCAATTTGAATAAATTCCTCATCAAATAAATGTAATTCTTTTGTTAAAAAATCTTTATTTCCTATTGAATTTGATTTTAATAGTAGTTTGAAAATATCCTTTGCCAAATCTCTATCATTCTCGATAATAGAATTTAAATAATTATTAAATTTGGAACCCCTGAAACTAATAAATTCTTTAGCTTCTAACTTGCATTTTAGTAACTGAAATAAATTTTTATTTATCATATCCTCTATTATTGTTATATTTTTGAACTTTTTTCTAAAAGAAAAGCCATTGTCCTTTATATTTACAGGTTTGACCCATTCTACTGTATGAATGAAATGAAATATTAATCTAAACAAATATTGATTCCTCCAAACTCGAAAAAATAACTCATCATTATAATTATTATTATTACTATTATTCATTTTTGATGTTATTACAATAGAATTATTATTCAAATATTGTTATTATTATTGGTGTGTTTTTTTATTAAAATTTAAAAAAAAAATATTGTATTTTTTAAAAAAAATCAATCTGAATGCCAAGATTAATATAAAAAAGATCAATATTGGTTGAATTATAAAAAATGATTATATGAGATTAATAAAAAGACCAGCAGAAAAAAAAAGATGTAGTTTGGAGTTAAAAAATTTACAAAGGTATTTTATCAATATTAATAATTAATTAATATCGATATAGTTTATTTTTATTTTGATATTGATATTGTTAAAAACAGTATTATTTGTGTGTGTGATTCTTAATTATTTTATTTAGAATGGTTATTGGTTATTATTATTATTATTATTTTTTTTTTTTTTTTTTTTTTTTTTTTTGACTGTTTATGAAAAATAATAAATTTAAATAATTATTATTACTAACTAGTTAAATAATTATTTAAATTAATTAGTTGATTAACGCATGGTTGCAATAATAATAATTGCAATGACTAAACAAACAGCGAATAAACAAACTGAAGTAATACCTAAAGTACGAGCGGTTCTATTGTGTGATCTGATGTACATTAAACCAAGTAACCAAAGTGGACTAAAATTTAAATTAAAGATTTATATTAATATTTTATTTATATAATTTTTTTTTTTTTTAAAATATTATTTAACTTACGTAAAGAAGAGACCAATAATTAAAACAATAACAGCACCATTGACATGGTGGCTATCTTTATTATGGTGGTGGTGGTGACTATCAGTAGCAATTACGGTGGTGGTGTAAGCTGGTTGGGCATATTGTGGTTGTTGGTTGTATGGATCGTATTGTGGTTGGTAATAGTATTGTTGTTGTTGTGGTTGAGTATAACCATATTGTGGTTGTTGTTGTTGTTGTGGTGCTAAAGTTGGTTGTGGTTGTGATTGAACTAATGGTTCTGTTTCTTGGCCCATTTTTAATTATTTGTTTAATTATTTGTGAGAAGAGTTTTGATAAAAATAATAAAAAAATTTAAAAAAAAATTTTTAAATAAAAAAAAAAAAAAAATAAAATTTTAAAATAAAAAAAATAAAATTTTTTTTTTTTTTGAATTATTGAGTTAAATATCTTTTTGAAAAAATACGTGTATAGTTTATCAATTTTTTTGGAATAATACTTATAAAAAAAAAAACAGGTTAGAATTTTCTTTTTTAAAATTTTTTTTCTTTATAAAATTATTTCTTTTTTTTTTAATTTTAGCTTAACATTTCAGCAAAACCAAAAAAACAAGTAATAATTATTTTTTTTAAAAAAAACCAAAAAAAACAAGCATACTATTTTTGTACAAGAAATTTCTTTTATTTTAAATTTAGTGTCTGGTGAAATAAAGATAAAATATTTATATATATAGAGAGAAACTATATATCTTTATTTATTTTTAAATTTAATTTATAATTTTAAAAATATTATTATTTTTTATAAGATTTTAAAACTCATCTGAAATGCAAAATGAATAAAGATATTTTTCCAAAATTTAAAAATAAATAAAATTTTTTTATAAATTTAAAAAAATTTCTTTTTTATTTTCTTTTTTTTTTTTTTTTTTTTTTTTTTTTTTCATTTCTTTTTAATAACAGTTTTTTTATTTTTTTATTTATTGCAATAAACCCCACAAATTATTCGTTGTTTTTTTATATTGATGTGGGTTTAAACTTAATAAATGTGTGTGTGTTTTTAAAATTGTTATATTATAAAAATAAAAGAAAAATAAAAACAATAGTGGTATATATAAAACTAATTAAATAATAAACAATAAAATAAAAAAATTTTTTCTAAAAAAATGAGCGCTGGTGGATATAGTTTGTTAGCATCAAGTGTAGATAATGAAAATTTAAAATATTCAACAAATACAAGATTAGGCGAAAGTCAAGATACAGCACATCATCAACAACAAGATAATAAATATAAAGTTAATAATAATAGCCAAACAAAATATAGCATCAACAAAGAAGAGGATGAATATTATGAGGATGGCAGAAAAGAATTTAATTTAAATGATAGTGGTGGTGATCTTATATTTTCAAATGAATTTGGTGATAGTGCAACTCAAGAAGAAGATGCTATAGATAATATACCAAGTGGATATAAGGGAATTTTGTTTTATTTTAAGTTATCAAGCTATTGGTTTTCAACATCAGCTGTAATGGGGGGATTAATATCGATTGTGTGGCCAAAACAAATTGAGGTTTTAGTTGGTAATTTAGAGAAGGCAAAATATATGGGCAGCTTACCAGTATTAGGAGCCTTGACATCAGTAATAGTGGGTCCAGTAGCAGGCTATTTATCAGATCATTGTAAATCTAGATTTGGCAAGAGAAGAGTATTTATAGCGTCAGGTACAATTGTAGCATTAGTTTTTTTGTTTTTAATTGGTTTGGTCAAGCAAGGGTATGATATTAAAGTATTTATGTTTTATTTGGTCGGTTTGCAGTTTGGTATAAATTGGGGCACAACACCTTATAATGGACTGTTTTCTGATGTTATTCCAAAATCAAAATATGGGAAGGCAAGTGGTAGTTTGGCTTTTGCAAATGCTTTGGGTCAGTTAGTGGGTGTTGTAGGTGCAGGTCTTTCATTAACTTTTACAAATTCATTTATAATCACATATGGAATGTTAATGGTAATTTTAGCTATACCAACCATCCCAACAGTTTTGTTTATTAAAGAAACTCCAATTGTATCGAGTCCACCAGTTTCATTAAAAAGATTCATCACTTCATTTTATTTACCAAAGAGCCTCTACAGAGACTTTTATTTTGTAATTATTACAAGATTTTTTCAAGAAATGGGTATTTACAGTATTTTACCATTCTTTCAATACTATTTGGTCGATATTATACACGTTAGTTCCGAAGACAGTATATTGTATTCTTCTGGTGTCTTAGCAATCATCATTATCACTAGCGTACCCTCAGGTATATTAGGTGGCCCATTATCAGACAAATATGGGCGTAAATTACTGGTTTACATAAGCTGTGGTATTATGACATCAGTCATTTTAGGTTTTATTCTATTATCATTTAAACCATCACTAACGATAGTAATGATTTTCAGTGCACTCTTTGGTATTGGGTATGGTAGTTATCAAGGTGTAGACTATGCATTGGCACTAGACGTACTTCCACCAAATGGGGCTGTTGCTAAAGATATGAGTATATGGCATCAATCTTTAATTGTACCCCAAGTTTTTGCTCCATTAATTACAGGTTTGGTTATAGATCATTTCAAAACTTCAAATATAATTCTAGGTTATTCTTGTGCTTTTGGAATTGCAGTAATTTGGTTATTCCTATCAACAGTTTTAATTAAACCAATAAAATTAACAAAACACAATGGTAATATAAATAATAATGAAACCAATAAAAATAAATTTATAAAATTAAGAACTCCAGTTGATTTATAAATAACAAACAAAACAAAACAAAATAAAATAAAATAAAATAAAATAAAATATTGGTATAATATTTTATATTTGTAATTAATAGTTTAAATTATTTTTCTTTATTTTATTTTAATTTTAAAAATGGATAGTTGGACCACCACTTTCATCTTTTATTATAAGGTTTCTATTATAGTTATTGTTGTTTATATAAATGTTTTTTAAAGATTTTGGAATTGCATTCTGGTGGATTGGTTTGTTAAAACAATAACCCAGATGAAGGTTTTCTAGATTTTCGGGTAGTAAATCATTTATTTCTTGATTATAATTACCAAGAAAACTTAAAAAGCGTAGGCTTGGTGGTAAAGAGTTTGGTTGTAGCGGTGTATTATAATTTGCACCAAACTTCAAAAAATGAACATTTGGTGGAATTGATATAAATGGCTCTAGTGGCTGGTTAAATTGATAGGATAGAGTTAGTTCTTCTAGACCCAAAGGCAGTGCTCCTTTTAATAGGGGTTGGTTAAAGCAATTTCCAAAAGACATTAGTTTTACATTGGAGGGAATTGATACATATGGTTCTAATGGTTGGTTAAAGCCATATCCAAATACTATTGAGGTTGCTGACAGTGGAATATCACCTTGTTTTATTGGTTTATTGAAATAATCTAGTTCCAAATGTATAAGGTGGGGTGGAAGTAAATCTTTTTCAAATGTAAAGTTATAATCTGCCATTTTCAAAGACTCGAGACAAAGAGGCAGATCAAGTGGTTTGATTACTTGATTAAATTTATACATTTCTAATGATTGAAGTGATGGTGGTAGACTATCTTTATTTAGGGGATGGTTATAGTCATATAGCCTTAATGTCATTAGACGAGGAGGAAGATGCTCTAGGGTCCTGTTGAAAGATTTTAGATACAGATGCAGTAGGCCTTTATTGAATGAGTGTTCGTTCAGGTCTTGGTTATATGCTTGTAGCTCTAAAACCTTAATTGAATCTGGAATTGAGTTTTTATTTAATGGTTTATTGTAGTTTGGTAATGTTAAGATAACTAAACCTGATGGTATTACACCAGGGACAAGCTCCTGATTATAGCCGTAAATCATTAAGCCTTCCAATGAGGATGGCAGTGTTCCAGGATTTATAGATTGATTAAATTGACCAAAATACGATCTATCACCTATATATAGGTATTTAAGAGATTGAGGGAATATATGTGGGTGTGATATGGGTTGGTTGAAACGTGGTAGTTGAATTTCGTGTATGCCAGAGGGTAGTTCTCCAGCCTCTATAGTATGGTTAAATCCATTTATTACCAATCTTTCTAACTTTGGCGGTAAAAATCCATCTGAAAAAGGCTGCTTATATTCATACGAGTCAAGAGTTAAAGAAATTACTGATTCGGGAATTGAATTTTTATCGATTCTATGTTTGAATTTGGATGAGAATATAAGGTATTTTACATTTGATGGTATTGTGTTTACTAAAATCGGATCATATGCATCATAAGTTAATTGTGTTATATATTCCTTGTATGCATAGTTGTTTAATTTCGAAATGGACGAAAAAGTAACTTCATAGTGTTCTTTAAATAGTTGTTTATGTATTCTGATTTCTTTTAATAAATATTTATTATTTAAAATTAAAAACAATAGTTTTTTAGTTCTATCCACATTATTACTGTTATTATTATTATTATTATTATTATTATTATTATTATTATTATTATTATTATTATTATTATTATTATTATTATCCATCTATTTCGAAGGTTTTCTATTAATTATTTTGGTTTTTGAAAAAAAAATTTTAAAAATAATAAAATGAGAAATTTAAATTAAAAAAAAAGATTTTTATTATTTTTTATTTTTATTTTTATTTTTATTTTAATTTTCAAAAATTATATTACAACACATGAAGGTGAATGTTATGGCAGTTACGTTTGATTTCAATTGGGTTATTAATAGAGTATAAATTTCAAACAAGATATGGGTGGTTGGTACACAAATAACATAGAGAGAAAACCCAAATTAGTTGGTCATTTGTTATTGTAAATATAGTATAATTACAAAACCATGGAGCTTCGGTTTCTTTTAAACTTGATGATTTATCAAAAAAAGTTGAGTTTTTTTATTTCTTTAAAGAGTTGAATTGGAGTATCGACTGATCTTTTAGTGCATGGAGCCAAAGCCAACTTTTTTTGCCAATAATGCTCAGTAGCACCTGAGCATCTTTTAAAATTTGATTTATTATTTATTGTACTGATTTATTGACCGATGGACAGAACGGGCATTGTGATTCATTTTTGGCAATGCTTTAAGCAAGTATCTTCAGTTTCTTCCTTGAGTTGGGCTGGTTGCTCTGATATATCTTTCGTATTTCCAGGCTTTCCGTGCTTCTGCTCTTGTTTCTATATTCCATAATCCTAAATCTCCTTTTTCGTAGTCTTTTCTTGCGCGTTCTCTGTTTATTTTCATTTTATAATTTGTGTTATATACGTGTCTGGTGCATTTGTTTCAAAATTCGTTTAATGTTGATATGTCGTTGATGTACACGTGGAATGTTGGTTGTGACAGGCAGAACGTTTTTAAAATGTTTAATCTAACTCTGAGTGTTGATGTTTCATTTTTCCATTATGCAAATTGGGCTAGAATATTTTCTGTTATTTGGTCAATTTTCGATATGAATAATCAAAATACAAATATCCTCTTTAAAACAGTATCAATCTCCCACCTGATCAAAAATTTGGTTCAGGTTCTTTAGAACTGAACTCATTCAGATCCAAATTAAAACAGATTGGGGAACTTCTCTACTGCTGTTTTCACATTCTGATTGGTTGCAGTTGAGTTTGATACTGTTTTAAAGAGGATATTTGTATTTTGATTATTTATATTTAAGTTAACAGATTGTTTTACTTCCAACAGGAGTTGTAATCCTGAACTGCCATAAGGTTAAGAATTTTGAAATACAACGGAGTGTTGTACAGAAACCGATCTACGCCGCGAGGAGGCACTTTACGTGTGATCTTGGTAATGTGCTGGATGGAGCTACTTGGTTAAAACCATCCCCGAGTGTGAGTGTAGTAATTGTATTTATTAAATTTGTTGGAGTTAACATTTTATTAAAACTGTGCAAATATAAATTTGTCAAAAATGGTGGAAATTACCAACTGATTCTTTATTTTAATTATTTTCTATTTACTATCTAATTAAACACATCTAAATTTATTATTATTATTATTACTATTATTAATATTTATTATTATTATTGGTTTATATATAAAGTTTGATACTTACAAATGTATTTGAAGCTTCCCCACCCTAAAACATTTTTTTCGCTTCCAATCAAATTTGGGAATTAATCAATGATCCTTACTTTATCATAACAAGCAGTTCCGAATATTTGAATCATTGCTATATCTAATATTAAGATTATTGTTATTTGACATTTTATGTTTAAAATGATTTATTTAATATCAAATAAAAATTTTTTTGGGATTGTGAAACTATAAATAAAAAAAAATTAAAATTAAAAAAATTTATCTTTACTTTTATTAAATGGGTTTGATTAATTAAAATAAATTTTAAATAAAAATAAAATAAAGGCAGCATTTATTAAAATAATGAAATATGGGTATTGATGCACAACTATATAATTTGACAAAACGGATTTACTGAAATCTAGAACTTGTGCCAAGTAAGTTGTTTAGGTTTGATTGGAAGCCGCCTGATAGGAACCACTAAATTTTTTCTTTATCTAAAACTATTCGATGATACCATAGTTGCTTGGCCAGAACAATTTCTGATATGCATCAAATAGTTGATTAATGAAAAAATTAATTGTCTATTGTCTCTATTTTATTTTTATTATCTATTATTATCTATTTGATCACTAGGATCTATACTATTACAATATACTAGTAATAATTTTATTATTGTCTAAAATAATAAAAAAAAGGTTTTTGTTGCGGTGGTGGTTGTAGGTGTTGTGATTGATGTTGGTTGTTGTGGTTGTGGTGGTTGATGTGGTGGGTTGTGGTGGTTGTTTTTATGGTGGTTGATGTTGGTGATGGTCTCTAATATTTAATCCTAAAAAATAGTTAGTCACTACATTACTTATTTAAATAAAGAATAATATCTTATACCTACTTTGTTTTTTAAAATTTTCATAATTCTCGAAAAGTTTTTTTGTGTGATCATAATCGGTCACACGTTTTCTTTCCTCGAATAATCTCTCGAGACCTGTATATAATTTTTTTATTTTTTTTTCATTATTATTAATTAATTTACAATATGTAAATCTATATAGTTTTGCAAAAGTATAGATTCTAAAATGATAATATAAATGTTAATACCAATAATAAATAAAAATATATATTAAAAAAGAACAACTTACCCTATTGAAATTAAAAAAGAATATACGAAATACATTGCCTTTTCAGACAATGCTTCGGATGAAAAAATTTCGTTGTATAAAAAATATGCCAATATAATTTCTATAATGATAAAATAAAAAATAATTTTTTTATAATTTTTGTCATGAAATTCTTTTGAGCATTTATTTTTGGATTCCATATTAGTAATCATGGTCTCCATAGCTAAAACCTTTTTCTCAAAAGTATCCTGAATAAAAATAAAACTATAATTAATATTTTTTTTTTTTTTTTTATAATGTATGTTATATAAGAGATAATTACCTTTTTTGAGAAAAAGTTACCCATTTTTTTTGATTTATTTTTTGTAAAGGTAATATTAAATATAAAAATATGTATATATATAATTATTTAAAAAAATATAATATTATGATTAAAAAAAACTAAATTTAAGCTTGATTATACAAATTACTTTGATTGAGAGCTTGAATTTAATGAAAAATAAATTCGAAAAAAGTTTTTATAGAGTTTTAAAATTTTTTAAGAAAATGAAAAAAAAAAAAAAAATTTAATTCATTTTAATTAATTATAATTTCCTTTTGTTAATATAGTAGATTAGATTCAAACTCAGTATTCCCTTTTTTGTAAATTCTATTAAATTTTTAATCTGTAGCTATCATAAAAGTAGTGATCATTTGTTTATTTTTTAAACACATCCTCCAAATAAAAAAATAATTTAATTAAAAAAATTTAAAAAAAATTAAATTATAACCCCACCACACACTTTTTTTTATTATTATTATAAAAGTGGCTAATTAGGTGTTTTGGGAAATGAATTAATAAATTTTTATTTTTTTTAATTAAATAAAAATGAAAATTACCAATTTTAGAACCCATTGAAATCTGAATAATACAAAAAAAAAAATGATGATGCCAACTGTTCAATTTAAACAAAAAAAAAATTTAATAGTATTTTTCATTTTTTTTTTGATAAAAAAAAAATTAATAATCATACGAAAAAAATTTGAATAAAAAAAAAATTAAATATTATTTATTTGATTATTTATTTATTTATTTATTTTAAATAAATAACTTTATAGTCATTGAATGTAATGTAAATGAACTATTACTATTGATGTTGGCTTTATTATTTGTATTTCTGTACAGGGAATGTTAATGTTTTCAATTACATAGAAGCTACTATCTTTTCATCTCAATCAATCAACTGATTGCAAATATGTGGCATATTATGGTGATTTATTTAAAGATGAAATCCTTAAATTATAAAAAATAAAGCAAAATATTTAAAATTTTTTTTAATTATATTTACATTTTATTTTTTATTTTTATTTTTTATATAAAAATTTCCATAATATTAAATTTTTTTTTTTGAGATTTTTTTATATTTTACAAGATATTAATTTCATATTTTTTTATTTTTTTATTTATTTTATATTGACAATGGATGGGCTGCTATCATCTCTAATTAACTTTCAAGTAAATGAAGAGTTAAAAAACAGTAGTAATATTAGTGATAGGTAAGTACAATACAATACAATACAATACAATACAATACAATACAATACAATACAATACAATACAATACAATACAATATAATAAATATAATATAATAGTCGATTAATTAAAAGCATATTAATTGGTGTTTTCTCTTTTTAACTATTCATTATAGATTATTATATATAGTTTGGAATAATTTATTTTTAAGAAATGAAATTCATAAACATATTTTAAAGTTTATTGAACATAATGTTGTAGAATTTGATAGATCAAGTTATGACCAGTTAAAAGATAAATCATATATAACATCACTTGAATGGCATGGTGATACACTACCAGATAAAAATGAATTTCCACCATTTTTGACAGATTTATATTTGTGCACTTTTAATAAAATGTTAACTCCAACAACATTACCAAATACAATTACTACACTCACATTTGGTGATGATTTTAACCAAGTAGTTCCACCCGGCACATTACCAAATAGTCTCACAACACTCACATTCGGTCGTTATTTTAACCAAGTAGTTAAACCCTACACATTACCAAATAATCTTACAACACTCACATTCGGTGGTTATTTTAACCAAGTAGTTCTACCTGGCACATTATCAAATAATCTCACAACACTCACATTCGGTTATGGTTTTAACCAAGTAGTTCCACCCGGCACATTACCAAATAGTCTCACAACACTCACATTCGGTGGTGATTTTAACCAAGTAGTTCCACCCGGCACTTTACCAAATAGTCTCACAACACTCACATTCGGTTTTTATTTTAACCAAGTGGTTCTACGTGGTACATTACCAAATAGTCTCACAAAACTCACATTCGGTTATAGTTTTAACCAAGTAATTCTTCCCGGCACATTACCAAATAGTCTCACAACACTCACATTCGGTTATGATTTTAACCAAGTAGTTAAACCCTACACATTACCAAATAGTCTTACAACACTCACATTCGGTGAGTATTTTAACCAAGTAGTCAAACCCTGCACATTACCAAATAGTCTTACAACACTCACATTCGGTGATGATTTTAACCAAGTAATTCTACCTGGCACATTACCAAATAGTCTTACAACACTCACATTAGGTGATTTTAACCAAGTAGTTCCACCCGGCTCATTACCAAATAGTCTTACAACACTCACATTCGGTTATTATTTTAACCAAGTAGTTCTATCTGGAACACTACCAAATAGTCTTACAACACTCACATTCGGTCATGATTTTAACCAAGTAGTTCTTCCTGGCACATTACCAAATAGTCTCACAACACTCACATTCTGTGGTGGTTTTAACCAAGTAATTCTACCCGGCACATTACCAAATAGTCTTACAACACTCACATTCAGTTATTGTTTTAACCAAGTAGTTCTTCCTGGAACACTACCAAATAGTCTTACAACACTCACATTCGGTCATGATTTTAACCAAGTAGTTCTTCCCGGCACATTACCAAATAGTCTCACAACACTCACATTCGATGATCATTTTAACCAAGTAGTTCTACCTGGCTCATTACCAAATAGTCTTACAACACTCACATTTGGTCGTTATTTTAACCGAGTAGTTCTACCTGGCTCATTACCAAATAGTCTAACAACACTCACATTTGGTCGTTTTTTTAACCGAGTAGTTAAACCTGGCCCATTACCAAATAGTCTTACAACACTCACATTCGGTGAGTGTTTTAAAAAAGTAGTTCCACCCGGTTTATTTAAAATTAATAAAAAATAAAGTTATCAACCATGATTAATATTTTCCTACCAAATGGAAACTAAAATATATTATTTCTTTCCTCTTTATAAAACCTTTGTTTATTTTCTTAATCAATATTTATAAAATAATAAACTATAAAAATCAAAATTTTTAAAAATTAAAATCCAATTATTTTATATTATTTTATTATTTTATTATATATATTTAGATCATTCAATACACTGAGTAATTTTGTTCCAATATTCTAAATTTTCACGGTAAATAGTTGAAATTATTTTAAAATGATTAATTTAAAAAAAAAAAATTTTTCAACATACACGGCAAATTAACAAAATATAAATCTAGATTAGAATGGTTTTAGGAAAAATCGAGATATTATTACAAAATACTAAACTATTTTTTAATTTAATGTTATTATTTAATATTTTAAGGTGAATAATAAACATTATTAAAAAATATTTTTTTTATCTCTATTTTTTAATAAATAGATGTCATTAGAAGAAAAGTTGGAATGTTGTAATAAAAAGTGTGTTTATTCTTGATTACCAAATTCTATTGAGATCTCTACTAATTTTTTTAATTCTTTAACAGAGTATAATGAATCATTTTCTAATTCTTTTTTCATTAGATTTGATTTATTTGATAATACAGTTGTTTTGAATATTGGTAATGAACCCCTTTGCAGCCGATACTCTAACTAAATCAATGAATCTGTAGCATTGGTGGAAACCCATTGATTTATCAGCTATCTTTGATAATAAGCAAATACTAATATTATCTACTTCTTCAAATATAGTACTGACCAAGTTAGGGTGTTTCTTTGATAATTCAAATAAAATATTTGTATGTTCTCATTTTAATAATAAATGTTCCCATTCCTTTCTTATTTTAATTGTATAATTTCTGCTGTTTGAAGGATTTGATACTGTTTTGATAGCTAAATCGGACCATGCATTATTTGTAATTTCATTTTTGGAAACATCTTTAAATAACCTGAGATGAATTAATAAATTCTGTCAGTGTATATTTTATAATTGAACTAATGTCTGATTTTGTTAAATATAAAATAATCCATTCTAAAATTGAGATAATCAAATCCTGTTTTCCTTTTTTTGTCCATAGTTTAAATGATCGTTGAATGAGTTTATATTAAATGGAGTGAGTTCATTTTGTTCAAAATAATATATTTCTGGATTCATTAATGCTCTTTCTAAATTATTTAAAAATTCTATACTTTTGGTAATTTTATTTAAAACCTTTGGGATGACACATTTCTTTGAAGCTTTTTTCAATAAGCTTTCAAAATGATGGATAACCTGAGGGTTGACATAAGGCCAATTAATTTATTTTCGCTAAAAAAATAATTTCTAAACCTTCTAATTTTTGGTTGTTAGGGTCGAAAAAGAAATCTAAAACTTCTGTTTTAGTAATTGTTTCAATAGTTAGGGAAAGAATGTTCACCAAGGCAGCAAAAAATCAGTAAAGTTACTATGCATATGATCAATAAAAGACAGATTATTTGTAGAAATAACATCTCTTTGAAAAGTCAATAGTTCCCAATTACAGGTTTTGTTAAGAGCATCTACAAGAATTTTTTGAAATTCGATGCAGCTATCTCTATTGGCAAATGTTACTAGGTCTTTTTTGTAGATCCATTTATCTAATTTTCGATTTGAAATAACTTCTTCTGCTCTTGTTTTTTCTTTAAAATAAATAATATAATAGTATATTGGGGTATAGAGGTTTCTTTTGTTATTTGATTTATAAATCGAATATAATACTTTGAGTATATTTTGGATTGAGGATTTTAATATGTTATTATTCGATTTTGCTATATTATAGTACATTTTATAATAGTTGATCGATCGCCATTCGGATAACTTCTTTTCACAAACATAAGATTTAAATTGTTTTATAATTTCTTTTTGTCCTAATTTGAAAACTTGAATATATTGAATAAATGCTGGTGTATTGTTCATACTGAATATAAATTGAAGCCAGTATGGAGTAGAGCCAAACTGATTATCAATATCTTTGCAATAGCAAGGGAATGTTGTAAACAAATGTCTATATAGCTCTCTATTCTCTTTTGTATATTTGGTGATTTTGCTGATAATACACTGAACTTCTTTAAAGAGTCTGATTATATAGTTTCTGCTTTTTATTTTATCTCTAATGATTGAATCTCAAATACTGTAGTTATCGAGTAAATATTCTACTTAATATATAATACTTTTAGAAAATTAATTATCTAAATATATATTATCTTTATTATTATTATTATTATATAAATCTGTATTGCAATTATCTATCTCTTTTTTTCTACTGTCCATTTATACAATATATAATAATAATAATAATCTTTTTTTATATTTAAAGAAAATATTATTAGTTATTAATTATCTTTTTTTAATTTTATAATTTTTTTTTCCCAATTTTTTTTTTGTATTTGTGCTAATGAAAAAATATTAAAGATTTATTTTTAGAAAAGATTTAAATAAAAAATATATCCATTTGTGCAACAATTTAATCAATAATGATAAAGAAAATAAACAAAGGTTTTATAAAGAGGAAAGAAATAATATATTTTAGTTTCCATTTGGTAGGAAAATATTAATCATAACTGATTACTTTATATATAATTAATTTTAAAAAAACCGGGTGGAACTACTTGGTTAAAACCATACCTTAATGTGAGTGTTGTGAGATTATTTGGTAATGTGCCGGGTAGAATTACTTGGTTAAAATAACCACCGAATGTGAGTGTTGTAAGACTATTTGGTAATGTGCCGGGTAGAATTACTTGGTTAAAAGTATCACCGAATATGAGTGTTGTGAGATTATTTGGTAATGTGCCGGGTGGAATTACTTGGTTAAAATCAAAACCGAATGTGAGTGTTGTAAGACTATTTGGTAATGAGCCAGGTAGAACTTCTTGGTTAAATTCAGAACTGAATGTGAGTGTTGTGAGACTATTTGGTAATGTGCCGGGTGGAACTACTTGGTTAAAACTATAACCGAATGTGAGTGTTGTGAGACTATTCGGAAATGTTCCCGGTGGAATTACTTGGTTAAAATAATAACCGAATGTGAGTGTTGTGAGATTATTTGGTAATGTGCCCGGTGAAACTACTTGGTTAAAACGATAACCGAATGTGAGTGTTGTGAGACTATTTGGTAATGTGCCTGGTGGAATTACTTGGTTAAAACTATAACCGAATGTGAGTATTGTGAGACTATTTGGTAATGTGCCAGGTGGAATTACTTGGTTAAATTCAGAACTGAATGTGAGTGTTGTGAGACTATTTGGTAATGTGCCAGGTGGAACTACTTGGTTAAAATCATTACCGAATGTGAGTGTAGTAAGACTATTTGGTAACGTGCTGGGTGAAACTACTTGGTTAAAACTACGACCGAATATGAGTGTTGTGAGACTATTTGGCAATGTGCCAGGTGGAACTACTTGGTTAAAGTTATCACTGAATGTGAGTGTTGTGAGACTATTTGGTAGTGCTCCAGATAGAACTACTTGGTTAAAATACTCACCGAATGTGAGTGTTGTGAGACTATTTGGTAATGTGCCAGGTGGAACTACTTGGTTAAAATAATAACCGAATGTGAGTGTTTTGAGATTATTTGGTAATGTGCCAGGTAGAACTACTTGGTTAAAATGATTACCAAATGTGAGTGTTGTAAGACTATTTGGTAATGTGTCGGGTAGAACCACTTGGTTAAAACTATAACCGAATGTGAGTGTAGTAAGACTATTTGGTAATGTGCCGGGTGGAACTACTTGGTTAAAGTTATCACTGAATGTGAGTGTAGTAATTGTATTTGGTAAAGTTGTTGGAGTTAACATTTTATTAAAAGTGTACAAATATAAATTTTTCAAAAATGGTGGAAATTCATTTTTATCTGGTAGTGTATCACCAAACCAATTAAGTGTTGTTATATATGATTTATCTTTAAACTGGTCATAACTTGATCTATCAAATTCTACAACATTATGTTCAATAAACTTTAAAATATGTTTATGAATTTCATTTCTTAAAAATATATTATTCCAAACTATATATAATAATCTATAATGAATAGTTAAAAAGAGAAAACACCAATTAATATGCTTTTAATTAATCGACTATTATATTATATTTATTGTATTGTATTGTATTGTATTGTATTGTATTGAATTGTACTTACCTATCACTAATATTACTACTGTTTTTTAACTTTTCATTTACTTGAAAGTTAATTAGAGATGATAGTAGCTCATCCATTGTCAATATAAAATAAATAAAAAAATATGAAATTAATATCTTGTAAAATATAAAAAAAATTCAAAAAAAAATAAAAAAAATTCCAATATTTTTTTTTCTTTTCTGCCCTTCTTTTAATTTTTTTTTTTATTCATTTTATTTAAATTTTTGTTTGTCAAAACCTTAATATTGTTTCTATATATTTAATTTATTTGGTTTCTGTTGTATAAATCAGGTTGGGATAACCTTCTTTGGAGTTGTGAATCACTTGATCCATTGTTTAGTTGGGAATTTGCATGTAAGGGTGAGGGTGAAAATTCATATCTAAACTCATGTCCTAAACTTCTTTTTTGTCTATTTTCTTCATCCTCTGAACGTTCTCTTTGTTGTTCTTTAAGTATAAATTCGTCGATTTCTGTATCGAGAGATCTACGAGAACTTGTTGATTTTGGAGTATCAAAAGCTAATGGTGAATTGGGTTGTCCATAGTTAAATGAAAGGATTGAAAATCTTCTTGATGATTTAGTTGATGTTGGAATTTCTGTAACGATTCTTTCTAAAATCTTTTCTCTTTTAGCTTTATTCATTGATTTAATCGATGTTTTATCTACTTTTGGTTTATCATTTGCAATGAATAAGTCATAGATATATTTATCTAGATTCATAATTTTAGCTGATAACTCTTCTGAAATCGCATCTTCGATTGATTTCTTAATTTTCTTTTTGAATAATTTATAAATTGTTTTATATAAACCATTATGGCTACTATTCAAAATATTAATATCTGAATAATAAAAACAAAGGAATTTATAATTAATATAATATAATCATTTAAATATTTATAAAAATAATTATTTTAAACTTACGTATATCGTTTATTTTACATTTTGATTTTATAATTTGGAAACAATGTTTATTCTCGAGTATATTTGGTGAGAATGATAATTTTAATTTAATATCGACACCTTTTTCGCCTGTTGAAATATTTACCAAACCACTATCTTTAATTTTGGGGAATGATGATTTCTTAAAGTGCCATGCCACTTGCTCTAATTTAAAATGAACATTGGTTCTAAAATAATAAAAAAAAAAAAAAAAAACTATTAATATCATGAAATTTTAAATAAAAAAAAAATATAAAAAACTTACAATTCGATTGATAAAATTGATTTTATGCAACCTTTTAATACCAATGGTGCAGTTTCGACTGATGAAATTAATTTTATATTTAAATCGTTTGGATCTATTTTGGTTAGTATTAAATTGATATTTTCTAATCTATACTCTATTTTCTTTTTTTCTTTTTGACCCTCGATATTTGGTAAACCAAACTTGTGAATATTATGAATAAGGTATGGGAATATTAAAAGTTTGAGTTCCCTAAAAATATTTATATCAATTTTTTTACCAATTTTTTCAGACTTCATACTATTGAATAAATCTTTAATGTCATGGATTAGACGTTCATTAATTGGATCTGACATGAATGCTGAGATTAAAAGTGAAAGCTGTACTCTAACTTCGACGAGTGGTGGTAATGAACAAATTTCAATAATCATCACTTCTAATCTATCCATAGCTTGACGAGTTTGGGTTTCTAATTCTATTGTTAAATTTGATTCTTCAGTGGAATAAATTCTACGTATGATATCTGAAAGATCCTTGATAACTTTTTTATATGTTCTATTGTTTTTAACATAGTTGATGGCTTGGTTCAAGTGTGAAAAAACAGTACGCAAATTAACCTTTTCACCCACTATAGACTGAGCAGCACAAATTACCTCGTTGGTGAATGGGGCATATACATGGAGATTCTTCCTCAAGTCATAGGTGAAAGCCTTTCTTTGTTCCTCTTTTGCGATATCGACTTGTCTCTTCAAATTTGCAATGTTTTTGACTAAGTGAGTAAGCTCTTCATTTTGTAATAGAATTTGAATTAAATATTTAATTTGTTTCAATAAAATTTTTCTGTGGTCCTCTTCGATGTAAATCATCTTTCTAGTTTGGCTTTCGTTACCATGGCCTGCTGCTTTAATAATAAGATTTATAATTTCGGCCATATGTCTGCATTCTGAAAGAAAACTGAAAAATACTTCACTTGTTTTAACTTCATCAACCAATTTGAAAAAAGATCTAAAGATTTGAATAAAATAACCACTTCTGATGATAATTTCGGTGATTAAACGAATGTCATCAAATAAAATATTTAAAATTCCGTCTTGATGCAGTTTTTTAATTGTAAAGCATAGCTTATAAATAACGGTTCTAAGAGATTGATCATTTCTTTCCATAATTCTATCTTTATCGATAAGTACACGTTTGAGACATGTTATAAATACTTTGGTGTTTGCAGAGATTACAGGTTTCTTATAGTCGAATATATTGTGTGTATCTTTAATTGAAAACATTGATGGTTGCTCTACATTTGGAATTGGACCTGTATCACCTAATGTATTACCCATTATCGATAATGATCTTCGGTTTAATGATAGATTATTGCTTGATGGATTTGATTTGATCTGGTTTTTCTTAATACTTCTAGACTCTCTTAGTTTATCTTTGCCACCTGGTGTATAGGTTGTCGTTGTTGTAACAGTGGTGTCTTTTATTTGCTTTTTACTTGTATCAGCAATCTCCAAATCATTAATTTCATTAAAAAACGAATCAATATTCTTTTTAAATGATGATTGTTTCTTTTCTGCAATTTTACTTTCAATTGGTGGTAACTGATCTAATGATTTACTTTTATTATTTTTTGTTGCATTTTTTGTGGTTGTAGTGGTAGTTGTAGTGGTTATTGGTGGGGCATCACTAATGCTATTATTTTTATTATATTGCTGTACTTGATTGTAAATTATATCTGCAGTTCTATTAGTTGTTGGTGTATCTAAAACTGAATGCTCTGGTATATCATTTAAAATTATATTTGTTCTTTTTAATGAATTTGATCCCTTTAATGAATTTGATGAAGTTGAAGGTGACATGTTTATTTTACTACCCACACCACTGCCATTACTACTATAACTATTACTATATTCATATGATGATTGATTTCTATTTGATGAGAAGCTAGTTGAGCTTTGACTTTTTTTTATATTATTACTATTACTATTATTATGATTTAATGGGTTTGGAAAGGGTGACTCGAATGCTGATTTCTGTGAGTGGGTTGTTAAATTATTACCTGCTAATTCTATAATATTTAAATCGTTTTCGTCGTAGTGTAGCGGTTCAATAATTGGTGAATAAACCTGGGTTCTTACAAAAGAGTCTGCTCTATTCCTGTTAAAATTCTTATTCTCTTCATTTACATCATAATCATCGAAATACTTTTCATTTGAATATGATGGGTAATGATTCATTCTTTATTTTTTATTATTATTACAATTCTATTATTCTATAATATATATTTATTCTATTGTATTGTTGTTCATTTAAAAAAATTAAATTAATATATATTTTAAAATAAAAAAATAAAAAATTTATTATTTTAATATTTTATAATGTATCTCTATTGTTTATTTATTGTAATTATTAGTTAATAAAACAAAATTATGAATAAAAATTATTAAAAAAATTTTATTTTTTAAATTATTTTTTTTATTTTTTTTATTTTTTTTTTGTTTAAAAAAATTCGACAAATTAAATGAAAATGTTGTTTGGTGATGTGATTGCGGTTTTTGATGTTTTTGTGCCACCTTTATTATTTTGAGAGTTTTATTATATTTTTTTTTTATAATTGCGAGATAAGATGATTTTATAAAACACTATATTATGTGATTATATTTTATTTATTTAACTATACATACGAAAATTATATCGACATAATGTCGAAAATTAAAACTATATAAAAATAAAATAATAAATAAATAAAGATATTTCTTTAAAAACTAAATTTTCTGTTTAATAATAAAAAAAAAAAAAAAAAAAAAAAATTAAAAATAAATATTTAATTTAAATTAAAAATTAAAAATAATTAATTTTTAAAAGTTATTATTAATTTCGCTTTGAAATAAATTTATGTGTGTGGGATTTAACTAAAAGAATTACCCCACCCCCAATTTTTTATTTATTTTTTCCGGCTGTGTAATTAATTTAAAATAAAAAAAAAATAGTATATAAACATTTTTATAAAATGAATCTATTTGGTTCACTTAAAATCAATTTGGTTTTTTTTTTTTTTAAGTTTTTTTTTTTTTTTTTTTTTTTTTTTTTTTTTTTCTTAATTTTTTTTAAAATCTAAATATTTGTGTATTTTAAAAAAGTTTTTTTATGATAAAATTTTATCCCTTTTCTTTTTTACAAACACAAAGTTAAAAAATGGGTATATTTGATTTTAAATCAGTTACTGAACCAGCAACAAAAACATTAGCCAATATTGATGAATTGTCTAAAGATGCAAAATCCTATTTGGGTATTGTAGCCGAACAAGTAGTAGGGGTACTAAATTCCTACAACACCCTACCAAAAGAATTGCAAAAAGAGGTGGGAAAGACACAAAGGGATATCGACAGATTACTTGAAAAACACAAAGATCTGGCTATAACCGCAGAATTTTATGCAAGAATTATCGGAGTACTGCTCACAGTATTTTTGATTTTATCAATATTATGTAAAATTAAGGAATTGTTTTCATCTTCAAATAAACCAAAACAAATATAGAAACAATTTAAAAAAAAATAAAAAAAAAATAAAATAAAAATAAAAAAAAATAAAAAAAAAATAAAAAAAATTTTTAAAAAAATAATTTATAAAAATTTTTCTTTTATATTTTCTTTTCATTATCATTTTAATTTATATATTTTTTTTTTATCTCGTTTTATATTATTTTAATAATAAATTATTATATATTTAAATATATAGTTTTCATTGTACATACTTTACATGTTTTTAAATATAAATATAATTTAAAAACAAAGATCGATTTTTGTTTTAAAGAAAAAAAAAAAAAAAAAAAAAAAAAAAAAAAAAAAAAGGAAATTAATTTATCTTTTTTTATTTTTTAATTGTTTTTTATTTGTTAATATTTATACATATAAATTAAATAGTAAATAATAATAAATAATAGATAATAGATTGCAGAGAATAATAGATTATATAAATATTAGATATAATGAATAAAAAAGGAATTTATGTTTTATGGGTACACGATCAACAATTCAGTAAAGAGGAATTAGTAATTAATCCTGAGCATTTCCCTAAATTAAAGGTTGATGATGTTTTGGAAATATATTCACCAAACAATCCCAGTAAAAAACTATGTTTAAGAGTTAAGCAGTTGTCACCATTGAAGAAACAGTTACAGATCAGTATTAGCAAATATGTGGCAAATGTATTCGATTTTGTGTCTAGAAAAGAAGTGGTTGTAAATATTATACCAGAGAAGAAGGCACTAATAGATTTTGTGGAACTGTCATTCAAAGATCAATATATAGGTCGTAGTGATATGTGGAGATTAAAATTAAATTTAGAAAACGAGTGTGTATACGCGTCCAAGAAATTATCATTCGCGCAAATTCGTGCACAGGTCGAGGAGATGGTATGCAATGGACAAAAGGTTAGTAGTGGTTTAATTGATGATTCAACAAAGTTTGTTTTCCGTTCTCGTTCAGCAAAGTTTGTATTGTTCATCCAAATGAGCAAAGAAATGTGGGACTATAACTCTGATGGCGAGTTGTATTTTGAAAAAGCTGTGAATGGTTTCTTAAAGAATCTATTTCAACGTTGGAAATCATTGTCCGTTAACCACACCATAACCATCATTTTATTCTCTAGAACTTTTCACGATAGCGATGACATATTAGACGAGTTTCCAAATATACCCAGAAATGCTCAGGGTAGACTCTACCAGGATTTCTATAAAGTTGTTGTTAATGAAGAGAGTAGACCTGATTGGAGCTCAATTATTGTCACTCTTAAAAAGGAATTTAATGATTATCATACAAGTGTATTTTGGGATATTTATGGTAGAAATAGTGCATTAGGTAAAAATTCAACTGCATCACAAGGTAATTTTCTAGAGGCTATTAATTTAGGCATGTCATATTTTGATAAGGTAATTACAAATATTTAAAAAAACTAACAAACAAACAAAATATATACATTATTTCCCACACTAATACATTTTCTATTTATAAAATAGCATTATATTGATAGAGATTTTACAAGAACTGGTCAAATGATTGTTGTAATTTCAGCTGGTACAGGTATTTTTGAAGTTGATCAAGATATCAATTTAATTACAAAACAAAGAATGATTGATAATGGTATTGGTTGCGATTTAATTTGTTTAAATAATCACCCATTACATATTGTGCCTTTATTTAAATTTTCAAGTGCTTTACCCGATCAATTTGTAAGTAATAAATAATGTGTTTTTTCCAAAAAAAATAATTATTAATATATTTAAAATTTTAATTTTTAGCAATATAATTTTCCATATTGGTTAGCTATAAGTTTTTATGATGAAAATAATACAACAACAACAGCAACAACAAATAATAATAATAATAGTAATAAAGAAATTACAACTACTACAACCACTATTGTAACTACTACGACAACAACAGTATCAATTAAAGATAGTAATAATAATATTGTACCATTAGATAAAAAAAATAAGATATTTATACCACAATTTAAAATACCAGAAAAAACCAATGTATTTTATTATGATGTTGACGAATCACCAAAATATGATTTTTATGTACCAAAAGATCCAAGAAAACTACCGGCATTTTCCACACCAAAAGCTAATCATAAATATACATCAAATTCATTGGGTGTGAATTCATACGAAGATACAATTTTTAATATGCCGGTTGGTACTTCAGATATTATGGACACATCTATAGAGAATAATAATGGCAATGATGACCTCGATACAGAACCAAGCGATTTCAGCGATACTGAAGATAATGTTTCCACAACTCCAAATAATGGTATTGCAAATTATTATCATGCGAATAGAGATAAAAAAAGATCGTCACTCCAAATTGGTGGTGCACGTTCGTCATCATTTGAGGGTCAACGTACTATAATTGCTAAAAAATATACATCAACTCAGCACCAACCAATAGTCAGAAACAATAGTGGGGGATTTCAATATCAACAACATCAACAACATCAACAACATCAACAACATCAACAGCAAAACCAACAACAACAAGAACAACAACAACAAAAATACCACACAATCTCTCCATCCAACTCATATGATCAAAAATCGAATAATCAATTGTTAAAACCGGGAAAAACTTTAACCCAACAGCAAAAATTAATTTTAAAGAAAAAGAAAGATATTAATCCTTTTACATATGATTCAACAACATTCCATTTAACAAGTAATAGAAGAAGATGGTCCCATTTATGGTTTTCTCCAAACACATATATTTTTGGTAAAACCAATACAAATCCTAATCCATTCTTACCTAATTGGAAATCTTTATGTGAACCCGCATCTCTTCCAATTACAACCGATTATTTCCCATCACAAAAAGATTTAAAAGCCAAATATAAAGAATATGTTCATACTCTTACACTTGGTTTGGATGACAGTGAGTACTTGAATAATATTGAAGCTTTACTAAAAGAATTAATTTCTCAAAGATTGGCTCAAGGTTATCAATTAATTATGATTAGTTCAGAACCAATCACAACAACAACAACAACCGCAACAACTTCAGGTCAATCTATGCCACCATCACCACAGCTTTCATCCACTCCACCCTCAAATATTTTAGCAAATACAGCAACAGCAAGCAATGGTAGTTCATCAGCAGTAACCACAACCAAGGGATTTAAAAGGTCATATCAACTTAGTTTAGGTCATGATTTTCATTCAATTACTTATGATTCAAATAATTTTAGTATTCAAGTTAAACGTTATCAACGTGAAATGAGTAGAGTTAATGTAAATAAAACAATCAAGTACCATTACTATTTGAATACTGCTCAACTTCAAGGTTTTCTTTATAATACCATCACTCTCCAACATACCGAATTACAACAATATCCATGGAATATTCTTGATAATGTTATTTGTGGTACTATCCAAGGTTTTAGACCAAATATTAAATACTGGAGAGTTTCATATGCAATAGTTCCAACTGTTGAAAATTCGAATAATCAAACTTTATTATTACAACAAAACCAAGAAAAGGCTGAAAAAGAAAAGAATGATGAATCATCACAAGTTAAATTAGAGGACGATAAAAAACAACCACAACCACAACCACAACCACAACCACAACCACAACCACAATCAACATCACAATCACAACAATTAAATACAAATGGATCTACTTCATCATTACCATCATCAACTGTTATTTCAACTTCAACTACTGAGACTGATATTATTACAACAGCTTACAATTCGTCAAGTATTCCAACAGCTGCACCATCGACTTCCACAAGCCAAGTCGTTTCACCACTTCAATCACCAAGTTTATCTCCCGTTATTTTACCATTAAATAAAGAATCTTCACAATTAAATGCCTCCACCACAGTTACTGCAACATCAACAACCACTACAACCACAACCACTACCACTACCACATCAACAACGTTATCAGCTGCAGCTTCAACATTAATAGGTAGCCAATCGGCACCAACTTCACCTCTAAATTCACACAGAAATATTAACTCTAGTAGCAGTAATCTTTTAAGTGGTATAAGTAGTGCTAATAATATTATTGCAAATAGTAATGCAGCCCTAGCAAGTATAAAATCACCACCATTACCAACATTCCCATCATCAACCTCATTGGTTAATAGTATTACTTCACCAACCATGGCAACAACACAACCAGATCTTTTACCAACATCAGGTAGCAATACAGGAACAACATTAAATTCATCCAGCTCTGGTGAAAATCCAATTTTACCAGAACAAACTGAGGAGGAAAGAATAGCAGCATTTAATAAGTTTAAAGAATTTATTACACAACAAATTAATAGAAACCAACAAGCGCTACAAAATCAATTGGGTTCAAGTACGGGCCAAGGTAGCTCTTCGTTAGCATCAAGTATGAGTGGTTCAGTATCAACACTACAGCCAAGTCAATTACAAAAATTGGATATAAAATCAGTATTGTTTTCATCGATTGAGAATATTGATTCATCAATTATGAGTGCAGTTCAACTTCAGCATCAACACCAGTACCAACATTATACTCAAAATCAAAACAATCAAATACCAAGCCAAGAACAAATTGATTTATTTAAAGAGAAATTATTCCCATCAAATATTGATGGAATCTATTACAGAATGAACATGCTCCATCCAATTGGTATCAAAGTTGTTGAACGTAAATATGGTATTAGAAGAACAAGTTATAAGAAATGCTTTTTAGGTTCTGAGGGTATAGATTGGATGCTACAAAACGTAGAAATAACTACAAGAGAAGAGGGTATTGCAATTTGCCAAAAGATGATGGATACTAAATTGATTAAACAGGTTGATAAGTCAGCATTTGTTGATGGTCAAATTTATTATCGTCTAAAAGAGGATGAATTCATTAGCCCACCAATAATTAAAAACCTTCCATTACATCAATTACAAACACAAACACAAATACAACAACAACAACAGCAACAACAACAACAACAGCAACCATTACCACAATCTCAACAACAATCATCACACTCGTTATATAATAGTAATTCATCTCAACAACCTTTATCTCAATCTACATCAAATTCAACTATTAGCTCACCTAATAAAGATAATACACCAGAACAATCTCCGATTAGTTCACCAAAACAATATAGTAAGTTCACTTCATCTAATCAGGTACCACCATTGGCATCATCAACAAGTGGCACTCCATCATCATCCACACCAAATGCAAAAGAGTCCGCAATCAAGTCACAAATGAACACACATCCAATTTCATCTCTTTCATCTTTAATAAATAATCCATCATTAAGACAATCGAATACAGAATATTTATCATTAAACAAAGAAAAAGAAAATAACAATAATATTAGTAGTAATGATGATAGTAAAGATTTAACACCAAATGAAAATTCATTAGCTGAATCTTCACCAAACTCTGGTAGTTTAAATTCAATTGTTTCATCCATTCCATCAGCCACACCATCGAATCCATTATTTACAAGTGGTACATCATTTAGTTTACCAAGCACTAATAATAATAGTAGTAATAATAATAATAATAATAATAATAATAATAATAATAATAATAATATTAGTAATTATAACTCTCAATACAGTAGTTACATTAATAATACTAGTAATATAATTGAAAATTATGAAAATCCAAATTCAATTGCAGAATCTAAAATTGAAATGGACTTATCAAAAACTGATCGTTTCGAATGGATAGTTATGAAATATGATAAAACATTTTGCCCAACAAGGTTTTATCATATCGAGTTTAATTGGTTAGTCAGTACTGGTTGTGTAGTTGATGATTTTATTAATTCGTGTGTCAGAAAAGCAAAGCAATTTGGTTTGTCTCTAATACAAATTCCAATGGAGAAGAGTTACAGTCCTTTCTCATTACCAACACATGTTAAACTCTACCCAAAACTAATGTCACCTCAAATCTTAAAGCACATTGTTACCAAATTCAATTTAATTCCAGATTTTATTAGAAAAAGACCATCAAGTTTAGTAAGAAGACAGGATCTATACCTCTTTAATGATTCAGATATTCCCTATACTGAATATATCCATCGTACTGGTATGCTATTTGTTAGAGTAGTCGAAGATGGTTTCTTATGTTATATAAATAATGCTCCTTCAAACAGACAATATTTGCCAGCTGCTATTCTCTGTTTAACATCTTTCCAAACTCTCTGTAACCAACTAAATCTATCTTTGTCATATTTATCAAACCAAAATCAACAAAAAAGTACATATTCATCACCAAGCTATTATGATAGTGCTGATAGTAGTAACAACAACAATGTTTTATTAAAACAAATGGACCCACAGGAGGCAAATTTCCTTTCTTTATTAGCATCAGGTTATAATAACAGCGAAAATGACCATATTATTCTTACTGATAGCGAAATTAATCATTCCGATAATCAAAGCAATAGTGATCAGAGTGACAATGACAGTGATAGCGATAAAGAAAGCGACGATGAAGACAGTAAATCAAGAGATAATTTAATGTTGGAGTCTCAAGAAGCAGCATACTACAGTTTAATGAGTAGATCACCACTTTTAAACGAATAAATAAAAATAATAAAAAAAATATCAGTACAGACTATTTCTTTCACTCCAATACTATTTTCTCATGCCCATACACATACATTCCTTCTTTGAAAACTATACGTAATACTGGTATTGATGAGGTAACGACTCTTTTTTTATTTTGTTTTATTATTATTTGTCTTGTTGGAATGTAGTTTTTGTGAGATAATTTGGAAAATAATATGACTGATTATTTTTAAATTATTGGGACGATTTCCAGTGCAATACTATAAAATCAAGGCGGAGTGAGTCATATGCTTTTAAGATCCACCCGTTGTTGGGGTGGAGAAAATTGGTTCCTCTTCATAATTTTCTAATTCATATTTAAACCAAGAATTTATCAATTGGTAACATATTATAAGAGTGCAATATAAATTTGTCAAAAATGGTGGAAATTCATTTTTATCTGGTAGTGTATCACCATGCCACTTAAGTGTTGTTATATATGATTTATCTTTATATACAGTTAGTTGCATAAATTTTGCAACACACATATTAATTTTGCAATTTATATAATAAAACTTTATGGTTTAAATTTTGGATTTTTGGAGTAACATAAATAAAAATCATTTAATCTATACTTAAATAAAATATATTTTAAAGGTTGTAAGAAAAAAAAAATAATATTTTTTTTTTATTTTTTTTTTTTAACATTATTTCTATGTTGCAAAATTTTAGAATAAAGATTTTGAGTAAAGGTTTTTTTGAAATTTTTTTATAAAAAAATTTGTAGTTATTATAATTTATTAATATTTAGTGAATTCACCTCTATTTTAAATTATTTTATTTATTCTGGTTGAAATTGATTCTTTTAATTTATTTAAAATTGATTGTTCAATATTAAACCAAATAAGATGAATTGATTCATCGAAAGGTTCATGAGGTTTGGCGATGCGACGTTGAACTAAACGTTTTTTTAAGATCGACCATAGGTTTTCTATTATATTTAAATCTGGTGAAGAGGGTGGAATAAATTGTACTCTAATGTTATTTTCTTCATATTATTTTTTAAAAGCAGTGACATATGGACAGAGCAGTTATCTTGAAAAAGAGTGACTTTAAAAAAATCAATTTCATAGTCTTTTAATGTTTCCATATATTCATATCCCATTACATTTATGTAGGTATCGCCATCCATGTTACCATTAATATAGGCTCCACAACCAAACTCATGCAAAGTAATGCATAAAACCCCACACAAAAAAAAAAAAAAAATTATTTTTCAATAACTTCATTAAATAAAGATATTACAAACAATACATAGTCTTTTCTTATTTTATTTATTTATTTATTTATTTTTAATTAATTTTTATTTCATGTTCATCATTATATAACAAATAATTATAAATAAAATCATATATCTCATGTATAATATAAATAATAAATGAAATTTTTATAAGCAATAATAGATTTGATTTCTAAAATTATTATTTTTCTATTTTTTTATTTTTTTATTTTTTTAATTAATCAAAAATAATACACCTGATACACAAATAATTTTCTACAAATTTTATATAAATCATGAAACAAAAATAATATTTACAAATATAAAATATAATACATAAGAAAAAAATGAAATTTTGGATTTTGATTTTTAAAAATTTTGATTTTTATAGTTTATTATTTTATAAATATTGATTAAGAAAATAAACAAAGGTTTTATAAAGAGGAAGGAAATAATATATTTTAGTTTCCATTAGGTAGGAAAATATTAATCATGGCTGATAACTTTATTTTTTATTAATTTTAAATAAACCAGGTGGAACTACTTTTTTAAAACACTCACCGAATGTGAGTGTTGTAAGACTATTTGGTAATGTGCCAGGTTTAACTACTCGGTTAAAACTATGACCAAATGTGAGTGTTGTTAGACTATTTGGTAATGAGCCAGGTAGAACTACTCGGTTAAAATAACTACCAAATGTGAGTGTTGTAAGACTATTTGGTAATGAGCCAGGTAGAACTACTTGGTTAAAACAATAACCGAATGTGAGTGTTGTAAGACTATTTGGTAATGAGCCAGGTAGAACTACTTGGTTAAAACAATAACCAAATGTGAGTGTTGTAAGACTATTTGGTAATGTGCCGGGTAGAAATACTTGGTTAAAATCATTACCGAATGTGAGTGTTGTGAGATTATTTGGTAATGTGTAGGGTTTAACTACTTGGTTAAAATCATAACCGAATGTGAGTGTTGTGAGATTATTTGGTAATGTGCCGGGAAGAATTACTTGGTTAAAACAATAACCGAATGTGAGTGTTGTGAGACTATTTGGTAACGTGCCAGGTGGAACTATTTGTTTAAAATCATCACCGAATGTGAGTGTTGTGAGACTATTTGGTAATGTGCCAGGAAGAACTACTTGGTTAAAATCATGACCGAATGTGAGTGTTGTAAGACTATTTGGTAGTGTTCCAGATAGAACTACTTGGTTAAAACCATAACCGAATGTGAGTGTTGTAAGACTATTTGGTAATGTGCCGGGTTTAACTACTTGGTTAAAATCATCACCAAATGTGAGTGTAGTAATTGTATTTGGTAAAGTTGTTGGAGTTAACATTTTATTAAAAGTGCACAAATATAAATTTATCAAAAATGGTGGAAATTCATTTTTATCTGGTAGTGTATCACCATGCCATTCAAGTGATGTTATATATGATTTATCTTTAAACTGGTCATAACTTGATCTATTTAATTCTACAACATTATGTTCAATAAACTTTAAAATATGTTTATGAATTTCATTTCTTAAAAATATATTATTCCAAACTATATATAATGATCTATAATGAATAGTTAAAAAGAGAAAACACCAATTAATATGCTTTTAATTAATCGACTATTATTTATATTGTATTGTATTGTATTGTATTGTATTGTATTGTATTGTATTGTATTGTACTTACCTATCACTAATATTACTACTGTTTTTTAACTCTTCATTTACTTGAAAGTTAATTAGAGATGATAGCAGCCCATCCATTGTCAATATAAAATAAATAAAAAAATATGAAATTAATGAATTCCTCCAAAATGAAAAAAAAAAAAAATTGAAAAAAACTGTAAAAAACTTTTTTTTTTTTTTTTTTTTTTTCCATATTATTTTTTTAAGATTTTTAAATAAATTGGTTATTTTGGGTTTTTTTTTTAATTTTTTTTAATAATTTTAATATTATTATTCATTGTAACATCAATGTTATTATTTCTAATCCCTAAATAACAATTAACAAAAAATACAACTTTACATTATATTGTGTGATATCTTTTTAAAACATTTTCTAAGGAATTTCCTGTTTAAATTTATATCTTAAAATATTGCTTCTCGAAAATCTTTTATTTTTAGAAAATACATTTTGAATTTTATTTTGTTGTTTAATATCTTATTTTTACCACCTACTTCAATAACACAATATCATTTTACAAACACCTGAAGGAAAGCCAATCTGCAATACCTTTCCACTTTTTGGACAACAATAAATCAATAAGGTTAAAGCTGATTTACTTTATTTACAACTATAAAATAAATTTCTAATATCTTTATTAATTGGTATGCTAATTTGTGTGAGGAACTTCATTAGTTATAATTCTGCCAAATGCACCTATGTCATGACGGGTGATTCTACCGAATTTATTCATACCTGTTCATCCACCTACTAAATGTTCAATTGATTCATCAGCACTTGCACACAACCTACATCTCCTATCAGCATTTGAACTTGCATCACGGTGAACTAATGACATTCTATTTGGTAATAACGACAAAACTGCTTCCCAATATGTTGCTTCCATATGAGCCGGGATATGAGTCCAACCCTTGATCCAGTGATCCAATGTTCATGAAATCTTCTCCACAAACGTTTCTTTGCAACACCTACTTCCTCTTCTTTTACCCGTTTATATAATTGAAGATTGGTAAAGTGTTTGATGATGGATGACATTTTATCAGATTGTTCAGCATTTTCATTGTTTGAGTAAACAGTATAAGTGGTAACATTGTCGTCATCGACTTTTGGAATACGGTCCACATTCCATTTGCGGCAAATGATAATTCAAAACCAAGTTCTGGGGCGTAATGACAGGCTGTGTCATATCTTCTGGATGGAGGAGGTACCATAATACAGTGCCCGGATTATACAGTGCCCGAGGAAAATATGTAGACCCCCCACCGATTTTAAATTTATATATTGAAAAAAGATATTTAGATTATAATATTTAAATATAATGTAATTTATTAGCTAATAAATTAACTTCATTTTATATAGATTCATTTAAAACCCTTTAAATTAAAATTAAAAAAAAAAAATTATATGTTTACAATATTTATCTCTTTTTTTTAATTTTAAAATTTTTTTTTTTTTTATTTTTAATTTTTTTGATTTTTTGATTTTAACAAATGAATTTACCTAATTTTTTGAATGTTCCCCATGAGCTTTAATTATCGCCTCCTTTCTGTTTGGAAGAGATTTATAAAAATTATTTCTAATCTCAGAAGTGATGTAAGGAAAAAAGTCAATGCGACATTGGATCGGGTTATGATTTGATTTACTGAACATTCAGATTGAGAACATTTAAGTATCTTATGGCCATTGATTATCTATTATATATAAATCGGGGCTTAAAGGTTGTATTTCATCAATTGAAATTTTGAATTTTCAGTTTTACTCCCTAATCATATTTGGTGAATAAGATTAGAAATTCTCATGAAAATTTTCGTGAACTTTCTCAGGCACCTGTAAGGTATCTGCATAGTAACCCAGATTTGGTTGTGTATCATTTATTATTATATCAATATAGAGATTAGAATATAATCCCTATGAAAGATGATCTTAATTTTTAGGAACATAATACAAAATTTTCCCCAAAACATTACATTATCTCCACCTTTTCTAACACTTGTTTAAGTATTTGAATCTAGTAAAACATAAGATTCATAGACCCAAGATCTTATATAATGGTATTTATCAAATTATTGGAACCTAACTTCATCCATAAACATATGATTTTCCAGTTGGTCCACATTCCAGTTTTTATGTCAAATCCAAAACAATATCTTTTTCTTCTTTTAACTTCGGATAATCGAGGTTTAATGAATTTCTTTTTATAAATAATGTTATTCCTATGCAATACGTTTCTAACTAACCAGTCTAATCTGGTGTGTCCAGTTGTTGAATAATACCAAACCACTGTTAATTTCACATTCTTCAGCTCACCATTCAAAAATTTGAAACAAAATAAACGATCATCTCTTCATGAATCTTTTTTTCTCTTCCAAAACGTTTATGGTCATTGATTGAACCTGTTTTTGTTCATATCTTTGAATTGTTTTTGCCACTTTTGTTTTGTGGACACCCAATTTTTTTGCAATTTTACTATTTGAGTAATGGTCTGATTTTGTATGATAATATTGAGTATCGAATTTCATCACTTAACCTCATTTTGTTTATTTTCTAGAAATTATTTTTGCACTATTTTCAGTTTGTAAAAATGATATAAAAAAAATTTTAAAATTTCAAAAATTAAAAAAAAGAGATAAAAATTTAAATTTATTTTTTAATTTTTTTTTTTTTACCCATATTTCCCACACTTTTTTTTATTACCATTATTTATTATTTTTAGGCTGTGTCAATATTTATTAAAAAAAACTAACCAAACTAATCAATTTATAACACATATATAAAAATATCAGGGGGTCTACATATTTTCCTCGGGCACTGTATATGTAGACCCCCAACTTTTATTAAATCATTTTTAAAATAAGATCTACCAATAATAATTTTTATATGAAGAACCTTACCGCCAATAATAATTTATATTTAAAAATAAATCGATAGGAGTGAGTGTGGGTAAAATAAAAAAATAAAAAAAAAAAATTTCTATATTTTTTACCACATTTTTATTTTTTTTATCATTAATTTAATAATTAAGTGTTAGTATAAGTTTAAAAATTATATATAGTAAATAAACAAAATGAGGTTAAGTGGTGAAGTTCGATACTCAAAATTATCATATAAAAACATAGGTCACAAGTCGAACTCAAAAATTGAAAAAAAAATTGGAGTGCATAAATCAACAGTAGCAAAAACATTAGAAATGGTAGAACATACAGGCACAATCAATGACCATCAATAATATTTTTTGTTTTTAAATTTAAATATTGTGCTTTTCAAATAACTGCCATAATATTTATTTAATTATATTTTTAAATGTTTTAAATTAATATTATTTATATATAATTAAAAATATTTTTTGTTAAATTTATTTTTAAATTTGAATATTGCACATAACTGTCATAATATTTATTTAATTACATTTTTTATTTATTATTATATTTTTTGAATTAATTATATTATTCACAAAAAATTTAAAAATATTAGGGTAGAAAATTTAGTTTATTTTTTGAAAAAAAGGGTTTCTAAGTTCGGGGTCTATAAGTTCTATTTTTAAAGTCAATTTCTAAGTTTTAGTTTTTTTTTTATTTTTCTAAGTTTTAAAAACAAAAAAAAAAGTTTTTAATTTTAAAGGTGTTTAAAAATCAATAAAAAAACAGTTAAATCATAATCAATTAATATATATAGTAATGTGTGGTTGTTTCCCCCTTTTTTTTTTTTTTTTAAAATTTTTTTTAATTTTTTTTTAAAATTTTTTTTTTTTTTTATTAATATACATAAATATTGTTAAGAGGATTTTTAAATATATTTTATTACAATATAGCAGTTATATAATTAAGCGCAATATTTAAAATTAAAAATAAATAAATTTAATATAATTTTTTTTCTATAAATACTTTTTATTTATATATCAATATCAAAATTTATTAATATATATAAAAATATAAAAAATTATTATATTTTAAAAAAATAAAAATAAATTAATAAATAATAACATTAATAAATATAAAATTATAAAAAATAAATATATTTTAATATTAATAACTTAATATCAATGGAAGGAACAAATAAAAGACCTATTACCACAAGAAATTCAATTTAAGATCTAGACAAAAAGCTATCAACATCCATAGCATTAGATATCATTTTACAAATGGTAAAGTATACATATTATTATTTAATTTATTGATTAAAAAATTATACTAATATCTTATTTTTAATAGATCGTAAATGTTTAGCAGCAAAAAAATATAGAGAAAAAAACAATCTTTCAAATGATACAATAAATACTCTAGATTATCACTTTGCCAAAGAGAGGGTATAGAGCAACTATGATGAACCTTTAATTCAAATGCTTATTGAAGAAAAAAAAGAAACAAATACATATATTTCAAAGTATAAAGAAATCCAAAAATACTTAAAAGAAAGTTTAAAACATAGAAATGATACAATAAAATATTGGAAAGAAAATAGTATTAAATATCCAACATTATATTCAATTGTAAGAAATGTACTTTCAGTTGCTTCTTCGTCCGTTGAAATTGAAAGAACATTTTCGGGTGCTAAATTGTTGGTTACAGACAACAGATCAAATTTGGGTTGGGAAAGAATAGAACAATGTGTATTATTAAGGGAATGGGCAAACTTTTCAAGAGTAGATATTGTCGAAAACTCTGTCATTTATAATTATTCAAATATTTCAAAAATGGTATGATTAAATAAAATTTTACAAGAATTTTAAACTTTTTTCATAAAAAAAAATAATGTAATTCTAAGTTTTTTTTTTTTTTTCTAAGTTTCTAAGTTTTTAAAATGAAAAAATTAGTCAAGTGGGTGGGTGTGGGAGTGGGGGAAACTCAGAAATTTTTTTTTTTTTAGTCAAACTTAGCTAAATTTTCGTCCCTACTAAATATTAATAAATTATAATAACTACAAATTTTTTTATAAAAAAATTTCAAAAAAACCTTTGCTCAAAATCTTTATTCTAAAATTTTGCAACATAGAAATAATAATAATAAAAAAAAAAAATAAAAAAAAAATATTATTTTTTTTTTCTCACAACCTTTAAAATATATTTTATTTAAGTATTGTAATAATCTTCGCCTACTACTATTTTTTTTTTTTTTTTAACAAGTTTCGATAGAAAGGAAAAAAAAGAAAAAAAGTGTAATAATCTTCGCCTACTATTATATATATATAAATAATATTAAAAGATAAGACATATAAAGTATAAAACCTTCATACCTAAACTGTTTGCAAAATAATTAAAGACTCTTTTGAATTGTAAATTAAAAAACCTTTGGTACAAATATTAACTGTGTGAATTAAACACCTTTTATTTTTATCTGTTTTGTAATTAAAATTAATTATCAAAAATGAAAATTAAAAATTAAAAATTAAATATTAAAAAATTAATTTAAAAAATTTTTTAAAAAAAATTAATTTTAAAATAAATTAATTTTTTTAAATTTTTAAAAAATTAAAAATTAATAAATTTATACAATGTTATTAATAATTATATTATTAATAACATGTTAGAATCCGAGATATCTAACAAGTATAGATTAAATGATTTTTATTTATGTTACTCCGAAAATCCAAAATTTAAACCATAAAGTTTTATTATATAAATTGCAAAAATAATATGTGTGTTGCAAAATTTATGCAACTAACTGTATTATTTTTAAATTTTTTTACCTAAGTATACCTTTGCATCTCAGTTTCTTTTGTAAAATAATGCTTTCATTACAAATAATTATAAAAAATGTTTTGTCTCTTTAGAATTCTTCTAATTGTTGAAGTTGAAAGTTTTATACTCAATGATCTTTGGACAAGTTTAGGTATACTTATGCATTATTTGATTGACCATTTAGTATGTATTTTTTGCAAAATTTTTTTGTTACAAAAGTATACTTTCTTGGAACTCCTGGAATTTGTTTTGGATTAATTGAGTTTGTTTTTTGATATTGTTTTCGAATTCGTTAAATGGTTGACCTATTTACACCAAAAAATATTTGCGATTTCTTGATCACTTTTTCCTTTGAGAAAATTTTCTAAAACTAACTCTCTTTTTTCTAATTAAAGAGCCTTTTAATTTAAATATTAATTATCTTTTAAACTATGTTTGTAAATATATGAAAAAATAAAAATATAAATTTTTATTAAAAATATACATACACTCAAAGTTATTTATCAAAAATTTTGCATCAAACAAATAATAACAATAAAAAAAAAAATAAAAAAAAATAAAAATATAAAAAAATGGCAAACCAAAATTTTAAATAACCGACACTTTTAATTTTATTTTAAATAAATAATATTTTTTAATTTAAAAATTCTTCATAGATATTTAACAATTTCTAAAATCAAAATGCTTGTTGCAAAATTTATGCAACTAACTGTATCAAGATTTACAACACTATTTGAAATAAACTTTAAAATATGTTTATGAATTTCATTTCTTAAAAATATATTATTCCAAACTATATATTATAATCTATAATAAATAGTTAAAAGCATATTAATTTTTTTTTTTTGAGCTTTTAAGGGTAAAAATGGATGAGCTACTATCATCTCTAATTAACTTTCTCATAAATGAAAAGTTAAAAAATAGTGGTAATATTAGTGATAGGTAAGTACAATACAATACAATACAATACAATACAATACAATACAATACAATACGATAAATAATAAATTAATTTAAAAGAGAAAACACCATAGATTATATAATTAAAATTTAAATGAGATTTGTGGTAATTTATATTACAATTTATATGCAAACGAACACCATGGCTCTCACATAAATTATATATACCAGCATCACTCTAAAAAACTTTATTTTGAAAGGTTGATATGTGAACATAAAACAATTTTTTCTTGATACTCCATTTAGTTGCGGAACATTAATATTTTTATTATTAAATCTGGACTGTTTGTAAATTCGTTATTACCAAAACGTAAAAGAAAATCTTTCTTAGTTGATTTAATTTGTTCATTATTCAATAATGATTATTGTCATGGTTTCCATGTTCAGTGTTAAAATTTTGTTCAAAAATTTGTTTCATTTTGATATCTGGTCGATTGATATGTTGATCATTAAATTTACTTGATTTTCATATTTTGATTAATTCCTGGTCTTTATATTACTTAGGAAATCTTGAATAACTATAGATGATACTGGTGATGGTGTTGGAGGAGTGTTTTGGAAGTGGAGTCTAGAGTGAACTTTTTTTTAGTTAAGCAAATAATTATAATCCCTAATTACTTATTATTATTTTTTATTTATTTTTTGTTTTATTTATTATAGTTTTAAAACCGTGGGTGAGTGTTGTGAGATTATTTGGTAATAAGAGAGATTGAACTTGGTCAAAACCATAACCGAATGTGAGTGCTGTAAGACTATTTGGTAGTGTTCCGGGTAGAACTACTTGGTTAAAATCATTACCGAATGTGAGTGTTGTGAGACTATTTGGTAATGTGCCGGGTGAAACTATTTGGTTATAATCATCACCGAATGAGAGTGTTGTAAGACTATTTGGTAATGTGCCGGGTAGAACTACTTGGTTAAAACTACGACCGAATATGAGTGTTGTAAGACTATTTGGTAATGTGCCGGGTGGAACTGCTTGTTTAAAATCATAACCAAATGTGAGTGTTTTAAGACTATTTGGTACTGTGCCGGGTAGAACTACTTGGTTAAAACCCATCACCGAATGTGAGTGTTGTAAGACTATTTAGTAATGAGCCTGGTGGAACTACTTGGTTAAATTCACAACCGAATGTGAGTGTTGTGAGACTATTTGGTAACGTGCTGGGTGAAACTACTTGTTTAAAACTACGACCGAATGTGAGTGTTGTAAGACTATTTGGTAATGAGCCAGGTGGAATTACTTGGTTAAAATCATTACCGAATGTGAGTGTTGTAAGACTATTTGGTAACGTGCTGGGTGAAACTACTTGGTTAAAACTACGACCGAATATGAGTGTTGTGAGACTATTTGGTAATGTGCCGGGTGGAACTACTTGGTTAAATTCATCACTGAATGTGAGTGTTGTGAGACTATTTGGTAATGTGCCGGGTTGAACTACTTGGTTAAAATCATAACCGAATGTGAGTGTTGTAAGACTATTTGGTAATGAGCCAGGTAGAACTTCTTGGTTAAATTCAGAACTGAATGTGAGTGTTGTGAGACTATTTGGTAATGTGCCGGGTGGAACTACTTGGTTAAAACTATAACCGAATGTGAGTGTTGTGAGACTATTCGGAAATGTTCCCGGTGGAATTACTTGGTTAAAACTACGACCGAATGTGAGTGTTGTAAGACTATTTGGTAATGAGCCAGGTGGAATTACTTGGTTAAAATCATTACCGAATGTGAGTGTTGTAAGACTATTTGGTAACGTGCTGGGTGAAACTACTTGGTTAAAACTACGACCGAATGTGAGTGTTGTAAGACTATTTGGTACTGTGCCGGGTGGAACTACTTGGTTAAAATCACTACCGAATGTGAGTGTTGTGAGACTATTTGGTAATGTGCCGGGTTTAACTACTTGGTTAAAATTATAACTGAATGTGAGTGTTTTGAGATTATTTGGTAAAGTACTGGGTGAAACTACTTGGTTAAAATTGCGACCGAATGTGAGTATTGTGAGACTATTTGGTAATGTGCCAGGTGGAATTACTTGGTTAAAACTATAACCGAATGTGAGTATTGTGAGACTATTTGGTAATGTGCCAGGTGGAATTACTTTTTTAAAACTTTCACCCAATGTGAGTGTTGTGAGATTATTTGGTAATGCGCCGGGTAGAACTACTTGGTTATAAAAAAAACCGAATGTGAGTGTTGTGAGACTATTTGGTAATGTGCCAGGTAGAACTACTTTGTTAAAACTTTTACCAAATGTGAGTGTTGTGAGACCATTTGGTAATGTACCAGGTGGAACCACTTGGTTAAAATCATTACCGAATGTGAGTGTAGTAATTGTATTTGGTAAAGTTGTTGGAGTTAACATTTTATTAAAAGTGCACAAATATAAATTTTTCAAAAATGGTGGAAATTCATTTTTATCTGGTAGTGTATCACCATGCCATTCAAGTGATGTTATATATGATTTATCTTTAAACTGGTCATAACTTGATCTATCAAATTCTACAACATTATGTTCAATAAACTTTAAAATATGTTTATGAATTTCATTTCTTAAAAATATATTATTCCAAACAATATATAATGATCTATAATGAATAGTTAAAAAGAGAAAACACCAATTAATATGCTTTTAATTAATCGACTATTATTTATATTTATTGTATTGTATTGTACTTACCTATCACTAATATTGCCATTGTTTTTAAACTCTTCATTTACTTGAAAGTTAATTAGAGATGATAGCAGCTCATTCATTGCTATAAAAAAAAATAAAAAAAATAAAAATAAAAATTTTATAAAAAATTTCCCAAAAACTTTTTTTTTAAAAATATTTAAATTTAAAAAAACAAATTTATTTTTTAAAAATTTCTTTTTAAATTTAAATATTTTTTCAATTGGGGAAAAAGATTGTTCTTACCTGTTTTCTTTTGTTTATTAACGGACCAAATATTTAAAATTTGTGTGGGTTCTCCATACAAATTTAAAAATTTGGTCGGATGTGTCGGGGTTTTTTGCTCTTTTGAGTTCCCTTGGTTATTTGATTGATCAGGTTGATCTACCTGTTTTTGAATTTACTGTACTTGTCGTATTTGTTGTTGATTATCTTATTAAGCTTGGGCCCATTCAAGTCTAATACTGCCTTGTTCATTCTTTTTTTTATTTTTTTTATATTTTTTATTTTTTTGTAAAATTCATTTATTGTTTTTTTTTTGTAAATAATTTCTTTTATTTTTTAAAAAAAAATCTTTTTGATTAAAAAAAAAAATCATCACTTTATTTTTTCACCACCCTATTTCCATTTTAAATAATAATAAAAAAATGGAATATTTATTAGCATCTGTCCTTTTTGTTGTCTTCATTTGTCATTATTAATATATATTTCTCCAACGACAACACCAATAACGGCACCTACAGAGATGGAAACTACGACCCAAAGCACCATTATTCCGATCCACAAAATCAAAATAATAAGAAAACTTGTGATGAATCACAACCACCATACTCGGCACGAAATCTAAATGATCATACAAGGGAACAATCACATCATCACCAATCACCACCTTTATTCTTCGCACAAATTCAAAATGTTAAGATTTGGTTTCAAAAATCATACGGGGCAAAACCAAGCAATCAATATAATCTACCATTTAAAGCACCATCACACTACCTATCCCATTCTCAAAAGGAATCTCGTTATGATTCCACCGGTTCCCCATCCACATCGCCATCATCAAAATCATCAACATTATTAAATATAGATATTTCATTTCTACAACAACCAAACCCATTATTATCGTAACCCAAATATAAAGCCCCATTAATTTTTAGTTTCCCCAATACACCAAAATAGATATCTGCATTTAGAATAAATAGAGAATTTTCAATTAGTAACAGTCAACATTTTAAAGTTTAGTCACCATAAGTATTTAGATCATAATCTCTACCAGATTTTCTCTGGCCAAGTAAATATGGTAGAACATCAAATAGTATTAGGTGAATCTAAACATGAAATTTTTACAATTTCCACACATTTTTGCTAAGCTATTATTCAATTAAAAAATGTATAAATTATTTTCAGCTCTATAAAGCTTCTCAAAATATTTTCAGTAATAGTATATTGAAACATCAATGTTGTTATCATAAAATTTTTAAATAAAATAAAATCTAATTCTAAAAACAAAATAAATTTAAAATAAATTTAAAATAAATTTTTATTTAATTATATTAATTTTATAATACGACTTTTTATTTATAATTTTAAAATTTTTTAGCAATTACATGGTATTTTTTTGTTTTTTTTAAAATTATATTAAATAAATTAATAAAAACCATATTAATAAGAGTCTTTTACTCACACCTCTTCAATAATAAAATGACAATATAATATTTTTAAAAAAAAAAAAATATAAATCATATTATAAAATCATATTTTTATTTAAAAAAAAAGTTGTTTTTATTTTTTTGTTATCACCATAGAATTATTTTTTACTATTATTTTTTTTTATAATAGTAAATTATTATAAATATAAATATAAAATAGACCCAAAAAATAACTAGATTGCATCAACATTAGGTTTTCTGAATTTTTTTAAAACAATTCTATTTTTTTTTTTTTATAAATTATTATCCTTTTTTTATCTTTTTTTAATTTTATTATCCACTTTTATCTATTTTTAATTTTTTCGAAAAAAATATTCATTTTTGGATAATTTCTTCCCGTTATTTAAAAAAAGATAAACGGAAACGATAATTTTCGAACTCTAAAAATTTTTATGAATAATTTTTTTAAAAAAAAGAGATAATTTTTGTTAAAAAAATCGAAAAATGAATACGATAACGATAATCGGTAAAAAGTTAGGATAACGATAATTTTTAATCTCTAAAAAATAAAAAAAATTCACAATTTATCTTTAATATAAAAATCAAAATTTTTAAAAATCAAAATCCAAAATTTCATTTTTTTTCATAAAATTGATAAAATATATTAAATAAAGATATTACAAACAATACATAGTCTTTTCTTATTTTATTTATTTATTTATTTATTTTTAATTAATTTTTATTTCATGTTCATCATTATATAACAAATAATTATAAATAAAATCATATATCTCATGTATAATATAAATAATAAATGAAATTTTTATAAGCAATAATAGATTTGATTTCTAAAATTATTATTTTTCTATTTTTTTATTTTTTTATTTTTTTAATTAATCAAAAATAATACACCTGATACACAAATAATTTTCTACAAATTTTATATAAATCATGAAACAAAAATAATATTTACAAATATAAAATATAATACATAAGAAAAAAATGAAATTTTGGATTTTGATTTTTAAAAATTTTGATTTTTATAGTTTATTATTTTATAAATATTGATTAAGAAAATAAACAAAGGTTTTATAAAGAGGAAGGAAATAATATATTTTAGTTTCCATTAGGTAGGAAAATATTAATCATGGCTGATAACTTTATTTTTTATTAATTTTAAATAAACCAGGTGGAACTACTTGTTTAAAACACTCACCGAATGTGAGTGCTGTAAGACTATTTGATAATGTGCCAGGTAGAACTACTTGGTTAAAATCACGACCGAATGTGAGTGTTGTGATACTATTTGGTAATGTGCCGGGTAGAATTACTTGGTTAAAATCATTACCGAATGTGAGTGTTGTGAGATTATTTGGTAATGTGCCGGGTGGAACTACTTTGTTAAAATAACCACCGAATTTGAGTGTTGTGAGATTATTTGGTAAAGTGCCGGGTTGAACTACTTTGTTAAAATAACGACCGAATGTGAGTGTAGTGAGATTATTTGGCAATGTGCCGGGTGGAACTACTTGGTTAAAATAACCACCGAATGTGAGTGTTGTGAGATTATTTGGTAAAGTGCCGGGTTGAACTACTTTGTTAAAACGACGACCGAATGTGAGTGTTGTAAGACTATTTGGTAATGTGCCGGGTGGAA